CAAACACATTTAATGTTAATAGAAATGGCTAGGGTCGTCTGACTATGTTTACATTAAATAGTTTTTATTAACGTATCTTTACAAATGATATGTTTACGTTAGTTTGTGTAGAATATATAATTTTGAAAGCGTCTATATCTCTGGATTGTTGAAGAAGGTATAAGCAAACTTTATGCTGCAAACAAGTTGATTTGTCGTCTGCCGCTTTTTTGTCGCACGTGCACCTATTGACGCTGAAGCGGTTTTATTACGCCTTTACCAGTTAATCCCCTATAAATTGGATCTATACTGGGGATCGGTCATAACCATAATTCTTCATTGCACAAATTATTCTGAACATATCAGATATGTAGGTCATTACAAATATCTTTAATTCTACTAAATGTACCTCCGGTCATATTGCCAGGTCTGTGATAGTTCATGGTTTTTGCAGTCATATTTATAATCGGAACATCTCGGCTATTAAAAGACTGACGGAAAGGGCCAAAAAGTTGCGATTGGCATATTAAACTAACCGTGTCAGCTCCTTTGAATAAGTGTGCGCTTAATTTGGCCCCATGGTAACCACCTCCCCATAGGGGAAGGAGAGTGACAATGAGAGTCGCCGCTTCATCTGTCCGTCTGTCTCCAATTTTTGTTTGGAATATCTTGTTACAACTGTTTAGCTGGACTTTGATGATGAATAAATATAAATTATTTCACTTCAGAATGCACTTGTGTACTGGCAAGATGTGTTTTGGTAAGATGGTCCTTTATTCGGGTTGGCTCATTTGTCGTGTTGCAATTATATTCTTGTCCGAGCCTCTTGTAGGACTTTGTTGGAGGATACATTAAGTTCTTTTAAGAAAAGGTTTTGTGAAATGTATTTGTTTCCCAGTGGTATTAATATTGTTAAATGGATTTCTGACCTTTTATACTTTGTTTTCATACAAAAATTTATAATATAATATACGTATATACAATTCGACTTGGTATGGACACATTACCACAATACAGATTATCAAATTAAACTCAGAGAGACCTACAAAAACAGAGCATCTGATGAAAGAAAAGCATGCCGTATAAATATAATATACATGAACTTTTGTATAATACGACAACCCTTTTAGCTAATGTTGTTCAAATAAAGCACACATCTCACTTTCCGTTAACAAAATAGGTGTGATCGATTTTTAAATGACATAAAATATTCGTTTAGTAAATCGAACATCAATTATACCATTCATTTAAAGTATTGTGAATTTTATTAGCCACGCATTGCGCTCTTCTTTTCACCTATTGATTATAAGTGTTATCTCCGTGCCGCGAAACTTTTAGCAATTGTGGGACTGTTTGTCAAATCAATTTAATAACTTAAGCTTTTATTGATCAACGAATAGCAAAAGTACCCGACTATACCTTTTTAGAAACCGATCGTAGTGTTGAAGATATTTTAATTAAAACCAACAGTTCTGTGACACAGGAATTAACTTTAGATTAAAAAAAGATCACGCAGACTCTGTGATTGCATATTACTTTAAATTTTGAGCTCCGGATTGGAGATAAGACCCGTTTCAAAATGAATGCAAACTCATCGTTATTTTCATATAAATAATAATAATAACATGTTGCACATAATCCTGACTAAGTTCATGTCGCAACTGCAGGTCTCAAGAAAATTGCAAACCTGACTCAAAGATTTAGTGGTTAAACAAATAAAAAAAGAAAAGACGAAAAAAGAAATTAGATTTTGTTCCAAGTACAGGCAGTCTGTGAAATACGACCTCAGTTTTCAAATAAGAGATTTGATAACTAGAGTGTTTGAATAAGGTACTTTAAAAAAAAAAGAGAACAAATTATTTAATGGCTGACCTAGAGCGGGAATTTAACAGCTACAGAGATTTTAATCAAATCGAATTAAAGTATATATGTATATTCTGATTACCTATACATTATGTATTTAGCTTTTTGAATGACTAGTCCAAGGTTAGTATGCAAAACCTTACGCCAGCTAAATTTGATATCTCAGATTACTCGATTAACTTCAGAAATATTCCTTGTAACATATTATTTGTAACAATGGCATCATAAATACTATACAAATCGTCTGCGTACGTTAATTGTTAAGTTATTTGGTAAGAAAGTCATTTAAACCTGTAGAATCTGATGGGACACCTTACTAATGTATAGTGACATAAAATTCAAGATTGCGATATTTATCCCAACCTGACAATTAACAACCCTAATGATGAACGATGTTTGACCATGAAATGGTTGAGGTGATAATCATATAATCTTAATAATGAACGATGTTGAACCATGAAAAGGTTGAGGTGATAATCATATAATCCGAATAATGAATGATTCTGAACCATGAAAAGGTTGAGATGATAATCATATAATACCAATAATGAACGATTCTGAACCACGAAAAAGTTTAGGTGATAATCATATACTCTTAATAATGAACGATGTTTAACCATGAAATGGTTGAGGTGATAATCATATAATCCTAATGATGAAAGATGTTGAAACATGAAATGGTTGAGGTGATAATCATATAATCCTAATGATGAAAGATGTTGAAACATGAAATGGTTGTGTTGATAATAATATAATACCAATAATGAACAATGCTGAACCATAAAATGGTAGAGATGATAATCATATTATACCAATAATGAACGATGCCGATAATACCAATAATGAACGATGCCGAACCATGAAATGGTAGAGATGATAATCATATAATACCAATAATGAACGATGCCGAACCATGAAATGGTAGAGATGATAATCATATAATACCAATAATGAACGATGCCGAACCATGAAATGGTAGAGATGATAATCATATAATACCAATAATGAACGATGCCGAACCATGAAATGGTAGAGATGATAATCATATAATACCAATAATGAACGATGCCGAACCATGAAATGGTAGAGATGATAATCATATAATACCAATAATGAACGATGCCGAACCATGAAATGGTAGAGATGATAATCATATAATACCAATAATGAACGATGCCGAACCATGAAATGGTAGAGATGATAATCATATAATACCAATAATGAACGATGCCGAACCATGAAATGGTAGAGATGATAATCATATAATACCAATAATGAACGATGCCGAACCATGAAATGGTAGAGATGATAATCATATAATACCAATAATGAACGATGCCGAACCATGAAATGGTAGAGATGATAATCATATAATACCAATAATGAACGATGCCGAACCATGAAATGGTAGAGATGATAATCATATAATACCATTAATGAACGATGCCGAACCATGAAATGGTAGAGATGATAATCATATTATACCAATAATGAACGATGCCGAACCATAAAATGGTAGAGATGATAATCATATAATACCAATAATGAACGATGCTGAACCATGAAATGGTTGAGGAGGCAAATATATATATTCTTTAATATTAACACTTGATAAAATTAAAAAGCTGAGCAACTTCAGAAAAGTTTATTATATCTTCAGTATGGTATTTCTTCTAAACAAAAATTCATTTGGTTCATGAGTTCAATTTTCATTGTTAAAAACTTACTTTGTAGTTGAGCAGACGAAGAGCAGGGGGGTCGCTGCTGTACCGAATTGTATGGCAACGTTTGATCTGCGCATGCGTTATTTTACATTTTTATAGAGAATTGGGTGTAAATAGTTGCACTTTGGTCTAATTGAAATTAAAAAAGAAGAAAAAAGCACGAAAGGAATATTTAAATCGTTTAATTGTATGATTTTTTATCAATGACATGAAATTGGTAGGATACTTAAATTGGAATTAAATATTCAATACTGAAAATGTTTTATGTAGCAAATTGATTGAAAAGATAAATGTATTTATCTTAATATACTTATTTCAATTAAATGAAAATTTTCGATTGACAAGCTTTGACAACTATGGTGTAGGGCATACCTAATTTATTTGGAAAGTTTCCAAACGATTTTAAAAGAAACTTATTCTTTTGCACGTTACGTAATCAATTTAAATTTAATAACATTTCAAAATAAGTTGCCTACAATTAATCTAGAATGACAGGAACGAATTCACAACTGGATAAAATAGACATATTGACATCTGACGGATATGAATATATGTACACATTTAAATGAATAACATCGGCTTATCCTTAACTATATGGTGATTTTCCTCTTAACTTAATTCACAGGATCATACTTGCAACTTATACCTTTTTTGCAACTGATGTCGTGAACTGATTTGCAACTGATTTCGTGAACTTAGTTCGTGAACGTGTTTCGTGAACTTTTTTCGTTAACTGAAATCGTGAACTTATTTCGTGAACTTATTTCATGAACTGATGTCGTGAACTTATTTCGTGATCTTATTTCATGAACTGATGTCGTGAACTTATTTCGTGAACTGATGTGAATGTATATACAACTGATGCTGTAAATTTATCGAAAACTGACGTTTATAACTAAGGTCGTACATTTATTTCCAACTGGACGAAAGACAATTTTTTGTGAAAATTATTAACTTTGTTACATAAATGAATGACATAAACTTGACATTACTTATTTACAATTTTTAACGAGACATGTAGTTGAAACTTAATGAACTTATTTGAGACGATATATGCTGCTGCTGCTGCTGAAGCCATGCTAATATTAGAATTTCGTTACGGTTGAAAAAAATATGTGAATATGAGTACATAGTGGATAAAAGTGTCATAATAAGACAAGAGTATCTTAAGAGATTACTTGAATTTATCTCTCAGGGATTTTATTCAACCCTTTCGAATCCCCATTTGATCCTGGACTAGTAAAACGGCCATCAGGGATTTTACTCAAACCTTCCGAATCTCATGTAATGCTGGACTAGCAAATAAACCATCATGCTAAGAACAAATTCTCGTACATCAAGACTCCTTTGTAATTTCCCACTTTTACCACTTCCCGATCTGTTTTATAAGTTAATATCATAAACAATATATATTTGATGTTTATATTTTCACAGAATGTCAACGGAAGTGTTCAGACCCTCCAACGGTGCCGACCTGGTAACTAGAAGTGGTCTCGGCGAGGGATATGCCGAACCCGTTGATTCATTTAAAAAATCAACAAGTAATCTCAGCAGACCCTCAACACAGGGTGGCTACAGATTCGGTCAACTTAGTCAGAACTCATTTTTCACCAGACATAACCCGCATCCAGCAAGAGTTCGACATTTGAAAGGTAAATACTTTTTTATCCTTTTGGTAATACTTGTATCCTTTTGGTTAGCTGTTTGAACCTTTCTTTATATGCAACAAAACAGTCAGTATTCTATTTTATTACCTTGTGGCTTTTTTCTTTATTTATGTCTCTTCCGTACATTTCTTTTGGTTAAATAATGGTCGGACGAAAGAAAATGTTTTTTAAAAAACAACAACAAAAACTGTTCTTTAAGTAATAATCAGAGAAAAGCATAGCTAACATACATGTACATAATTATGATATAACATAGAACGACTTAGTACATTCGGACACTACTACTGGCCATGTTAAAACTTGAAAAAAAATCAACATAAATTTGTATTTTCTTCAAAAAACACCCGATGTGTGATGTGCATACTTGACCAAATTATTTTTTATTACTTTTACTCCTAAGAATTCAGTGATATTTTAACTTTCTTTCTTTGCGCATAAGATAAAACAAAAACAGTGTATTTAAGTGTAAAGTCAATCAAAGTAAATAAGCCGAGAAACTGACTGACTGAAGGCAAACGAAAATAGTTAAATAAAAAAACCATAAAAAAAGAGAAAGACTTCAAGTATTAAGAATCTGTTTTACAGTCGTCCAGCGTTTCATTCCCAGTGCTGAACTTTTAACCCCCAATCTTTAAAGGTGTGTAATGGATTTGCTGCTGTGCTTTAAATTTGAAACAGTTCATTTAAAGTTTAAAGAATTTCCATATCCAAATTAAAGAATTGAGCTACCAACAGCATAAAACCCGATCAGACTACACGGTTGTTCAGACTTGCCTGACTATACTGGTGCTGGCAAAGGCTTACAAATTTCGGTCCAGCAGGGAATGGGCTTAGCGGGTCAGCATCATGTCCTTAAATAATCTTTAAAAAAAATATTGCCTTAAATAGAAACGGTTATAAAAAGTTGAAGAAGTACCCAATTACTATGCATGCATATATGTAAACAAACCCAGATTACTGAATGATTTTAAAAATCCGAATTGTTTGATTTTCGTCTGAATCAATAAGCTCAGTCCATATGGCAGTGTTTGTCATACACTTTATAATTTCTACCCACTTGCGTTTAAAACCTGCTATCAAAAATGATTATTTTGATGAAGAAAGTACGCTTAAAACGTCTGATAAAAAAATATTCATTTCAAATGTCTAGCTTTCACATAAACATATCATACTGAGGAGAATTAATAGATATCAGAGGTCAGCGTTTCGTATATAAATGTTTGCAGAGTGTCGCTTAAATAGGTCATATTCATAATGATCTTGACTTTAGGTTGTCAGCGTAGCCCGACTATTTAAATCCGGTTTCCAAGTATTTTTGAAAAGGCCTACTTTTAATATATCGGTTCTTGGATTAAAATTATTCCACTGGATAATCCTTTAATTTTCTTTATGACCATTTACAAGTATTCTTAATTCCTCTAACTTAATTATTCGGCAAACATTTAAAGTATAATGAAATTTTTTTATCAAGGTGCCCGGTCTTTATAAAACGTTCATATCTTTTTTTTTTTAATTCAGGTCTGCTAGACGTACCAATATGTGCCGTAAACGACGACGGCTATTTTTCCAATCCCAGATATTCGTTACAGTTCCCGCCAAATTCTTTCAACCAAAAGAAATTACAAAGGATTCCAGTCAACGCCATTAATGTCAACTCACAACTTCATCCAATCAACACTGTCACAGGTTTACAGTACTTTACTGGACTTACAAATTATCCATTCCGGGAGAAGGCTGTGCCAAAGATCGGGCTTGGTAAGTAAAATTATTATTTATTTGCTACATACGATTTATTGAAAGTTGCCTACTCGTTTAAACTTCATCACCTGCTCACTCCAGCCCAAGAAATGATATTTGCTTTCCTTCTAAGAGTCTTGTACGAGAAATTGTTTCCTTGTAAGCTTCACATGTTTTGAACCATTTTAGTTTATTAATGGCATTTCGCGATTTACCTATTTGCAGAGTCGACGTTGGTGTTGGTGCCGATGTAACACTTTGGTTTAATTTTTTTGCGTACATCTTCATGTTCTTATCATTGAATGTATTTGCTAAAGTCTATACATTATTGCGTTTGTGCAAGATTTTTTTTTCAAAATAAAAGAATATACATGTATTCACTTCATGCTTGTGTTGAGGATAATTGTCAAGACCCCATAACTCTAGTACTGATTTAGACAGAATTATAATTATAGCTCTTTGTGAATTTATGTTGCATTTGGATGGTCATGCAAGATCATCTTCCACACTATTAAATGTGTTCACATAAAACTTTGATCATGGCTAATAGTAATGGTAATTGTAAGCCACCGTCAAAGACCCATACTTCAGTATGAATTTGGACTGAATAATACTACAACTCAGACATGGAGTTTGAATATAATCTTTTCCTTTACAACACATAAAGTAACAGACATGATATTTTTTCTCTGCTTATCTGTGATTCTGTGAACACATATGGTATTTACAGATCGAGTATACATGTATAATAACATGCGGCCGTGCCGGCAGCATTGTCAATACGAAATTAATGTCTTATATTGCGAACGTCTGAGGAATTCACTGTTGACTTTGCTTCTGTTCTAGCTGCCTTGTGAACCTGATGAGGTGAAAATCCACTTTGTTAAAAATTATATTTATTTTACATTTATGCAGTTCCGGTCACAGAGGCTTGGAGGGATGAACTAAAATTTTTAACAGACGCTTTGCAAGAAGTACAGGCTGAAAAGCCACCAAAAGAAAATAAACTACCAGAAAGACCCAAAACACAATACTCAGAAACTACCGGGCGATTAATTCCACCCCCATCACGTGCAATGTCAAGGGGTCCATCTAGACAAGGTTCAAGACTTGGATCAAGGTCTGGGCAGAGAGATCTGTACCAGAGAAATTTCCAACATATAGCTGAAGATCCTGATATGGAATCTCAGGTTAGTACTAAATTATAAACCCTGTAACATTGACGTAGAACTGACTGTTTAAGTCCAGTGTACAAATGTACTGTATCTTGTATAAAAATGAGTTTAGGGTAGTGATTTTTTTGCATCAGTATTCGATAATCAGATGATGTTTATTGCATACAAAAACACATTTTTTTTTCAATTTGATTCAGCATGATGAGATTATTTAAGTAACTGTAACAGGATACCAAAAAATGAAAAGCTTAAAAATTTGTATTATTTTTTAGGCTTAATGGGCCTTTAAACTAAGAAGGAAAAACTAAACATTTTACTTTTAATTAGTCTGAATTACGTCACATATTTGTTTCTATTTACAGGTATTAATGATGTTGTGTCAGATTCTACAAACTGAAGATATAAATGCTGTCAAGGCCTGGTTATGTTCTGCCGGCGAAAGAGGTAAAATATGATCATTATAGGAAATAATATTTCATGTTTTATGGTGCTAAACTTTGATGTTTATGTTAACGCCAGAAGAGTTGTCTGTCCAGCCAAAATCAGTGCATAAGCAGTTTCTATATATGTGTTTTAATTTTTCAGTCCCATTTCTGTCAACTTTTGGGATTGGATTTTAAGTCATATTGTTAAGGTTATAATTTAAATGGCGGATGAAGCTCGATGCATTTTTTCAAGCAAAGCGAGCATCTGGGAAGAGCCGCCAACTTTTTTTCTTTAGCTAGCCGTATAGTTTTATCACGTGAAGAATTTCTAATTTTAATCAACAGTGGTGATTTTCAAGCAATTCGAAGTTAGCGACCCTGTGTGTGTATTCTATGATTAATGAGGGTCCATCCGCTCTTTCAGGCACTGAGAGTACGGACCCCAGTCAGCGACCCTAACCACTTTGCCATGTTCAATATCACCTTGCAACGGTCTTAAACATCCGGCAACGTTTTATTACCAGTTAACATTCTTTGCTATCCGGCCACGTTCTATACCACCCGACTTTGTTATAAAATTGCTGATATGCATTGAAAAACATTTCCGTTCAGTCAATAATTAATTTTATTCAGTATGTTCAAAATATACGGTCTTTCAATGACATATTTGCATGAATTATAACTCATACATTAGCTATCTGTTTGAAATATTAGATTGCTATAGATAGCCATGCAGTTGCATATCATTATGTTATTTTTTTTTACAATACATCAAATTTGTTTTTGCACACTGAATTTTGAAACGTCCAAATTATCTTAATTATTATTTAAATTACATAGACGATGTATGAATATTATCTAGGTTTGTGGTAATGATTATGCGGAAAAAAAAATTCAACATTCATAGATCGGGGCAAAGCATGTTAAAGTATATAATAAACAAACATGCTGGTTTGATCTGATTTTAATTCATCAGTGAGCTAAAAATGAGAACATCGACAAACAAGGCAAGTCTAGCAGGAACTTATTCATGCAAAGGGCCAGATTTTTTAAAAATAATAATACAATAGAACTAATAAATGTGTGCTATATTTGATGGGGTTGTAACGCTCGAGTTGAATGTCCCACGTATGAATCTGTCTTCACCATGTTAAAACCAACATGGTGTGTTTGCGACCAGCATGGATCCAGACCAGCCTGCGCCTCCGCGCAGTCTGATCCATGCTGTTCGCTTAGAAACCCTATTACAAGTAGAGAAACTGATAGCGAACAGCATGGAACCTGATAAGACTGCGCGGATGCGCAGGCTGGTCTGGATCCATGCTGGTCGCAAACGCACTTTGTTGGTTTTGTCATGGCGGGGCTCAATTTTGTCTACACCAGAGAAAGTATAGTGTAAGGTATAAATATAGTCATATAATAAATATTTTCAGAGAAGACGATGGTACTGGAGATGATTAAAACAGCGGTAGGATCAAAAGAAGAATATTTTGAGAGACAATTCAAACCTGAATATATTGAAAACGACAACGTTCCAAAACTGCCACCCATAAACGAGGATGGCAAGCCTAAAAACGTTACCAGGTAAATATTTGTGTTGATTTCTGAATGTATTTTTTTCGGACGAAATCCGTCTGAGAACGGTTTGACTTCCTGTAAAATTTACAGAAAAGGACTTAATATTAGAAAGATTTTATTGGTCATTTTAAAATTAGAATAATAATGGTCCAAATCATAAAATAATTTAAAGGAGTATCGAAAACAAACTTTTTAAATTTATCGGATATTTTAAATCAGTGAACTTTCTCCCAATGAAAAGTTTACACTGCTTTAAGAATTTTCATTAATTCCCTCGTGAATATCTTATTCAACATAAGAATTTACCAAGTTATAAATGACATTATTAAATGACGAGACTACCAATAACGGAACAGGAAAAACATGTGCATACCGAAAGACAAGTAACTGTTTTACCTCTTTGAAGATACTCCTTGTTGAGAATATAGATCTAAAACAATGCTTGTTTTGACGCCGAACCTGCTGTAATTGTAGGTGAATAGCCTCTGCACATCCGTGCAGTCTGACAAAGTATTATATTTTTGCAGCTCAGTTTTTACATTTTGAAAGACTGCAAACGAATAGTCAAGATTCCTAACAAATCCATTATGCATATTGAGCAGGTTAATGGTTAAAATGTTAACGTGGCATTATCAGCAGTCCAGTGTCCTTTTATTAAAGTTTCAGAACCTGTTATTGTTTATCGTTGCGTAAACTTTTTCATTTAATACTTAATGGACTGCGCCTATGTACTTAATAAATCTTGTATTACTTGGGTTACTGCAGCAAACAATCGATGCTCTGGATTTTTATTTTGCGGATTTTGATTAATACAACAGCATCCTAAACCGACTTGTTTCTTTTTATCTTGTGATAAAAATGTATTTGCCATTCATTGCTAATTCATAGGTTTACTTTCACGAACTCATTTCATTGGTGTATCTTTAAAGAAAAACGCATGTCAGGCCGAATATGTCTTCCTTTTCAGACTGACTGTTGAAGAAGATGGAAGTGAACATATAGAATCTTGGAAACAACCTGCTGTTGCCACATGGTCCCAGCAGCAGTCAACACAGCCGCAAGCACAACCGGAACCAGGTCAGTTTGAAATATGCAATAAACTTATTCTAGATATTTGGAAATAAATCTTTTTCTGCATTGGTGTATCAGTTTTTGTCATTGGTTATGTTGTTATAGTCGTAAGATTTATGACTACCGATGTCCGCCGAATACATGTAAGCGGTTTTATGTGATGATTTGATTTTATGTAGGCAAATAAACACATTTATGCGGAGGTATACAATAATCATAATAGGAGCAATTTGATTTGGGACCCTTGGATATCACTAAGGCTGGTTCCGTTTATGAGGAAAACATAGGAGACGGGTGGCCTAATGATTAGTTTTAAAAATATTTTGTTTCATTAATTACATACATTTACATTACATTTATTTAGTCATTACGAATATAGAAACAGGATTTAAGAAGAAAGTCATATCTCCTGCCTCATGGTAAATTACGTGTATGTCCCTCTCTTAAGATTTCACCTACATTTGTGACAACCCAGGGAACGTAAAATTGGCTCTACTAGATTCATTAAAACGTTAAAATACTGGTTGGTTTAAGGAAGAGGTCAAATAAATTTCGGACAGGAATATGTTTAAACTTAAAATATAAACGATATAATATTATTATTAGTCCGTTCGTACGTCAAATACTTTCAAAGTTTGTATGCATTTAAAATTACCGTGTAAAACAATTTGCCATGTTTTGCTATGACGCTCATACGTTTCATTACAAATTCGAAATATTGTTTACCCAACTGAAAGTAGTGTATGCGGAAAATGTAACTTTTTTCAGGTTTTTGGTTATTTAACAAACTTTAAGTTTTATTTTTGCCTGCATTGTTGCCCTAATGTGTCATTTAAATTGTTGTTAGATATATAAGGTAGATAAATGTTAGTTTAGAAACACTGTAGTTGTTATGGTCACCAGTCGCAAATTAACCTGTCACATCAAAATGCACTTTTTACTAAGCGTAAACAAATGTTTGAGTATATAAGTAAACAAAAAAACAGAACACTTTATTTTTACTTTTGCTAAAACCCTTCTCATTCCAGCATACGAAGATTTCACATGCTTCCCCGATTTCTAAACAAAATGGTATTTTACTCTAGTTAAAATTTTAAGTACAAAATGTGTGGATTGCAGTTTTTTTGCCAGGAATTTATCCCTCATGGTGAAATGTACAGTACATTTGCATATCATTCTAAATGTAAATTATAAACCTTGGCTGTAATCTTATCAACGTTTCAGGCGCGCTCGCAAATTCATTTAATAAAAAATAGTGAAAAAAAGTCACTTCAAAATCATTAATATTCGTGATTAGGCAGAAATGTTCGTGGTTTTCGTGGATTGGTCAATCCGCGCGGTTAAGATCAAATGAAATTTATATCGTCTGCTGTACAGTTATATATTAATAACATTATTTACATTTTTCTTTTTTTTGCTTAAAAAAATGATAATCCATGAATTCAAGGACCAGCGAAAATGTTCTTTTAATTTAACAAAACCACCAGAATTCATTCCCATGAAATTAAGTGAATTCACACTTTTACCAGTACTACGAATTTTGTGTTTCCTTTCCTTAAATTAAAATGCCTGTTAAAGAAAAACGATTCAACGATCAAATTACCATGTGAAATAATTGATGAAAGAGATTTTTTCTTCTTTTTTTTTTTATAAAACGTTGATAGGTACAGGCTAGGGTTCACAAATTTATCCGCATAATTTTTGCTTGATCACAACCGGCGAGTAGAAACAGATTTTGGCGAGGAGAGCTCGTTTTTCTGAAATGAGCATTTCTGCCTTATTTTATGGTTGCTTGGGCAAACAAGATATGTTTGAAAAATTCTGATTATTGGTTACATCAATCAACTTATATGATTCCTTTACTTTCTGATTTTATGAAATGGTTTTGCCCTGTTTTATGAAATCGGAACCATTGAATTGAATTGAATTGTACGGAATTGTAAGGAATTTCTGTAACAAACTACCAACAGTATAGTGCCTGGTCAGACTACACAGATGTGCAGACTTGGCATGGCTCTTTTCTGGTGAAAAAGGTTAAGCAATTTCGACTCTGCGGGATAAGGGTTAAACCATTTGAAATTCAGGACAAATCTTCTATATAAATGGTATTTTACAATACAAATTTTGCATGGTAAACGGGTTAATTTACTGTATAGCTCATTTTACATCTGTGAACAACAATAGCGGCATATAATTACTTTAAATTAAAACACCAAATTATAATTATGGTTAAATAATATATTTTTATATACTTTTTATAGATGTTTGCGCCTACAAGATAACGTTTCCTTCGCCAGAATCTGCTCTTCCCGTCACCTATTAACGGCTATATTTATGCAATGCGTTTATTTTTTGCACACAATTTTCCCCCATAGTATTGGTTCTAATGACGATATTTTGACATTATATTTGGACACAGGTCTGCTTACAGCATTTTGCTTTTTTATTTATGACTTTGGTGACTGACTGTATATCTTTATCATTATATGAATGTTCAAAATTACAGGCATTTTAATTATCATTAGGCCTAATGGTGTTTTTTTATTATTCGAATATTAAACACAGCGAAGTACGTAAGTGTACTAATTGAAAAAAGACATGTTAAAAGGTAGATAATTAAAAGATTTATTTATAATGCGATTTCATTTCAGAAGTAAGAAAATTTATGACCCATGGGAATATTTGATTGAATATATTTTACCATTTAAATATTTCCGTCCTTTATCGTTTTTAGATATGATCCGCCCACCAACCTCAGATGCATTTAGAAAAACATCCGGGCGTCTAAGAAGTCAGCAAACTGGCCGTGTACCTACACCAAAAGCAGCACCAGTTCCAGAACAAGCCGTACTTCGGTTAACTACATCCGCACAAGGAAATAGACCCCAAATAACAGAACCTGTTGCCCCGGCAACTGTAGACCAAATTCAAGAAACAAGTCAAAATACATTTTAATAAATAAGAATATTAAACAATTAGCTGACTTAAATATACACTTTTAAACACTGGCAGGCGAAATGTATTAAACAACGGTCTGACGTCATCATTAGCTAAAAGAATTCATGCATACACAAATATTTCAAATATTTTGTAATTATCAAATAAACTTCCTATACGACGTTTTTTACAACGCTGACGAAAGATTTTTTTTCTTTTCGAGTTTAAATTTTTGTCTTAAAACATCTTTGTGTTAAATGCAACGTCTTTTATCTTTCGGTTTTACATTACGTTTCAATATTATCATTAATTGCAACTTTGATTCACTGTTCAAACCATTTTTGTTGATTTTATTTGTTGATTCTGTTATCTTTTAAGTGAAATGCCGGTGTTAGTGATGCATGTAGCTAGGAAGTCACGTGCAATGTAACCCGCATAGTTTAACTTACGATCAGTATTAATTACTTGGCCACACATAGCTTTCAACTTAGTTAGTGCGCGTATAAATAACTAACAGCTCAAACAAAATATAAGAACCGTTGGTTGGTAACATGTACGGGCTATTTTTTTTTTAAGAAATCCTTACGCCGAAAATGCATCTGAAAAGTTCTCTCATATTAATTATAGTATACATGTATAAATTAAAGCACACGTTTTATGGTATATGTATGAAATTTTTATAAATAAAGCACATATTCATCGGTCACCTTAAGTTTGCAAGATGTATACAAGTGAGTTTTGGAGTATGAACATGCATGTATACATTTGAGTTACATATGAGCCGCGTCATGACAAAACCAACATAGTGCGTTTGCGACCAGCATGGATCCAGACCAGCCTGCGCATCCGCGCAGTCTGATCAGGAACCATGCTGTTCGCTATAAGTTTATCTACTTGTTAAAGGGTTTGTAAGCGAACAGCATGGATCCTGATCAGACTGCGCGGGTGCGCAGGCTGGTCTGGATCCATGCTGGTCGCAAACCCATTATGTTGGTTTTGTCATGTCACGGCTCATATAATTATTTGTTTTTTATACTCTGTTCGTTTGAATTTTTCGAAAACAAATCAAAAGTGAAATAAAGGCAACACAAAAACTACAAGTGTCTTTAATTGTAGGCAATCGTTGGCAAAAAGGAGAGTTGTCTAAATTATACAAACTTGGGCAAATAGTGAAAGAAATACTGCTGATGTTACATTAAAAAAAAACTTAACATGTTGCCTGAATTATATACACTTTTGGGGAAAAGGGAAATTATATTTTGCCAAATTGAACAAAAAAGGAAATAGTTAAAAGTCATTTGAATATTTGCATGGACAAGTTATAATATTTACTCATTCGTTAAAAGAAAGGGGGGATAATTACAAATGTTGTGTTTGATGTTTGTTATTTATTATAGTATATTTTCTCATATCTTTAAATTTTATTTTTTATTTATGTTTATAAGTCTATCAAAGCTACAATTTGTTGTGTTTAAATCTTATTTGTTTACCTTTTTCATTATAAATTGCCGGTTTTCAGTCGGGGTAAATATTTGTACATGTATATATTACATGTAATCCGTTTTCCCTCCACTTCTCCCTTAAAATGTTCAAAACGTTTATATCTAGAATAGAATTAGTATTGATCTGTGAAATATGCTTAACCTTGTCCTTATCTTGCTGGATTTTTGTTAAATGGAGTTGCCTTTGCTTTGAATTTGGAACAGTCCATTCAAAGTTTTAGGTAATTCAAGATCAAAATACTAAAAGTTGAGTAACCAACTGTAAAGAGCCGAATCAAAGTGTACGGATGCGCAGGCAAGGCTGGCTAAAGAGCTTTTTGCTTTTGGTTATTACTTTTGGTTATTGATTTTGGTTATTACTTTTGGTTTTTGGTTCCAGAAAGTCAGGAGGCATAGATATGTACATACGAAATACGATAATGAATTGGTGTTTTTTTTTCTTCTTATTTTCTCGTGAATAGCACTGGCTTTATATATTTTGCATACACCAATTTTCTATTATTCTAATGCACGGAATAAGCGGTCAAATGTTTGAGCAGTTAAAGTGGAATTTACATCAGTTAAATGACTTATAAATAATGGAAATAAAACTTTTTATTATGGAAATATAAAATTTGGTATTAAAGCGTGAACTGTGATAGATTTGTACATGTAATATCTTTTATATGTTTATTATGAATGTTTCGTTGTTTTTGTATAATATTCTTCTAAAATATATATGTCATATACAAATAAAAACTGTTTGGATTACATAGTTGCGTAATAAATAGTTAGTAGATTTATATTGATTTAAAAAAAAAAAAAAATATATCAAAAGCTTTGAAGTGAAGGCACATAAATTTCTAGTGTGAGGTGGTAGAATTCCTTTCATAACCAAGTGGCACTTGTTATATGGGAATTGCTTGTGGTAGTCTTTAATAAGTATTAGGTGGACCGATGTTCACAAGTATTCTGTGTGACAAATGTTGGTTGTGAGCCTTTGAAAATATATAATGCCTAAAAATGGGGAAAGTACATGTCAAAACAGCAAAAATGCCTTTAACCAGTGGTTAGCAGTGTATTCGTGCACATTTTCGCTATATACCGGTGACGACTGTGAAGTTGACAAATTATGTTTACCATAAACCCATGGCAAGTTCGGACGGCATAAATCCTGCGGGCTAGCCTCGAGGTTATAAAACCTTTGTCTGAGTTTTACCACAAAACTCATTATTTTCATTGGCCAGTGAACATTCTATGGCAGTTTCTGACCAATCAAATACATGAGATCAGAGTTTGAGCTGAGACAATGTCTTTATAACCTCGGATCGACGGAGGTGCTACTCCAATCCCTCCCGAGGCGTACTCGTCGCGGAGACATGACAGGTCAAAGTCAAGTCATCATAAGTACAAGGAGTGGGTGCTTGAACTGGAGGGTCCTGGCACTGCCTTGCTTGAAAACCCTCCTGGAGGGAAGGCCTTTACGATATAGAAAGGCTATGACAAGAGACATGCCGATGCTTTGTAGAAAGGGACGGCATGGCGCAGATATTCCCGCAAAAATAGCGAGTATAAAGGACAGACGCTCTCAGTAAATCGGTGATAAGTATGTTGTTGTCATATTGTTTACCACAAAGCAGTAGTTTAATTTTAATGGTTAGTTTATACTTACTAGAATTCAACAATGTTATTTGCAAACATAAGTTTTCTGTATTCAAATTTAAAACACCGATTCATCGTAAACTGGTATATAAACGGTATACTAGTAATTTACAAAGATCAAGGAAGAATCGATACGATCTTGAGAAAAAAAAATGATGTCATTTCAAGGTTGTGCAAGTTGTTGATGGGTAAAATACAGCATGTGTAGCCAATCAAACTTTCAACACGCACATTATCTCTATTCAAATTTGCAACATGTGATTTTTCATAGTACGCTATGTTTACTACACCTCTCCCATTGCCCCATCCCGCACCCTATTTCATTAATACAGCACAAATATGTTAAATTAAGATTTAAATCCACTGTATAAATTGATAAAGGCTATTTACTTCAGTATTTTTGTTTAGTACTTTGTATTCCTTTCACAAAGTTGGCCTACAATTGATTTTATTATAGCTAGTATTTATACCATATTAATAGGAGTGTTTTCTTCGCCCGAATGAACGTCCGTTTAAAAGTTTGACATTTTACCTGTTTATTTGAGAAAGAATATCAATATACCTTGCTATAAACCGGACAAAAAGAACCCCTTTAACATCAGTATTATTCATCACTTTTTTATTGTTCACACAGATCCTTACACAGATCGCTTCTTCCTTGTTACGTACGTGATTTGATTTGGAACTTAAACAAGACAGGAGGTGAAAATGAATTTATTCATTGCGAACGTGTTTTTGGAAAAGCAACAGACGGTAGTCTTGACACTACTATAGTCTGTCCCATTAAAAATGGAAATGAACTTTTGCCTGGTATGAATTAATAAAAACACGTTGAATAAAAATTAAAACTTTTTTGTAAACTAAAAAAAAGTCACCCTCGAGATTTTTCAGGATTTTTCTCTAAAGTGTCTAATTTTCTTGTAAAAGCAAAGTTTCATTTCTCTACGGCAAATCTCTGTTGTTTATTTTTCGTAGCCATTGCCGAAGTACTCTTCATTTGAAGATGAACGGGAGAAAGCACGTGTCATGTTTCTAAAATGTACATGATGCTCTCGGGGTCGTTTCATGATTATTTTACAAAGCTGTATCTACAAGATGTAACAGTTTCGTTGCAATGCATGATAGAAAACTTTAAAAAATGAATAACAAGCAACAACTTTAACAAGATCATCGAGTCTGTGGAGTAGATCTAGAAATAGCACTTACTTTTAAGCTGAATAGAATCCCTATGAGTTTCGAAGTAGATCTTTATAAACGTCACGACAAATTCGCATTTTGAAGATCACTTCATTGCCAGTTTATATCCAGTTCCGTAGACTTTGAACTCCTGAATGGCATGACATTTACACTTATGATGATCCAGATTTTTTCATAATCCGTCTCATTATTAAAACATTGTTCCGTTTGTGCAGATATCTGGGTTAGCAAATGAAATATGTAAATGAAACACATCATAATCCAGTATGTTCCAAATCCATAATTCAAGAACGGCCCATAAATTTAGTTCGACAGCACAATGTTTATAACTATTAAAAATGGATTCCTGACGAAAAACATTATTACGTCACCAATAATTTACGAAATACATGACGTAACAAAAATGCCTCGCGCTTTTTATGGATGGTTCCAGTTGCGGCAATTGGCAGAGGGCGGTTAGGCATATGTAACCTCATAAAGATAATTTCAATGGTAGGATACTACGTCATCGCGCACCTGCTGAATGCTCCCACTTGGACCATTTTTTCGTCGACTCAAAGGTAAAATACAATTTTATTATAAGAAAACGTAAGAGTATTAAAAAATCATGTAGCGCACCAAAGAATGGCTGTAGTACTTGAGATAATTGTAAAAAAAGTTTATAGATTTATTGCCTGGTTTAGGCACTGAAAACGGGATAAGTGTTTTTCTCTGAATGCTCCCACTCGGACTTCTCCCGAAACATATATGAAATAAGGTTGAAAACCTTCTTTAAATTATTTTTAACGTACCGGAACATAAACCGAGTCATGTATATCCATTATTCTATATTAGTTTCAAATGTTTCTATTCAAAAGTCAGTTTTTCTTAATTCTTTTTTTTTTAAAAATGGAAAATGCTCCCACTCGGACTCAACTTCAGAGATGCTCCCACTCGGACCCAAATTTATACATTTTTGAAAGCACATTGCTGTGTTAGCTTTTATGGATTATTCTCACAATTTTAACACCATTTTGTCAATAACTACTGTGTTTGGCAACATTAACTTTTCATTCTTTTTACAGAGATCACTTCTTTGATTCTGTAGAATGACGTCGTTGGGCAGGAACAAGGTGCCATGGCAATCGAGATAAATTTGTCTTGATGGCATTTAAAATAATTTTTTGAATACAGTACCCAGATTTTGAAGTAATTGTTAAAAGTACACCTTCAATTCACATATTAACAATAAAACTTTTGATAACATTTAAATAATTTTAAACACACTTATAATGGCATGAATCTATATGAAAGAATACCTCTTCCATTATTTCACATATAACCTTCGTTTTGACTTTATGTTTTTAAACTATTTTATATATTTCTCAGAAATAATTTCCCTACAAATTATCTCGTTATTCAAGAGTTCTGTAAATCCTACTCTTTTAGCTACAAAATATACCCTATGCGGTGTTATTTTCTCTCGCAAAAAAAAATATAGCTATTGTTTTTTCACTGAATATTTTCAAATTTTAGGAAGGCTATAATTATTTAGGACATCACTCTGTGTTTCTCTTTGACTCGATATCCCCTTCATATTAACATAGTATGTAACACTTTGAGTCTACAAAAAAAACTTATTGTCCCTGATTAAACGCTCCAATTCAATCTTATTCTTAATAATATCAAACACTGCCGGTATTTCTGGACATTTTGTTAAATTATGAGACGGAAAATTAATCTGTATTTACAAGCTTAAAGTTTAGGCCAACGTTTGGTTGCTCAAACTAGAAAGCATTTTTATATTCTTATAATTTACGTTTTTCCTCGCACGCGAGTCTCTGTTCTCTCATTAGCAAATGAGCTAGTTAAAGTAGACACTGTGCAAAACAATACTAAACATATAGTGAATCAGTTCCCCTTTCTATATATTTCTTGTCAGATTTGCATGCTAATGTTATATTTGTTGGCGATTTATACGTCAGGTTTATGTTGTGAAAGTTAAAACCTACGAAAAGTTTTAACGCACGAACATCGCACCCGAAATAAGACGGGTAACATATTTTTGTATCCCATCGGACCTGGTTAATTTAATTATTTTTAAATAGACGTGATACATACTAATGGACAGTATTCAGACAACTACAGAATTATGTTAATTAAACATTAGCGAAGAACCATTTTTTCAGTCTTCTAGCTAGTGTTCCCGTTCCCTTACGACGCGTTGCGGTATTCAACATACGCGCTTGATTGAAAAGCTATCTAATCAAATCACTTCATAATATTGCTCTTTTTCTCTTAAAAAGAATATAAAATATGGTAATTATATAATTATATAAATCTAAAATGTGTGTTATGATTTATCAAATGATTCTAAATTGATTATTTTAAATAATGGTTTGCTAGTAAAATTGCCTTTTCGACACCAACTTTGTTCTCATTTTTCATTTTAATGATAACATTTAGCTATTGATCAGTAAGTAAATAAGAATAATCAATTTTTTATAATTACCGAGTACATTTCACGCTAATTGTGAGACGAACCCTAAATGACGTCTGTATGGGCGCCGCCATTTTGAAATGGACGTCACGTCAGGTTACAACGTAAGTCAACGGGAAAAAATATAATTTTAACATTTTGACCATATTACTGACTTTATGGAAAAAATGAAAAACATGCCTAGAGATATTGATGTCAGGATTAACATGACATTAATTTAAATGATTTCACTATTATATTTAATAAAAAATGGAATATTCAAATTTGGTGGGACAGACTATAGGAACAATTATATGTATTTGCGCGGGCTTCGAAAATAAAAAACCTTGTAAATATGATGTAATAGAGTCGGATAGCTCGATTGAAGATAAAAGTTCACTGGATGCAGATGTATTGTACATATTTTCTGAAGGTCAATCAGGATGTGAATTAAATTGGTCAGGGATGTATAGAAATTTAAGTGGACTGAACAACTCTAGGACAATACACCGTGGAGAGTTATTTGTAAGTTTGAAGATGTTTTGTAAGGGCTATGCGGAAGGAGACGATATTCATTTAAGCACTGACTTAGATGCGGATTCGGAAAATGAAATGAATGGGACAAATCGTAAAATTGCTGTTAAATTGGTGATAAATGGCTGTTCTGTTTTTATGAGTGAATTACAAGTATTTCAACACCATGGCAGTATTTGGTCCATATTTCAGACTAATGAATCATTAATACATCACGACGCTGACTGCTCCAGTCTATCGGACTTGCAAATTGTTGCATCTCGACTACCATGTGACGGAAACGATTCAAAATCTGATATTAAAACGCGATTCTTTTGGGAAATGTGTCGTGAACCATTCGAGAATGTTTACTATTTGGACTTGGAAGGTTGTGTTCATGAAAACTATTTACTAGATCAAAATGCGTTACAAAGTACATTTCCAAAACTTCAAACATTGAAACTGAAAAATGTCGACATGACTGGCTTTGCTGTGTTGTTTCCATGGACGCACGTGTACATAGATACACCTGAAGCTCGATACGTGTCCTTTATTGCGAACCACTTTGAAAGCAGTTTCAAGAATTCATCATCATTCCCTAGAGAAATAGCAATACGTGATAGTGTGTTAGATTTCAAACAAGTGAATTTAAATGGTGAAATAGCCTCTATTTCACTGAACAATATTCACGTAAAATATTTGCACGACGATGCGTTTGCAAACGTAAGCGGGTTAACGAAATTAGACATGTCTTACAATGATCTAGAAACAGTAACTGGTAACGTATTTCAGACGTTAACAAAACTGAAACATCTATATTTGAGAAAGAACAAACTGAGAATCCTTGGTTCTGATGTATTTGACAACATTCATAATCTGCTGGTCCTTGATTTGTCATACAATAACCTTGAACTTTTAAATCAGAGACAGTTCAAATATCTTGTAAATCTAGAAGAGTTAAATGTTGCACATAATGCCATTAGAGTTTTACCAGTAGATTTTCTCAAAGATCAAATACATTCCCTAAGGACGCTGAAATTATCCAATAATCCTTTGACAGCCGTTCCAATCTATCCACTTTATTCAGAAAGTTTAACAGCAATATTTGTCCAAAACTGTAGAATCACTTCTGTTGGTTTCCAAACATTAATACGAAGTTTGAACCATAACGACTTAAACACTGCTCAAATAAGCTATTCATTACAGCGTTCTGGTTCTGATCTACAGAAAAATATTGATACGACACGGAGAGCTGTTCTGGATATATCTTACAATTTTATTAGAAATATTGAACTAGCCGTAGAAGATAATTCAATGATGATAATATTTCAAGCATTACTGACAACGTTTTCTGTGGACTTAAAAGGAAACCCATTAGATTGCACATGTCTGACATATATACCTACTTTAATTTCAAATATAAATGAAAATTCCGTGACAGACATAAAATGGACATGCACGTCGCCATCAGAAATGAACGGAAGACTAGTTTCAAGCGTTTCAGAAACCGAATCTTATTGTCCTGTTTCAGATGAAAGATGTCCACAGCGTTGCTCTTGTTTCGAACGCAAGAATTCACGTGATTCGATTGACGATAATCGAGCAAACAGAACAATAATAGTAGACTGTAGAAATGTAATTCTAACACATTTACCAGAAGTTATGCCAACTGGAAAATTAGAACTTTGGCTTCAAAATACAAGCCTGGCTCAGATTGATGTCCACGATTACTTACAAAGGACTTCTGTGTTTGATGCCTCGCATAACAAAATAACCCAACTTTCTCAATTTGCAGCGAAGGCCTTGGCAAACATTACTTCGATAAAGCTAGATCATAACAATCTCACCCATTTACCAGTTCAGCTCATGTCAACAAATATCAACAAACTAACACTTGCCAGTAATCCATTCCTATGCGATTGTCACACACGCTGGATGAAGGCATGGATTGACACGAGAACAAGCCCAGTAATAGACTGGAATGTAATAAAATGCTCGTATAACAAGACTAAGGTTAATAAGATGATAGTTGTTCCTTCCTCAATGTTCGTCTGCATCTCCACACCAACCGTAAATGTGTCAAAACATATTATTTTGTCAGCAGTTGTGATAGGATGTACTCTGTTCGTTTTAGTTTCCCTAGCTTTATTGATATATTTCCAAAGATTCAACATCAAAGTCCTGCTTTTTACGCATTTAGGGGTTAAAGTCTGTGACAAACAACGGCACGTGGATGCAGATATGGACTTTGATACATTTGTGTTATTTTCCCATGCGGATCACTCTTTTGTACAGTCAAATGTAATAAACGGCTTACTATCATCCGGGTACTCTGTGTGTAGTTTATATGAAGATCTAACAGTTGGCTTTACTTTTCTTGAAAATATCGAACATTTCATTAACAGATCAAGAAAGATAATTTTCTCCATAACACAGGACACATTAATGGATGACTTCCTGCTGACAGCATGGAACATGGCTTATGAGAGGGCTATAAATAACTTCACAGACTCCATCATTCTAGTAGTTGATACGGAAATTGTTAATAAAATTGATGAAACAAAACTTATGACATACATAAAAGCTGGAAAATATATCAAGAGAAATTCTAAATTTCTACAGTCAAGTGTGCTTTATTTAATGCCAAAACAAGCTTGTGGCAAAGATACGGAAAATCAAGACACAGAAAATGAAGGCACAGAAGATGTTTCTATACCAATGGTAAGAAACATATCTGACCCAAGAAAGGAGAACGGCTTAGTCTACATATCTTACCCAGAGGAGCTGGACAGTGAAATAGTAGAAATAATTCTGTGTGACTTGCAAGAAAAAGGATATCAGGTGATAATTTTCGAAAATCAGTTCCTTCCTGGAACTGACATTCGTGATGAAATTCATGACAAGTTGGACTTATCCGAACACTTTATTTTCATTCTATCAAATGAAAACCTACAAGACTATATTAAAATGTACATACTTTCAATTGTTATCTCAAAATCTGCATTATGCAGCCACAACTATTTATTACTGTTTACATTTGAAACTATCATATCTTCTTTTCTATCAAATGAATTAGAAAATTACATGGACAAGTATGTAACATGTAGTGTCACAAATAAGAAGTTTAAGAAACGTTTGTTACAAGCTTTAAAGTGATAATTACAAATGCTTCAATATTGCACTTACATATATATATATTAAAAAATTAAATGTAACATTGTTAGATTACTCTTGATGTTTCCATTTACCCTTATCAAGGCTCATGCAGAAATAATATAATAATCATAATATTATTATTAATAATAATACATGTAATAATACATGTAATTATAATAATGATAATGATGATGATGGCAACGATAATGATAAAGGTATGATATGAAACATTACTGCAACAGTAAATGTCGTAACCCTTGGTATTAAATGTTGCACATTACTTAAAGGAGCTCCACTGAGGTCAAAAGCCTAGAAACAAAAAAATTCAAAATTCTTACTTAAATCAAGTGAAGCACTTAAAATGGAAATATCTGCGAACTTTTAAGGATAATAAAGAAATATGCTCAGAATTAAATTAAAAATCAATTTTTTGTGCAACTCTTGACTGAAGTGAAAAGTGTTTGTTTTTTTGTGGGTTACTTTTGACAATAAAGATGATGATTCTGGAAAAACACCTGAAATTTGCACAAAAGTTATATGTCAAGCCATACATTAAATGGAACACAATTATTGGACAAATACTTCTAGTCCTGTCATGTTTAAAAAAAACCTCAGTGGAGTCCCTTTAACATGTAGCAATAATGGCGTTCTGTCTAGCAACCATCATCAAATAGATGCACAATCTTTTGCTGATACATGTCGCATTTTGTACTCACAGAGGATGAGAAAATTAGCATTTTGTAATGTAATGTTATGTGTACTAAATCTTGAAATCTTCCTTTAAATGTGGCAAGATGGGCTCAGAATGTTTTATTACATATGTTACATATGAAACAGGTGGTCTGGTGGATAGTAATTTCGTTATTCTCAAAACTCAAATTTATTCGGCTAGATTAAGATAGATGATGTTGTTAATGATAAGGAACATATATTTAAAGTTAAGAAAGAAAATATAGTGAAAAAGATTTAGCTGCTAAAAAACTGACATTGTGTTAAGAAAAAAAGCTCTCAATATATTTTGTAAAGTTTACCTATCCAAACTAATCATTAAATTAAAAGGTCATAACTCTTTAAAAAATCAACACAGATTTATTGGACCTGTGCATATCATATTAGATAATCACAGAGAACAAGTGTGTAAAGTTCAGCCCATTCCCTTTAGTAGTTTTGGAGGTACCAACATGCATGCAAAAACTTTACCAAAGTTTGACACTGATGCCAGGATGAGTCCTAATTAATCTAAGTCAAGCTTAAAATCTGTCAAATTAAATGAGCAGGGATTTTTCTGTGAGGTAATTGTACTAGATTTTTAAACAAGAGCCACCGCCGGGCGGGGGCAACGCTCGACTTTTTACTTTTTCTAAACGCAAACATAGAAAGGTTTGAACATATATTGACGTTTCCTTTTTATAAATTTAGTTGGTCTGTCTTGTCACATTAGTTTTGTTTATATGTTTTGTATATATATGAATAGAAACATTAAGCATATTTCTAAAAATAGCAACAGTACGCAATTTCTTAAAATAGCAACATGACGCAATTTCTAAAAATAGAAACAATGACGCAATTTATATATTATATATATATATATATATATATATATATATGTGTGTGTGTATATATATATACATGCAAATATATATATATGCATGTATATATATATATATATATATATATATATCTATATATATATATATCTATATATATATATCTATATATATATCTATATATATATATGCATATATATTCAAAAAAAAAAAAAAAACATATATATATATATATATAAAATGTATATATATATTTGATATATATATATATATATGTGTGTGTATATATATATATATATACATACATACATATATATATATATATATATATATATATATATATATATGTATATATATATATATCTCTCTATATATATATCTATATATATATATATATATTCAAAAAAAAAAAATTATATATATATATATATATATATATATATACATGTATATATATATATATATATATATATATATATATATATATATATATATATATATATATATATATATATATATCCAAAATGTAAAGTTTAAAACAATACGGATAAAAATAGCGGGAAAAAAAGAATGAAGTGATGCCTTTTCCAGTTTACATTGCAATTGTTTATTAACAAAACTATAGTAAATAATTGAAGAGAAATATCAACCGGTTTCACCCGTTAAAGGGATCTTCAAGATAATGACGTTTATGATTACCCTTCTAACATAGTGCCCGTAGGCCGGTTTTAGTAGTAAATGATATATGTCCCACAAATGTATATATTTTTAATGGGGTTTTATGTTATTGGTCAATATGTTTTCACCTATGGTAAAATTAAATATATAGTTGATATATATAACTAAGTACCCCTTAGTTCTGTTGTTTGGAAATGTCATTATATGCCTACATAGTGGCATATATAATCAAAGCACTGAATGTACTGATGGGGAGGCTATGAGAGAATGTTTCAGACTTATAGTTTGTTTTCTTTTTGCTTAAAATATGCTACCAAAATAAAAAGATATGCACATTGCGCTATTTATCCTTACTGTTGTGTTCAACCATTCATATATATGGTTAATGTGGTTGACTATTCATTTTGTTAATATTCCAGAACATTTAATTAAGGTCTACATTCGGACTGTTAATCATGCAAATTTTGAAAAACCTAAACTGTCAATAATAAATGACATACCAGCAAGTATGACGACTGTTCATTATCAGATAACAATAACATTTTACAACTGACGGTTCCTTATCAAAATATTCTAGGACTGTTCATCATAAATATTTTATGTCATTTTAATATTATTGAATGATAATAACAACTGCAGTGATGCAACATTTTTATTGAACATAAAAATTATACACGTTTAGATGTACCATAATTGAGATCAATAAGATACTGTCTTGTGATGAGTATTAACATTCATGCTCTACGGACAGAAGGTTGTCTTCTTCAGAAGCAAATCTCGAATAAAATCACGTTTCAGAAAATTAATCCCATTTCATTACTGACGGCGTCGGATAATATTAAAGCTAAATATTTCTTGAAAAAAATACATCTCTGCAAAGCTTATTCAAAACTGAATCAACCTAAGTGAAAATTGATCAGGAAGTTATATCTTCTTTTTTTACCGCCAACACTCAACACTCAACCAACTTATGGTAGTTAATCGATAGATTCTACGTGTATTTTTAAACCTCACTAGCTTGAAATATATACTGCGGAAAATCTGTTGTTAACAGGGTGTGCGGTTATTACGTAGGGTTTCCCTGTCGACCATTTCCCGCAAATAGATGAGAACATCGAAGCCGTCAGTGCTATGAATGGTGTTATAAATGGCGTGTTTTGGAAGTTTTTGTTGAAACTTCTCCAAATACCTCCAGAGGCGTGCACGTCGCGGAGAAGGCACACGGAAGGTCATAGTCAAGTCATCATAAGTACCAGAGGTGATTGGTTGACCTGTCGTGACTTACTCTGGAGGTTTGGCGCTAATAGATGCCGTTTTTGTTGTCGTCAGTCAGAAAGTTGATGCCTTGACGGTATTGTCGTCTCCTTTACCACCAAAGAACGAAGAATGGGCTTCCAGGAAGAATCTGCTTGAAAAAGACGTCCCAGATGCTATAATCTCGGACATATGGTTATTCCGGCGCCGAGTATAAATAAACTTAAAACACACACACTTTTGTTGAAAACAAAACAACATCACATTTTCTGTAGTAATTTTTCAAGTGTTGTAAAATGAATAAGAAATTCCTCTTATGCCGCCCATTATTTTTAGAACACAACCATAAAAGTTCTTTTTTTTTATTTTTTCAAATAAACATTTATCACTTCAGCGCGAGCAAATATCGGTTTCAAATTAAAGTTTCGTAAGATATGTTAATGACTTCCCGATGCTCGACTGTAAGTAATTTGTATATGTATGCGTTTTTTTTTTGTTTTTGTTTTTTTTTTTTTTTGTTTTTTTTTTTTTTTAATTAAAGCTTCTTATTCTTTAATATTTTTTATGTATCTCATAATCTGTATTGAAAATTTTGAATTTTATTACAAATGGACTATCAAATTATGATGTATGCCCTAGAATTGAATAAACTTTCTAATTACACAATACGGGGTCATACTGATCTTGCGTCTTTCTCTGAAATACTTATTTCCTTGTTAAAACATATTTGACCACATATTTCTGTCAATTAACTGTTCACTTTACTTCCGATTTTGTTGTACGGAAACACATGTTTCTATTTGTGTTTTCTAATCAATTCGAATCTATAATCTGTTTAATGGGATCACCACCGGGTAAACGACTACTAGGTACTTTGGTCATGTTTTTTACCACAAATATTTGAATGTTTTCTATTGGGATTAAAATGAGCATAGTTAACTAAACAACTGTTTGTATAAATTCCTGACCTGTCTAATTCTAATTATGAGATTAGTGAATATATAAGACTTTCTCTACAAAATATTCCTAAACAAAAGAGCACATGTTTAAATTTATTCCTATACAAATAAAAGATCAAAGTAGGGATCTGTCAATTACCAAAGATACTTTTATGTTAAAAGTTTGATTAATGAATTATGTAAGATGAAAATATAAGTATTGCTTTTTTATTTTTTTGCTAATGTAAAATGTAATATTGTGCTGGATTTTGTCGGAGGTCCTTAGGGGTTTTGTAGTTAAATAGTTTTTTTTTCGGCGATAATGGTTAAAGAATAAAATGTTTTTAAACTATATGTTCATCACCATCAGTGAATTTTTTAGTTAAATGTATGCAAAATATTTACTAAACAGCTATATGATTTAGCGGTTTATGAGCGTTTTCCGCGTACAGCCTCCTGGGGTGTACAAATAAGTTAGTTTTCCCTTAGTTATCACGCAAGCATGATCCATGTCTCTGATGTAAGCGACAGTTTACAATTATTTGTCTTTAAAAAATATTAAGGACTATTAATAGTTTATAACAACAAAAGCACATGCATGATATTGAGAATACGTAGTTGCAACGTTCTAGTTCTGGTCGCTGCGTAGTAATTGGAAAATTGTTATCAAAAATAATAAAGAATATTTGCCACTGAATTAAAGCATTTACTTATAAATTTTCATTTATGCTTTTTGTTAAAAAAATATGGATAAAGTTATTATTTTGAAGGGTTTTCATACCAGAACTATTTAATACAGACGTACGTAATATGCCTAAACCTGATTACCGCGGCAGTATGACGTCACGGAGTAGTGATTTAAACAAAAATCAAGAATTTTTCAGAGAATTATTATCTTTACAAATTGCAGATATGAAATTAAAGAATGAAAATATTTTCATATTGTAAATGTCTGTGATGAGTGATGAGTCAGCTTAGAAAAAATCAAAGTACTATTTTTTGACCTGATTACCGTGGCAGTATGACGTCACGGAGTAGTGATTTAAAACAAAAATCAAGAATTTTTCAGAGAATTATTATCTTTACAAATTGCAGATATGAAATTAAAGAATGAAAATATTTTCATATTGTAAATGTCTGTGATGAGTGATGAGTCAGCTTAGAAAAAATCAAGGTACTATTTTTTGACCTGATTACCGCGGCAGTAAGATTTGACAGACAGTTATTAACATTGGGTCGGCATAGCCTCCCCAAAACTGACTGCATGAAATAATGCCACTCAACTCGGTCTTATAAATAGGCCCCGTAAGTGAAGATATGTGTGAATATATATATATATATATATATATATATATATATATATATATATACATGCATATATATATGTTCATCATTATATATATATATAATATATATATATATATATATATATATATATATATATATATATATATATATATATATACACACACATTTATATAAATAGCAAACTTACAGTCAGTTACTGCCAAAACAATGAAAAATTTCAATAATTTGACCTTCAAAGACAATGTCATTAATGAGTGAAGGTCAAGGTCTTTCGGTTTATTTTTAACAGTTATCTTTGAAGATTATTATGTTCAAGTTTGAGACAATCCATTCAAAAATAACAAGTTACAGCCAATAATAGCCAAAAAAATTAAAATTTCAATAATTTGACCTTCAAAGTCAAGGTCATTGATGAGTGAAGGTCAAGGTCTGACTGGTTATTTTTAAGGGATATCCTTGAAGATTATCATGTTCAAGTTTGAAGACAATCCATTCAAAATAACAAAGTTACAGCCAATAACAGCATGAACAAGCAAAAATTGGACTTTTAACCTTGAAGGTCAAGGTCATTTATGGATGAAGGTCAAGGTTAGTGTGGTCTACTGAAAGGTCTTGTCCCAAGGGTTGTTGTGGCCAAGTATGAAGACAATACACCAAGAAATAAAAAAGTTATGATCCAGGTACAAGTTTTCGGACGGCAACGGCAACGGCAACGCCGACCTGACTATAACAATACCTCTACTTTTTTTTTCAAAAAAAAAAAAGTCGAGCTAAAAAGTAAACAATCAAGAACTTAATGTCATGTTTTTATGTTATCATACACTTTTTTTTTACACAATGGTTGAAGATGAAACAAAATAGTTTAAATTTTTCTTTTTTCACTCATTTACCAATGTTACTATATCTTTTTCCTCCTTTATGACATCACCATCTGGATCTTCCACTTTTTCTTTATCATCATCATTTTCACAAGACGTCTTTTTAAGTTGAGTTTTTGTATTATCATCTTTAACTTCTTTTAAAGATTCTGATTTCCCATTTTCACAATGTTTAGAGGTACCAGTGTTTAATGTATTATTGTCTTTTTTAACACCAGAACAAGCATTTTTATTGTCACTATCACCATCCTGTGGTTCAGAGTTATCCTCCTTATCTGAAGATTTATCCTCCTTTTCTGAAGAGTTATCCTCCCTTTCTGAAGAGTTATCCTGCTTATCTGAAGAGTTATCTGCCTTTTCTGAAGATTTTCCCTGCTTCAGTGCTGCTCCTTTTCTAGGTGGTAATACAGTGTATAGTGCTTTTTGCCAATCTTTTGTCTCAGTATAATGTAATAATATTTCAAAAACTGAAAAAAAAAGGAAAATTGGAACATCACTAAATGCGTGACCAAAGCGATAAAACTGGACAGAAATTGCTTTTTATTTGCAAACCTTTAAACATATGGATTTAAACTTTTTCTATTTTCCCCTGTCCAGTTTTTACAGACAAATTTGACATTTATCACGAAAAAAATTCTGTTGTTGTTTTCATTCAAAGGTATTTAAAGCTACAATGTCCCAGATCAGTACACAAATTATCAAAAATGTCAAACTTATGAAAATAATAAATTCAAATGTACAAATATTCCCAATCCATTTGACTTAACATATGTTTTAAGTTAGACAATCTAAATTATTACTTGCTAAACACATTGATACCTTGGTACTCTCAAAGGACTAACTTTGCAAGTATATGTTTATTTTTTTTTATGATATTAAATGCATTGTTCATTCCCTTAGCTCAATAGGGAGAGCATCACATTTTGATCTAAAGGTCACTGGTTCAATCCTCGAACAAGGCATAATTTCTCTAAGACACTGAGTCTAATGGTCATTTGTCTCTCACTGTTGATCAGTAGTCAATTATTTGCGGAGAAATCGGTAATTACTGGTTTGTTATCCAGACAACTAAAGAACTGTTAAAGTGGATCAGCCGTTGAGATATGATTAGAAACATTCGTAAAAACAGGTTTAAAAAAAAAAAAAAAACACCAGAAAAATAAAATTAAAATATGTGCCTACAATTATGATTTGCTCACTTGACAGTATATTTAGTAATTTCAATACTTTCTAAATTTTCATAAAAATCAGCAAGAACCTGAAGGTGTGCTGTTTTAAGTAAATGAATCAAGTATGATCATAGTATGTTTGAACATCACTTTTTTTATTACAGTACAATGAAATGATTGCCTACTAACTGACAGTTTTTCAGACAAGAAAAGACAAAGAAACACTTACCATGATTGACAGTGAGAACTTTTCTTGTTTTCATGTCAATATAATCTGATATAGGTAACTGTGCATGACTTATACCCTTCTCTTTAGCTAAAGTGTGACACAAACCCTGAAAGTCAAAAACACAACGAAAAATTATCACCGAACAAAATGCGTTCTCAAAAACATTTTTCTGAAAGTAAACCTCTGAAGCCATATCGCAAAGTTTGAGCTTTAAGGGAGTGAGCTATCTGAACTTTTAGTAAGCAAGGTAGAAAGTCAACTTTTGCTATTTCACAGTACCGGATACTTAATTTATGAACTACATCAGTATCAAGTCTCTGTGGTAAATTGAAGAAGCTTGTCACCATGGTAGGTTCAAATCCCAACAAGCAGATCATATTTAAGCACATGAGAGGATTCTATCTAGCTAGTCTATGGTAAGTCAATTAAATTACTGCCCATGTTTGAAAAACTGCACCGGAATGTAGCCGTATCAGTTCCAAAAGCAGGATATGAATTTAAAACAAAACACATGCATTACCCTTATCCCTTACCACACTTAACATCTCAAATGGAGTTGTTAATCTCTTAATCTAGACCAAACAATTCATCATTTTTAGGGGACATTTCAAAATATGTGCAGACTTAATAGTGGCCAAATGGCAGGGATCTTGTTTTGCACTGCTTACATGAGTAGATTCTTCATTAGCAGGCCAAGTCTTAATATGTCTAGAACAAAAATGTCTGAACTGAGCATAGTGAGAATAAAACTTTTAGAAAATAAAATGTGCATTACCTTATGGTGGTTATGATCAACAAGACCACCAATAATATAAACTTTGTCATCTTCTAATGTGTGTAGAATGTTCTCAGATTCACTTGACAGGTAAACAATTGAAGACTTCTCAAACTTCTCTATATAACTCTCCCCACTGAATATTATCTGAAAAAAGTGTACTTAACTTCATAATAATTGATTGATAACAAACATATAAAAATTTCAGTATATTTTTTTTCATACTTTTGTTCTTAGCTTTATTGGTAAAGGACCTTGTGTACCCATTTGTGCATTATATCAGGCACAAGCAGGCCCCTGAGTAGAACCATTGACATTCCTTGGGCTACCTGAATAGCTATCTCACATAAAGCAAGACACAGCAATGAGGGGAATGAGGTTTGAAGTCAATGACCACATGATAACCACTTGGTCACAGACGCCCCTTTTTTCAAATTTCAAAAGTCAAATGATTATCTTTTTGTTGATCATGGATAAAGTCCATGAAGTGTATACCTTAGGTGTGATCAAATCCTGCCATAATCCATTAACTGCCAATTAATATAAACATCCTAGATAAAGCTTTGATCAAAATAATTAAATAACAGGTTTCATTAATACCAAACATAATGCCTACAGTTATTCCAATACAATACCTTAATGGTTTAAAGTTTAAGAATAAAGTAAACAATGTACAAGTACAAATGTCCAAACATCTTTTTCTAAAGGAATTTGTTTGGTGACTTTTCACATTTCTTTGAACTTATCTACAAATGTATGGAATTTGATACAAACATATTTTAAACAGAGAGACAGGGAATACAGACAGACAGATACAAATAGATTTAGAAAAACAAAAGATTGTGACTGCATTTCATACAGGCTTATAATACTATAACAATTATGATGGTAAAAATTTAAATGCCTAACCCTCTTGTATATTTATAATAGATTATGCCATGTTTTGAATCTGGACCTGTCCATTGCTAATGTCAAAAATTTAAATTTAAATTCATGAGGCCACATGTATCAAGCCACCTTTTTGTCGAGCAAATACTTTAGGCCTTGGGGTGGTAAAAAGTTAAAAACATGACATTAGCAGTGCTAGTTTTGTAAGGGTTAATAAATGTACTTACATCCCAGCCTTTATAATCACCAATACTCTCCAGACGCTGCCTTGTTTTACCAGTTACACCACAACAATAGAATTGGAGGGGATTTTCTGCCCGTCTGTTGGCAGAGTAACTGTACTGAATCTGCTTCACTAGCATCTTTATATCCTGTAAATATCACATTTTATATGTACAATACAAAGCAGATCATAGTTACAACTTTGGTCGATAAAATGATAGACAGAATGTCATACTTACTTAGTAAATAAAAGCAGGTTATAAAGATCTTAATTTAGCATTCAATGTAATTTTTATGTTTTATTTTGTTAATACAAAAATATCAGTTGTGTTTTTTTTCTGTTTTAAAATCACACCTATAGTATACTGTGAAGATTACAGGGCAACTTTCCAGCTTTATTGGTACCAGGTGGAAGAAAACCACAAGTTCCTTCTGTGCATTATTTCAGCCACAAGCAGAACCTGAATAAAACCACCAACCTTCAATAAACCAGCTGGGCAGCTTCCTCACATAGAGAATCCAAACCTTACTGATGGGATTCAAACCTACAGCTACCATGTGCCTTACATGCAGAGAAAATTATCTTAGTCAGTTAATTCCTATACCTTTACGTTTCAAATGCTTAAGAAAAAAACTATGAGACTGAATCATATCAAAGTACAGGAAAACAGTCAGAGCATTTGTATCTTTCAAGTGTTACTTAAAGTATCTTATTATAAAGAATGTCATACCTTTTCAGCCATGTAGTCATCAAAGTCACAGTCCACCACAACTTTAACCCGACAGTTGGACTTTGACATTTTGTTATGACGTAACTTCTTTCTTGTTGGCCCCACATCTTCACCACGTTCCCGACATGCTTGTTTTCGTGCTTTTTGACGTTGTTTTTCTGCTTTTCTAAATAATCCAAATATTACTGTTTTACATCTACTGTGTTACCAGGTTACCAAAAATAACAAGTTGAAAATAAGTTGAAAATCAAGTGAAGGATTAATTTCCCATTAATTTAACTAAACTCAAAGTCATTTCATGAAAAACACTTCTACCCTCGATTGATATTTAAATTGATTTCTACCAAAAAAACAGTCCAGAATCTTTACATAACTAGTGATAGGAAAGTAGGTAGCTTAAAGTTGGGAGATAAATGATACATTTATAATACCTTTTAGCTGATTTAACTTGTTCCCATTTTTGTTTCTTTAACTGCTTTTTCATTTGTGACTTGGACAGAGTGGCACCCTCTGTTACAGCTGGTGCTGGACATTCCTCTGCATCACCAATATCTCCACTATTTGATTTGTCTTGAGGAACCTCTAGTCTTTCTTGTTCAGGGTCAATTTCTTTAGAATTCTCTGAAAGACAAAATAATAAATATTGATACAAAACTGATATACTATTTTGTATATATAAGAAATAAAAACACAAAGTCTATTCAAGGAGGGGGGATGTGGGGATTCACTCATATTTTTGAAAATTCCCCCCTCTTTTATCAGATGCATAGGGGGGGGATTTTACATAGAGAAAGAAGGAAAAAGATCAACAAAAGTAAAAATTTTCACTGTTTTTCGAATCCTAGAAAAGACACTGAAAACAAACTACACAAATTTGTAAAACTAATGAATCTCCCTTCAACAATATCAGACACAGAGGTCTAGAATGTGAGTGTTTAACTCTGTAGAATACTGAATTATGAAATTTGATATCAAAACATGTCAAACTGGCTTACAAGTCTCTCCATTTCGCCCGGATTGCTTAGAAAAGTTAAACCAAAAAATACAACAAAAAAACATTCACATAAACCTTATTAAGTTTATATGAGCTTTGACTCTGCACTGCCTATGAATATTTCTGGGAGAAATGATGAAATATAGGGGCCTAATAGTGATTTACTAAAATATTTTTTTTTTATTTCAGCACAACATCACATGGCTGCAGCATTAACAAGAGCTGTCGGTAGGACAGCAATGCTCAACTATTCTTAGTGCTTGATAGTAAAAAAAGCCTTGATTAAAGGTAAAATTTTCTAAGTATAAAAGAAAAAGGCAATTTTTTTTCTTTAAATCCATATTACAGTTATAAGCCTTGGAGAGAGTCCTATTATGCTCTCAAAGAAGAGTATGAAATTTCAACATGTTTCAAAGCCTTATGTCAATGAATTTTGAAAATATTTGAGGTATTACAAAAACTTTAACATAAATTCTAAGTCGAAAAAGGGGCATAATTCTGTCAAAATGCTTGATGGAGTTACCTCCTTTTGTTTACATGTTGGGGTCATGATGGTGAATAAGTGTGCAAAGTTTCAAAGTCATATGTCAATGGACTTTGAAAATATTTGAGGTATTACAAAAACTTTAACGTAAATTCTAAGTCAAAAAAGGGGCATAATTCTGTTAAAATGCTTGATGCAGTTACCTCCTCCTGTCTACAGGTTGGGGTCATGATGATGAACAAGTGTGCAAAGTTTCAAAGCCATATGTCAATGGATTTTGAAAATATTTGAGGTATTACAAAAACTTTAACATAAATTCTAAGTTGAAAAAGGGGCATAATTCTGTCAAAATGATGTGATGTTGATCATTATTCCTGTAAAGTTGGTTGACTCTAACTCAAGCACTCAAGGAACAAATAACAACATAATGAAACAGTTTTTACTAAGTCAAGGGAAATAACTCTACAAATACTGGATAAGTCCACAAGCAAAACCCCAGGTGCAAAACTAAATATGCTGAGCAACCTTCCCGTAAGGTTTAATGACTCTATGTCAAATCCTTTTTGAGTTACATGCGACACAAGCTGAAAATTGCAAAAAATTTCTAAGTCAAGGGCAATAACTCTAAAAATACTAAATAAATCCAGACGAAAATACCCAGGTGCACAACTACACATGCTGATCAATATTGCTGTAAAGTTTCATGACTAGGTCAAATACTTTTTGAGTTACATGCGCCACAAGTTGAAAATTGCAAAATTTTACTAAGTCAAGGGCAATAACTCTAAAAATACTAAAAATATCCAGACGAAAATACCCAGGTGCACAACTACACATGCTGATCAACACTCCTGTAAAGTTCATGACTCTAGATCAAATACTTTTTGAGTTACATGCGACACAAGTTGAAAATTGCAAAATTTTACTAAGTCAAGGGCAATTAACTCTAAAAATACTAAAAATATCCTGCAAAAATACCCAGGTGCAAAACTACACAATCATGCTGATCAACATTCCTGTAAAGTTTCATGACTCTAGGTCAAATACTTTTCGAGTTAAGTTCGACACAACAGAGAACGAACGGACGGGCGGACAAGGGTAAACCTAAATGCCCGCCACTAAAGTGGGGGCACAAAAAAGACTGCCACATGATTTGTAATTTTACAAATAAAATTTGACAGGGCCGAAACGTGTCGAGTTCTTACTGGGCCGAAAATTTATTATGCGATATCTACCGATTTCGTAAATCACCTTAGCCTAAAGCCAACACAAACAGCTTAAATCCCTTTACAAATTTTGTTGCTATAACTTTACTCACCAAATTCCATTTGATTCGTTTCTGTTACGTTCTGAAAATGTTTAGAAAAAAGACATGAAATATTTAACTACTGGGCGCAGACATCTTGAATCTCGTTCTTTCACGTTGTCCACGAGATGTCGTCTGCAATATGTGAACATTCAGCATATACCATCTCCCACTGATTTCCTATGCCCCTGGGTGCAATAACACTGATAATCTGACGTAATTAGTCCTTACATACCGTAATCCTTGCAACTGATGGTCAGGAAGTGATTTGACACTTTGTTCTTTCTTACTTTTTTTGTTTCAAAGTCAGCTGTGTACATGTTGTTTCACAGCGGAAGTTTTAAAAGTTTCGGAAGCTGAACACGATGCTCGTGGCAGTTGTAAACAAAATGTTGGATTTACATATGTTTTTTTGATTTTTTTTCTAATTTAAAAAGTTCCTTACTAGTTATGAGGAAACGTTTTAATCAGTATTATTCAATATCATAATTTGCAAAGCCACTCAAAAAGTGACACATCAGTAGTTCAGGCAGTGATAATTTTATCACACTAAGTAGGGGTATATGAACCTTGGACTTGATACGTTGATACAGAAGTGTGGATTTTGTTTTAGAGAAGAGTACATTTTGTGTTAACTTTACATTTACATTATGGCAACTGAATATAGTTTTGTCGTGTTTCTATTCTTCTCTCTTGCTATACTGGTACTTCAAGGTATGTTAATTTCTAAAACACTTTAATTCTTCATTAACAATCAGTTCAGCCTTGAATCTGGAATAGTCTATTGAAAGTGTAACTAAGGACTAAGGTATCACAAAATTAAAATACATATATAATGCTACCAACAGCTTACAGCCTGTTTTACTTAACCTGTCATTTGATTTCACAGGGGAAGCAAGGGACCCTTGGAAAATAACAAAGAAATATTGCAAAATCAGGAAGACAAAACTTAATATTAATTGAATTTTATGGGAAAACTGCATGTTTTAAAGAATTTTCCTTGAAGGAAGATGCCTTTTAACATCCCCTGCTGTTGAAGGAAAAAAACCTTGATTATATTGTATATGGAATTATAGGGCAGTTATTATAATGATACACTTGTGATACACTTTGATATTTACACAATGCATGCTCTATACAATTGTATTGGCACTTCTGCCAACATATTAAAGTTCTTTTTTTTTTTTAAATCCTATTTGGTACAGCAAGGTTTTTCAAAATTAAATTATAGAATTAATTTGAAAGACCCGGTGGGTACGGTACAAGTCAACCCGGCCCCAAGTCAACCCGGCCCCAAGTCAGCCCGTCCCCAAATTGGTCAACCCGGCCCCAAACCAATGTTATTTCTGGTCAACCCGGCCCCATTTTTTTATTATTTATTTTGCTTTAAAATATAAAAACTTATATTTTACAAAGTAATTATTTTTTATTATTTTTTCTTGATACGATAATTTATAATAATAAAATGATTTTACATGCAAAATATCGTTAAATTTTGTCCATAAATAAAAAAGTTATAAGTTATATTCGAATTACGTTCTATAAAAGTCATATCCGTAGCGAACAGAAGATACCGAATATGACTTATATTTTATAAATTGATTATTTTTTTATTAACTTTTCTTGATTAATAATAAAATGATTTTATATGCAATATATCGTTAAATTTGGTTTATAAATAAAAAAGTTATAAGTTATATTTGTTTTTGTTTTTTTTATATATAAAATCATATCCGTGAAGAACAGAAGATATCAAATATCATTATATGACTTATATTTTATAAAGTAAGTGGGTTTTTTTTGTCTGGATTACAGTGAAATAACATGCAAATAATCGTTAAATTTGGTACAATTAATAATAAATCATTTTTATTCCATCATACAACAAGATGACTTAAATAATTTTCTTTGAAAATATATATTTTGGGGCCGGAATGACCGATTTTGGGGCCCCATTGACCAATTTTGGGGCCGCATTGACCAAATAAAAATACTGTGGGGCCGGATTGACCAATTTTGGGGCCGGGTTGACCAATTTTGAGGCCGGGTTGACTTGGGGCCGGGTTAACTTGGGGCCGGGTTGACTGTAATTCGGTGGGTAACTGGTATTGTACAGGGATTTTACTACAGATCTGCTAACTTGACCAAGGGTCAAAGGAGAATTTTAATCTACAGGTTTAAAAACAACAGAATTTAAGAGCATTTTAACCAATGCTATGGATCACCAATCTTTTAATAATGATAACCATGCTTTATTATTTTTTTGAATAATTATCATATCAAAATATAAAAAAAACATTTTTTAAAGGCTTTATTTTATGTCTTTATTTGATAAGCTGTCAGCTGGTCTCACTCTCAGGTTTTTATTTTGCTGGGAATAGGAGTTTTCCAATTCTCCCTGCACCCCTACCTTGGTTCTTCAATTTTTATATATTTTCTGTATCATAAAGTTGGTGTTGATAACTCTATCTATATGTAGTTGTAAAAGAGGAGAATATTTTACCATTAGCCTTGTGGAGCCTGGGAGGGGGTTACAATTTACTGGTGTAATAATATCACTGCTTAAAACAGTAGGAACTACAAAAACTAATCTGAAGATCACTTGATTTAGATTAGTACATATTAATACTTTGTTTTGAGATATTGAGCATTAATCAAAGGTCAAGTTCATTTATTGTCCTGGACTGTTGACTCACTGACTAGTTAATCATTGGTTATTGTTAAAATTGCAGTCATTCATTAAATAAAAATAAGTTGTGAAAGTTTCTTTTATAATATTTAAAAAAAATAGAATATTTATTCCCACTTTTACAATTAACTGTAAAAAAGATTTTCAAACGATTTAAGCAAAAGACACAAAAAGCTGATAAAAAATAAGTCAATGACAAAGAATGAGCAATGAGATACATTTTCATTAATTCTGAATATTGAAAATTAAATCTAAAGCATTTATGTTCTTTTCATTTTATTATAAAGGTAACATTGATTTTATTTTTGTAAAGGGATAAAACTTCATTGAGGTATATTTTTATAGATTTACTTTTGCAATAATATGGATTAATTCCTGACTGAAACTTGTGTTTGTGAACATTGTAAAATGTAGATTCTTTTTCTAACAAAGTTCAATGATATCAAATAATTAGATTTCTTTTTTTTTCCCCAGGGGAATGTGTTCACTATGAATTTGGAAAGACATATAAGTACACATACGAAACAGAGGTGTTGTTTAATGATGATTCACCCAAGAAAGACGTGAGAGCTCATCAAGATGTTGGTTTGAGAATCAGACTGGAATTTGACTTTACACCATTGTTTGCAGATGGTGAAACTCAAATGGTCAGGCTGCAGGTATGTTAAGTTATCCAGTAGCTTGACTGTAAATAAAGATATTTCATACTGTATCATCATTGTAGTTGTAAGCAGAAAACTGAGTCAATTCCATGTCATTGGTGAAACGAAGAAGTTTTTCGATCATTTAGAGCTTCTATTAGGTTCCAATATTTGGAAGTCAAGAGACTGCAAAATCTGACATTGGAAGTCACACTATATAGGTAAAAAGTGAATTACATTTTGGAAGTCACAAGCCAGTAACACAGAGTAAATGACCCCCAAACTTCCACTAATGGAAGCCCCCTGCATCACTATCATGAAGATGCTGTATTTCATATAAGACATGAAACCATTTGAGGGATGGGGGGGGTTTACAGGAAACACCAGAAATTTGATCTTACAGGAATTCCTATGTCAGTCAAATGATCATCCAATTGCTAACTGTCTGCTCAGGCTTCCTTACATTGTGTAAATTACCGCATTTTAAATATTTTATCTGCATCTTATGCTGTTGATTAAATAAGAGAAATCAAATTGTCTGCACCACCTACATGTAGAGCATATTTGTTATAATTGTATATTGTTTTATATTTATTTATATAAGTATTATTTATATTAAAGGTCAGTCAGGCAGCACTTACAAGCCTTCATCGTGGAGGAATGGAGGGTCAGCTGCTGGACATGGTGAAGTTTCCGTTATATTTTGAATACATGGATGGTGTGGTTGGACGGGTGTTTGCAATAGAAAATGACTCTGTGTTCTGTACCAATATCAAGAAAGGGCTTATTTCAATGTTTCAAGTACAGTCGGAACCTGGAGAGAGGTCTGAGGTTAGAGTTTTGTCCCATGTTTTTCTATATTTTTTTCCTGTGATGGAAATTTATAGTGTTCTCAACAGAATTCCAAAACCTGTATTTATTATAACAAAATTAATGTCATTATGTTCTACATACCGTATTGATTGAGTATATTCTTACTCATTGATAAGTATTTTTAGTCTTAATCTAAGCAACCATTTTTTTCCCCAGTCTGTGTGTTTTAAATTGGGAAGTATTAACCTGGTAAACATGTAAAAAATTGGAAAATTTCCTAAATGTACAATGTAAAAGAACAGTTTCTTTTTCTGACGATGAAACATAGAAATGAATGTATAAATCATAACTGGTGATTTGTTAGATAGCCATTATGACCTCAAAAGTTGAGCTAGATGAGAGAATTCTTTTCAATTTTGGGAATTTTCAAGATAAAATTGGGATTTTCAACAGTTTAGTCAAATGGGAAAATTCCTATATTTGACCTTTTGTGTATGCATAAGTATCACTGTATAATGTTTTCAGAAAATGTCATGCATTTTTGTTATATAAGATACCACAATCTGTCATTATATTGGTATTCTGATTGCAAAAAGTTATTGCTGTCTTAGAATTAGCTATTTCTTTTATAAAAAATTGTTTTTAATCTTTTCTGAACCCTGTTGTTACTTTCATAACAATATGTTATAATTTTAAAAGCTGTATCTTATATTTTTATAGATTTTTTTATAAACTGTAAAATTATGTTATTTCCATATTGTTATAGAATATAGTTGATTCTTTAAAGAGTTGTAACATAGAATATGTCACTCATGAATTTTATATGTAAACGGAATAAAATGTTCCAATATAAGATATACAAACAAAATATTTAATATGCTGCTATTTTAAGAAGGATTTTAACCATTTAGCAATGATTTTGTGCTTGCACCATGCGCTAAAGTTTATTTCTTTCATACAAGCAGGTACTTTGTAGTTATTCTTTTCCAAACTTCTATCAATAATGTATAGATCAAAGGCAGCCGATATCTAGCTTTATACACTTTGAAATATATTATTACTTTTACATGTTGTAGCTTGATGTATCTGGTGAGTGTAAAACAATCTACCAGATTTCTGGTCCAACCATTATAAAGCAGAAACTAGACTGTGAAAACCTAGAAATTGCAGGACAGCATACAAATAAAAATGAGGTGATTATGAACTTATTGTTGATGTTGGAAACATAATTTTGTAGTGGTTATTTTTTATCTTTAGACAGGTCTTGTAATTGAACCTGCTCCCTTTTTCCAGAAATGACTATTTTTCTGGCATTTGGTTGTTGTCGCAAATTATTTTTTTCCAAGTTTTTCTAATTTCACTTTTAAATTTTTTTCATTTTTGCGGGCCACTCTGACTTATTTCCAAAATGGTTATAAAGACAGTGTTTTTGTATATTGAATGCAAGTTGTCTTGTTTCATAAGCTTTGGCTGGATGCTCTAAATTCAAAACCATCTAGTCATTAATTTCAGGAAAGTTGAAGTTACAATAGTAGGGAGCTACAGTAAAATATATATGTCTCATAATGATAAATCCTTACCTCTCTAATCTTTAATGGACTTGTCCATCTTTTATTCTGATCAAAACCATTCATCATTTTAAGGGAATAATGAACAGTGAAAGCCATGCAGATGTGCGTGCTTTTCACAGACTGCACTGCAGGTCACATGGATAGAATTAGTTACCCACGAGTAAATTTATTCATTACTCTGAATCTGTGTCATTCAGGTGTTTGGTGTATCATCAAGCAGCAGTCGTACCTGGACTTATCAGCTGGAGAATGATGTAGTGCACAGCATGATGGGATCTAACCGACATCTAGCCTCAATAAACATCAAATCCACACTGAATGCTAGGGTTCTAGCTGTGTAAGTCGCTTATCCAACCTACTGTACAAAAACAAAATTGCATTTTCCCGACAAACTTGTTAAGCCATTGATGTCTTTTGTCCTTGTTTATTTATTTTTTCCTTAAAAATTATTTGCTATGTAGATATTTGGTTGTTTTAAGGGTTTGATACAGGCTACAATGCCATTTTCCATGAAAATCAGATGATTGCATTAACAACAAATACTCCTATTACAAAATATTAATCTGACACATGAAATTGGTACTAATTGTGTAAAATGTAATTGAAGCCACCATATTTGGATGAATTTGAAAAATTGAACTGAAACATAAAGTAAAAGATGATTGAAATTAATGCCTAAAAGTTCAAAGCTTCCGACACGATTGGCTGAATGTATATTCTGTATAAGCCTTAAAATTTTAAGTTACTAGAATAAAAGCTTAATTCCATGTTTAACATTTCAGGCAGAAGTTAACATTACTGAGTGTAGAACCTAGTGCTGAGACAGATAAACTGCCAGTCACAGATTTTGAGGCCGCGGCACAATTTATAAAAGATGGTAAGATAAATATACATGGTATAGTTTCAGTACTTTGTAACCCAAAATATTTGTGAATATAACAGATTTCATCTAGCAGAGGTCATTTTAACAATATCATGTTATAATGATTATGTGTTTTTCCTCATTGTGCTGATTGCCACTGCTATACTCCCTCCAAGAACTTGAGGAATTCTGAATCGTGCCTGAAATAATGCACGAAATGGCACCGTAGGTCTTCCTCCACCAGTAAAGCTGGAACATTGCCATATGACCTGTACTGTGTCGGTGTGACGTAAAACCCAATAAAACAAACAAACATTTCACAGTTTTAAAAAATATTAAAGTTAATAACTAATCAACCATTAACTACATGATTTGTAATTATTGCTAAGTGTGATGTTTATGATGGATATATACATGTAGAAATAAGTCACAGTTTAGAGAAGAAATTTTCTCTTTATTTTTAAATTGACAATGGTGTCCCTTTATCAAATTTGTAGCACAAACATGAATTTTGGGTGTTTTAACATTTTGTTTTTTACTTTAAGGTAAGATTAAAATAATATCTGAAAATGATTTAAGATTAAAATAAAATCCGAACATGATTTAATATTAACTTGAACATTGAGTTAAAGATGATTTAAAGAGTACTAACTGTAATTTAAAGAAATCTGTTAATATCTTTTTTCAGGCTCAAATTATCCAGTTGTGGAAACATTGTTACCAAGTGCACCTGAAATACAGCACTGTACAAGTAAAACCTGTCAAAAGGTACAACTATCCTTTCTCAATTTTGAAGTAAAATTTCATCATTCTTTATAACAGTAAATGTGGTATATAATACATGTATTCATCATCTTTTCAGCTGAGAAGTTAGAAATGGGAAATTTGAAATTTTTAGAATGGTAAAGATATACATTGAGATATGTCATATCATACTGTATGAAACCGAGTAAATTTATGGAATTTTAGCTCCCATTTTATACATTATACTGTATGAAACTGAGTAAATTTATGGAATTTTAGCTCCCATTTTAAACATTATACTGTATGAAACTGAGTAAATTTATGGAATTTTAGTTCCCATTTTATACATTGAAAAAATGGCACAAAATAGAATGCATAATGGCAAAAGAAAATTTATTTTGAGTAAATATTAAATATATCTCAATTAAAAATTTCAACATATTCAGTATTTCCTGAAAACACATATTTCAATAAATCGGGCATTTCTTCCTTTTCAGCCATACGATGTGGTAACAAAGGTAAAAGATAGTTTAGTAAGTGAAAAGGTAGGCACTGCAGAGTCAGGAAAGGCATTCCTAGAACTGTTGAAATCTTTTAGAACATCAGGGAAAGACAGAATATCAGAAGCTATGACCAGTGGTGATAGTGCTTATATTGTGTAAGCCTTTTTTCATTTAAAGAAAGTCATATTTAAACTTTTATCTTTTTTTTAATGTGTTCAACTGGAACACATTTGAAAAAGTCTCGACAGCAAATGACATGAAATTGTTATTTTGGTATAGTTTGGTCTTAGTCACATTTAGTTAATCACAGTCATGGGTTAGTTTCCAGTCTTTTGGTGACATTCAAGGTGAATTTCTAAATATCTAGTGATTTTCCAGCTTTTATGATGTAAGAAAGAACTGAGATAGACGGGGTAACCCAGTTGGGGCCTCAAAAAAAACCAACAACAAAAGCCAGAGATGCCCCTTCATTACATCATTTGAGGCAAAGTTTGGGAAATTGGCAGATCTATCAACTTTCCTTAAGCTAGCTATGGTACAATATATAAAATGATATAGTTTGAAACCAAGCTAATATATTTAAGTCAACACTTTACCCACTTGAACTTGTCCCATAACATGGAAGAAGACATTCCCAAATCTATGTAGAAAAGTTTTGTCCTAGGGGTTGACTCTTTAAAGAGGAAACATGAACATTTTGTGAAAAAGGCATATTTTGTGGTATCTTGTATATTTTTACCATGATCTTTTTAACTATATAGCAGTATATATCAATTTGTAGGCCACAATTACTGGACATTGGAGCAGCAACACAGACACCTGCTGCCCAGGCAGCAATGATGGAGTTACTGAACTTTGAAGAGACAAAGAATTTAGTGTACCCTCTGAGGTACCTACTAGCTGCTGCATATACAACACATCCAGGGGAATATCTTGTTAAAGACCTTTTGGTAAGTGGATTTTAAATGGTAGGATTAAATCATTGGTAAAGTTTGATATTTCTAGTAGAATTAGCCAATGAAGTGCTGCATAAATAGGCTGGTATGCCATGTTAACATGAATTTTCGAACATTTGGTTAAGATTAGTTTGTACAGTCAAATTCAAATGCACAAGCAAGAACTATATTGCCAGCTGTAAGGTCAATGACAGTGACAGGTCAATATAATCATGCCTCTTTGTAAACTGTTTACTATACAATAATACTGTATATTAAATCATGCTTTTACTATACTGTTACATTTTACATGTATAATAATACTTTACCGTTCTACCAACAAGATAAACTGATTTCAAAGTTGTTTAATTGTTGCTTGCATCATTATTTTTTATAAAAAAAAATTAATCATTAATTAGATGGCAAATATTTATCATAAATATCTGTCATCAGAATATTCATGTTCATATTTTCTTTGTTAAATCAAAGCTATTTTTGTGATTTTAGAAATTGTTTAAGAAAAATCTTCCAAGTCCAGAGGTGAAAGAAGCTGTTGCCCTTGCACTCGGAGCTGTGATCTTTAACTTCTGTCAGGATCCAGAACAATGCCAATTTGAGGTATGACATATTGTAATGCTGTATTGTGTAATAGTTTTATCAGATACCAATATTTATATATTAATGTCACTTTATTCAAACATTTAAAGCAGCATGCCTCCAAATTCACGATAAATATAAAAAGTGTTTCAAATAGTAATAATATTGTCAATTGAACAAGTAAAGTAATCTAAGTTAACATAATTCACTTACAATCCACATAAGTTACCTTAAATGAGGAGTCAAAACATGCAGAAATAGCACTGACTCTATAAGTACCTAGGTACTAACAATGTGATTAGAAATAGTGACTGGTCATGTAACCTGTAAAACATCATGAGGGTTGTGAATATCTATACATTTTCCTATATTTTTCATACATTTTTCTAGTGTTTAATTTTTTAAAAACTTTTTATGCTTATTTTTATGCCTGCAGGATTTATCAGTTGTAACTGCAGTTGTCCTTTTATCACCATTTAGTAATATTTTACTGTGTTTGTCTATGTTTTTCAGTACGGTATTTAGTGAGAAATAGACAACATGTATTATTGTGTCGCCTCTACGGAGTAGTGGCGACATATAGGGATCACTTCTCCGTCGTCTGTCTGTCCGTCTGTCTGTCTGTCCGTGCGTCCGTCACAAAACTTGTCCGGACTACTCCTCATAAACTACTGGTGCAATTTTATCCAAACTTTACAGGAATGATCAGTACCAAGTCTAGTTGTGCATATTGTCAGCATTTTCCGGTTCAATGATTTTTGTCAGAGTTATGGCCCTTTAATAATTTTTAATTTTAAAGTTTGTCCGGACTACTTCTCTTATGCCACTAATGCAATTTCAATGAAACTTTACAGGATTGATCTGTAGCTCAAGTCCTTGCGCATATTGCACGGGTTTTCCGGTTGAATGATTTTTGGCCGAGTTATGGCCCTTTGATAAAAAGGTTTCTTTTTCTGTGTGTTGCCAGATACACAAAAGCTTGTCCGGACTACTTCTCATAAACTACTGGTGCAATTCCATCCAAACTTTACAGGAATGATCAGTACCAAGTCTAGTTGTGCATATTGTCAGCATTTTCCGGTTCAATGATTTTTGTTAGAGTTATGGCCCTTTAATAATTTTTATTTTTAAAGTTTGTCCGGACTACTTCTCTTATACCACTCATGCAATTTCAATGAAACTTTACATGATTGATCTGTAGCTCAAGTCCTTGCGCATATTGTACGGGTTTTCCGGTTGAATGATTTTTGGCCGAGTTATGGCCCTTTGATAAAAAGGTGTTTTTTTCTGTGTGTTGCCAGATACGCAAAAGCTTGTCCGGACTACTACTCATAAACTACTGGTGCAATTTTATCCAAACTTTACAGGAATGATCAGTACCAAGTCTAGTTGTGCACTGTCCGTCTGTCTGTCTGTCTGTCACAAAATTTGTCCCAACATGAAATTTGCCTTCATGAGGCGACACATGTGATTACTGATCGCTCTTGTTTATTTATAATTGACATAAGCAATTAACTTTCCAAACAACTCTGTCATGGGTGTGTGAATATAGATTGGGGGATACACTGGAAGCAACTAGCTACGTTTTATCTTTAAGGCGTTAATTGTATATGAGTGATCAAGAATAATCATGACCCTCTTGTTTGTCTTTCCAGTAATGTTTTAACTGTTTTCATGTTTCAGGTAGTGAAAGACTACCAGAAATCTATCATAGATTTATATTCCAAATGTTCTGATGAGAAATGCCGTTTGTTGTATGTTCGTTCAATGGGCAACTCAGGACTGCCAGATTTTAAAGAGAAGATATTTGAAACAATAGCTAACAAGGATAGTTCTTCCATGCTTGGCTTTACTTCAGTTCAAGCTTTGAGAAGAATCCCACCTCAATATATGGAGGAAAAGGTAAGCAACACAGTAGTTATTTTGATGGTTTATATATTAAATTTATAGATGAGGTTGAGTGCAGCACTCGCTCAGATTCAAGCTAATTTTTATGAAAAATTTAAAGTGCGTTTTATAGTTTTGATGCTATAAAAGGCAGTCTAAGGTAATGGAGTAATCATTTGTTTATAACTTTATGTTAAAGCTGCATTGAAATTCATGTCAAACAACTGGTTTTAGTATAGCATGATGCATATTGTACATGTATATATAGAACTTATTGTATTGAAAAGTTCACATTAAAGTGACATTATGCCCATCTAAAGGTATATAGTGAGTGAACAGATGAGATTCAAAAAATTTTCATTATGCCATAATCCCTTTTGATTTAATGATTTACTTCGCATTTACAATTAAAAACCACCAGATTCAAACGAAATTTCAGTAAATACATTTAGAATTTACCTGTAACGTTCAATTTATAAAAAGAGTGGGGCAGTCTTTTTATATTTTAGGCAGATTTTAAATTTTATCTTTAACATTTTCCAATATAATCTGTTGGTCAGACATCATTTAAACAGTCAATATTTTGAAATATAAAGTCAATTCAGCTCAACTTGACAATGAAAATATGAGCATAATGTCACTTTAACTTTGAATACATAATCAGTAGTATAATAGTAATGCTGATAAAGCTTGTTTAGAAACCCCTTTATTCATGCCTGTATGTACTTTGTGTGTGTATTTAATTTAGGATATAAAGTCATTACTGAAGATATATCATCAAACTGAGAGAACCTATGACACATCTGTACGCGCTGTTGCTGCTGAATTACTGCTTAAACTCACACCATCAACTGCTGTTGTTCGTAACTTGTTGTTAGCTGCACAGGGAGATCAAGTTAACTTTGAGTTATCAACATTTTTGTTGAGGAAAATAGTGGATATTGCTAAATATAATAGTGAACTCAGGTGAGTTGTGATTTGTAGTCATGAAAGCATCATAATTAGGTTTAGAATTGGTTGTAGCTGTAGGACTGTAAATACTTGTATATTCTGTACATCATTACTGTAACGACTTGTATGTAATTTGCATTAATACTGTAATACAATGTAACTTGGCTACATTGTGTACAGTGCCTAAAAAAGTTTGTACAATGTGCAATATTACTGTTGTTACCAGTGGGTCAGTCCATGGCATGTTCTGGCCTGTTTTAAACTTCATTGAAAGATGGTCATCTGGGATATTAGTCCACTACTGGTGGCAAAGGCTGACCACTTTCAGTTCCAGCTGACTAAGGGCTTTATTTATTGAATCAAACCTTAACAAACATTTTTGGAGCTGGCTATTATCAATTTAAGGGATATCATGATAAAAAACTCAAACTTTTCAGCCAACAGTATAGAGCTTGGTCAGACTGCACAGATGTATTTAGGCTGGTCTGGCCTTATACTGGTGGCAAAGGCTGATAACTTTTGGCTGCCGCTGAGTTAGGTTAAACAACAATTATTGTTCAACATGAGTGACTGACATCTTCAATGGGGACATTTTTTTTTTGGAAATATACGCTGTTTTCAATATGAAGAATGTTATTATTTGAATGTAGACATCACTAACACCTCTTACCTCAATTGTAGTTAACTTAAAAAATTTGTCCCTTTAGATATTGTAATAAGTTAACAACATTACCAGTAATTTCTTTATTCATTTGTTTGCAGAAATACAACTAAAGACATTTTAAGAGACATAGCAATAAATAATTATAACATTTGGGCACAGAAAGGAAAGTCAAGTGCCTTTAGCAGTTTATTAGCAGGTATTTTATCTTATAATTATTAAAGCTTACTTTCTGATGTAACATTCAAACTTTGAATGGAAAGAAAATAAAAATTGTGAAAGAATTGAATGCAAGTGCTGCACAAAAACTACAACAATTAACCCTTTCGCTGCCAGAGGGTTATTGTTTTATTGATCACCTATTTGCCAGAGGGTTTTCAAAGAAATTACTATATTATTAATTAATATAATTATTATAATTTGTAATTAGTATTATAATAATTATATATGCCTCCAAATCCGTTAGTATAATAATAATTATTGTCGATGGTATAATTTTCTTTATATTTATTATTATTTTTATTATTATTAATAATAATTTATTATTATTACTATTATTATTGTAGAAACGGCTAAAGCCGTCCATATGGCAGTGAAAGGGTTAATATGTTTTTGACTTGCACTGGAAGTTGGATAGACTATTTTGAAGTGCATGGAATAGTGTCTTAGGCTTTAGTGTGTCGCCTCTACGGAGTAGTGGCGACATATAGGGACCACTTCTCCGTCGTCTGTCCGTCCGTCCGTCTGTCCGTCCGTCCGTCCGTCACAAAACTTGTCCGGACTACTCCTCATAAACTACTGGTGCAATTTCATCCAAACTTTACAGGAATGATCAGTACCAAGTCTAGTTGTGCATAGTGTCAGCATTTTCCGGTTCAATGATTTTTGTCAGAGTTATGGCCCTTTAATAATTTTTAATTTTAAAGTTTGTCCGGACTACTTCTCTTATACCACTAATGCAATTTCAATGAAACTTTACAGGATTGATCTGTAGCTCAAGTCCTTGCGCATATTGCACGGGTTTTCCGGTTGAATGATTTTTGGTCGAGTTATGGCCCTTTGATAAAAAGGTTTCTTTTTCTGTGTGTTGCCAGATACACAAAAGCTTGTCCGGACTACTCCTCATAAACTACTGGTGCAATTTCATCCAAACTTTACAGAAATGATCAGTACCAAGTCTAGTTGTGCATATTGTCAGCATTTTCCGGTTCAATGATTTTTGTCAGAGTTATGGCCCTTTAATATTTTTTATTTTAAAGTTTGTCCGGACTACTTCTTTTATACCACTATTGCAATTTCAATGAAACTTTACAGGATTGATCTGTAGCTCAAGTCCTTGTGCATATTGCACGGGTTTTCCGGTTGAATGATTTTTGGCCGAGTTATGGCCCTTTGATAAAAAGGTGTTTTTTTTCTGTGTGTTGCCAGATACGCAAAAGCTTGTCCGGACTACTCCTCATAAACTACTGGTGCAATTTTATCCAAACTTTACAGGAATGATCAGTACCAAGTCTAGTTGTGCACTGTTTGTCTGTCTGTCACAAAATTTGTCCCAACATGAAATTGGCCATCATGAGGCGACACATGTGATTACTGATCGCTCTTGTTTTTTTAAAGTTCAATATTTGTTTTCGTTCTTGTTCAAATTAGTTGACAATTAAAAAAACAAAATGTCTAAGCTGGCTTGAAATTAGCAATTTTACACAGTATTTGGTTGAATTTGAATACAAAACAGTTATGATTTATTAGGATTCTATTAATTTGGCTTTGAACTTTGCCTTTTGGTACAAGTTTGACCGTCTTAATTTGTTTTGACAGAAACACAGGATGTAAATGCAATATATGGTTTATATATGGAGATGGCAAGGTCAAAAGTCATGAAGAAAAGTGCCATGGATGTCAGCATTGTGAAAAAAGACACCGTACAGAATCTTCTTAGTGTGAGTTGTATTAATTGATGAAATATTGAATCAGGAAAATTTTGATATCTGTGCTAACAAACTAAAATACAGTTTCATTGGATCATCATGTAAGATTATTTAAATAAAAAAGTAAGTTATTTGATAAAATATATGATTGTCTTAAAAAAAATGTTTTAAATATCAACTCATAGTTCAGTTCTTGTTTACTTCTAGATGAAACTGACATTATTATTTAAACAGCTATCAAATGATTTATACTCTGATATGAATGGTAATGTACATTTACAGTTTGGTATATATGCCTCTGGGTTGGAATCTTTGCTGGGTGAGGAGCCAGACCCGGATGCTGGTGATGAGGAGGCCACAGCTGGACTTGGGCTAAAGATTCTAGATGTTGCCTTGCCTTCTGTAGAGTTTTTCCGTGGCTCTGGTGGTCTTATGTCTGCCGTATGGAATGCTCCATCTGATCCGGTTACTGCACTTCAGGTATTCTATGTGTTTTCACGTTGACAACTGACTTAATATCGTTTAAAAATAAATTAAAAACTGATTATGCAATAATACTGTTTCATATTGTAAATTTGAGGTTGCAAAATCTCTTACCTGACACCATTTATGATGTGTAAAATCAGCTGCAAGTGGCATAGTGTTCTTGTGTTGCATAAATAAACCACAAACATTTGGGGTGTGGAGCTCCAGATTTGTAAAATCTAAACAAATTGTATATTTCACAGTCCAAGCACATAAACTTATCATGTATCAATTAAACTTAAGTTGTTTTGAAAAAAAATAAATCTATTCTACGTGTATATTATTGATGTTGAAATATGATTTTTTTAAGTGAAAAAAAAATTGAGAGTAACTTGTTTTATTTTGTTTCAGATGAGTTTCTTGTTACAAGATCATAGTGAAAAGTATCATCTAGCTAACGGTCTAGTTATAGACCTACAGGTGCTTGGAGTCGCATCCATTGATTTAACAGGCATGGTCAGCATTAGTCTGTGGAATAGAAATTCTGAATCTCTTATAAGAAATAGGTATGGTGAAATTTTGATTCTTAAAACTAAAGTTTTCAGCAGAGCTTTAGGGAAAAAAAGGATACAGTGATTTGTGGAGTTAGGAAAAACTGTGTTGTAATAAAAGCCCCCCTTTTGGAAAATGTTTAGCCCCCAGGGGCATTTAATAGGAATTTTACGGTACCCTGGTAGCTGATTTTTCAACATCAGCTGTTTAGTTAAACATCTTTCCTAAAGAAAAGAAAATTATTAAATAATTTTAATCTATATAGTCATGTCCTCCTTTGCATGGTCTACTATCAGAATTGTTAAAAAAATGATTTAATTTAGCTTATCTCTTTTCAGGAGTCACTTATTCTTTAATTATCATTAATCAACGGATAGAATTTTGCAATGCACTTTATGTACAGTTTGATTTAGGTGGAAACACACGATTTTAATAATGGCTCTTGATATTGAAATATATTAACAATGAAAGACTATTCTTCGTAAATATGGTGGTTTTTTTTTTTTTTTCCTTTTTTTATCTTTTTAAATATGTTTTTAATACAGTGGAGCCATAGTGATAGAAGGTGGAATGCGTCTGGCGTCAGAAATGGGTCGGGCAGAAGTTGTGTTTACAGCTGAGAGTGAAGCATTTATAGATTTTGAGACTGATGTTGATTTCTATGAGTCACCATTTAAAATGTGTATGCAGATGAAACGTCCTAAAGTAGCATTTAAGTAAGTTAATTTCTGCACTTAACATTTAAGTAATTATATTTTTTGCACTTAACATTTAAGTAATTAAAATTTCTCCACATATTACTAAGTTATTACAATGTCTTTTTAAGTACATTTCAGTAAAGTAAACTTATAAGTAAGTTAGCATTTAAGTAAATGAATTATCTGCACATTTAAAATAAGTACATTGTATGTTAATTTTATGCACATAATACTAAGAGGCTTCAATCAAGTGATATGTATCACATGGTGGGTGATAACAGTTCCATGAATTTGCTTGATTCACGTTGAAATAAGGCCTCTGTGGCCGAGTGGCTAAGGTTGTTGACTTCAAATATCTTTTCCTTAATTGCTGTTGGTGTGTGAGGGGTGGGGGGTGAATTCTGTGAGGGACTTTGTAAGCTTTAATGTGAGGAAGCTATCCAGCTGGTTTACTTATGGTCTGTGGTTCTACTCTGGTGCCCACTTGTTGCTCAAATAATGCATGAAGGTCTTATTTTACCATTAAAGCGTAAAAGTTGCCAGATGATCTTTACATTGCCCATATGATGTGACTTAAAATCCAAAACAAACTGAGAAATTATCAAAAATATAAATAATCCACAGTTAGTCATCTACAGAAAAGTGTATATTAAAGTTCTGTAAATTCATATTTTTTCAGACATACAGTAGACAAGTATGAGAAGGCAACGAGATTTGACAGGTGTTTCAAGTCAAAAGTTTCCAAGATATCATATATAGATGGGCTTTCATATTTCCTTAGTCAAAAGAACTCTGAAGAATGCAAAGTGTTGTTAGCTAAAAAATAGAATAGTTAAGTAAGTTTATTTCTCTAATATATGAATTTAGATATGTTCATTATGCATGGTCATTAAAGGTACATAAAGCTAACAACATCGAATTTTGAATTCTAACATAAAGTAACTGAGACAATTCTAACATGGAGTAACTGAGAAACTTTAAACAGGAAATATACAAATGATAATAAAGGAAATTAATTGGAATTAAATTTTAAATTAATTTTTTTGTGCATTTTTTAGCCCAATTTGAGTTAAAAGCATTTAAACTTTTTTTGTTGTTTTGCACAATTAAATGATTATTCTGAGAAAACACAAATAAATGATTATTCTGTAATTTTGCATACAATTTATTTGTCCGGACCATCATTAATTGGTATACAAAAATATTTTCACTCCTGCCATGTCAGAAAAAAACAACTCAGTAATGTCCCTTTAAGATTTACTGTTTCGGTAACTCAGTCATGGTTTTGGATGCAGATGGTAGTTTCTAAGTAAGGTGCTTCACAATAATATTTATTAAAAATCTAAACCCAATGCATGTTATCAAACATGTCTTGTTTCATTTTATAACATTTTACAGTTGTATTTAGTCGTAAATATGGAGTTATTCTTCACCTTAGTGCAATAAGGGGTTTACTCCTTAAATAATTAAATAGGAGTTTACTCGTTACTGCACAAATGTGACAATATGTAGCATCATACTATTGATAAAATCTGGTTGTATCAGGAATATTATTTGGTTGCAGAACAGTCATGTAATATTGAAGATTGTTAATGAGGAAATAGTGGTAGATTTTTGTGTCGCCTTGAAAAGGTGACATATAGGGGTTACTTTTGTCGGCGGCGTCTGTGTCGGCGGCGTCGTTGTCGGCGTCCCCTAAAGCTTGTCCGGAGCATAACTCAGTCATTATAAGTCTGATTGACTTCAAACTTGGTATGCATGCTTCTTTTAATAACCCGAAGTGCAGTGCACAAGGACCTGTACTCTGCAGTTCTTATTTTTTGAGTTATTGCCCTTTGTTAATTTTCATACTTTAATTTTGTCCGGGCCATTTCTCTTCAACTAAAAAAGCTATGGGCTTGAAACTTCATAGAATGATAGATCTCATTAAGAAGATGTGCAGTGCGTAAGAACCGGTACTCTGCACTTCCTAATTTTTGAGTTATTGCCCTTTGTTAATTTTCATACTTTGTTTTTGTCCGGGCCATTTCTCCTAATGTATAAAAGCCATGAACTTGAAACTTCATAGGATGATAGATCTCATTAAGAAAAAGTGTAGTGCATAAGAACTGATACTCTGCATTTCTTATTTTTTGAGTTATTGCCCTTTGTTGATTTTCGTACTTTATTTTTGTCCTGGTCATTTCTCCTCAAGTATGAAAGCTATGGACTTGAAACATCATAGAATGATAGATCTTATTGATAAGAAGTGCAATTCACAGAAACTGCTGCTCTGCACTTATTATTTTTTTAGTTATTGCCCTTTGTTATTTTTCCTATTTCATTTTTGTCCTGGCCATTTCTCCTAAACTACATTGTTCACAAGGCGACACATCCGACTCGCGGAGTTCTAGTTCATTTTAAGCACAACTTTTAGAAGAATAGTGGGTCTTTCCTACTGACACCGGTTTAAGAGTCATATGTGTTTGCCTCGCTTGTAACTTCTTTCACAACATCAATTAAATTTTTAAAATCTTCTGCTCCAAAACTTCAAGAGTGATATCTTAGATTTTTGGCATAAAACATTGTCCAGTGGTCCTGTACCAAGATTATTCAAATTATAGCCCTTGGATTATAATTGGTCCTGCTCCGAAGTGTCATGGAACCATGGGCTTTCTCTATGTAACTTAAATAGAATATATAACTGCTCCTCCAAAACTACATGATATTTGTCATAAAACATTGTCTAATGGACCTCTACCTAGATTGTTAAAAATGTAGCCCTTATATGGTCACAATTTGTTGCCTTAGTGCAATAACGGAATAAGTCTTTCTAAATTTAATAGCAGTTAATCAGTTATTGCACTAAAGTGACGATATTATTGGTCCTATCTAGCGGGCTGGGGAATTTGGGGTAAATGGGATTTGGATTTTCTTAAGTAAAAACATGAAAAAATCTATAATTCAGCCAATTAATACATCTGCACATTGTCTTTTGTTTGACATGCTGAAATATGACCTTAATCCCCAATTTCACATAATTGCAAAGTTCAATTGTTTAGAAACAAAAGATGAACCTTTTTCTGGTCCTTCTATTATTGTATAATGCAGTCGCATATTACATTTTGACAAATGCAGTCTAATTTTCAATGAAATCTTTAATTAATACCTACATTATCCAGGCTCTTATTTCACTATCAAGTATTGAGAAAATTTGAGGGCTTTCCTACTGAGAGTTTTTGTTCACAGCATTTGATGCTTATTATTCAAACTTCAAAGGATGCATTTGTGAGCATGTTATTAGTATGTTTCAATGTATTCGGGTCTTACATGTGACTGTTTATTCTGTCTTTTTTGTACAGTCAAATATTTCTCAGCAACTGAAATCTTTTCATAGGATGCCTCACTATAATTAAAAAACATGTGTTGTTTTGGTTTTACCATTTTTCATGGAACTACATGTATTATGACCTCTTTCTATTCCTGTAGCTATAAAAGGGCATGTGTCCTATTTACCATATACTTGCATCAGTAAGCTGTTTCTATGCCCCAGCCATAAAATGGCTCGGGCTTATAGTGTTACCCTGTTCCATCATTCTGTCACCCCGTTATTCTGTCATGATCCGTTTCTGTTCATTATCTTGGCAACGGTTGCAAACATTTAACTCAAATTTGACATGGATATATCTTAGGAAAATGCAGGTCTGTCTTTAATTTGGTCATAGTCTGATGCTTTTTGACAGAGTTATGCCCCTTGAAGAAATTTTCAGTTTCCATTCATTATCTCCCCAACAGTTGAACACATTCTACTCAAATTTAACATACGGATACGCCAATAGTAAGTGCAGGTCAAGTTTGAATTTTGTTATAATTCAATGATTTTTGGCAGAGTTATGCCCCTTTAACTTTTAAATTTTCAGTTTCCGTTCATTATCTCCCCAACAGTTTTTCACATTCAATTCAAATTTAATATATGGATATGTCTATAAAATGCACAGTTCAAGTACGAATTTCGTCATGGTTCAATGATTTTTGGCAGAGTTATGCCACTCTTAATTTGAAAGGAAAGGGAAGTTTTCAGTTTCTGTTCATTACATGTATCTCCCCAACATTTGTACACATTCAACTCAAATTTAACATAAGGATATGTCATAGAAATACACAGTTCAAGTATGAATTTGGTGTTGGTTTGATGATTTCTTACTTAAGTTGAAATGTATGTATATGGTTGAAATTGCATGTGCAGGTATTAAACCAGAAAAAAAAACAAGTAAAGTTCAAATTTGGTTATAATTTGATGATTTTTGACAGAGTTATCCTTCTTGCATGTCCTGCTTGGCTGCACAGAATGGCACAAAATAGAAAAATCTTGTCTGGCCTTCACAGGTCCAACTATTGGTGGGATTTCAACCAAACTTTACAAGAGTGATCAGTACCATCTCTAGTTGTGCACATCACCGTCATGTTCCCCTTCACTTCACAAAATGGCCACGAGAGCTAAAAATAGAAAAATCGTGTCTGGCTTTTACAGGTCAAGCTACATGTGGGATTTCAATGAAACTTCACATGAGTGATCATTACCATCCCTAGTTGTGCATATCGCAGGCATGTTCTGCATTGCTACACAAAATGACCACCACAGCTATAAAAAGTAAAATCTTGTTCTACTGCTTGTAGGATTTCAATGAAACTTCACATCTCTAGTTGTGCATATTGCCCGCATATGCAAGTAGAAAAATACTGTCCTGCTATCACTGGTTAAAATGCTGGTGGGATTTCCACCAAAATTCACAGGAGTAACCATACATAGTTTTGGGAGATATGTTTTTGTGACAAAAACCCTTCTAGTTAAGAATATGTAGCTTTGCCTGTTGACATGCATGTTCAAATCATGACCCTTGGGTTCAAATTTATAGCCTTCTCCCTCCGGAGCACTTTTTTTAATAGACAAAGACTTGCATAGTAAATTATTTTTGTCTAATTTTCTTGAATCAAAATGCACTTGACTGACCCTCTTAGTATTGGACTAGATAAGCAATGAAAGTGTTATCTTGGTCATTGTTTGCTCCTAAACTACCAGTATAGAGCTAGGTCAGCCTGTACATCATGCTTTACTATTAGCTGTCTTACTTAAAATTTCTATCTTGGAAATGGACATTTTACACCTGAGAGCCGGACAAGTCCAAATTAGGAAATTCTGCATTGTAAGGTTTAATTGCCATTTAATTCATGCTCACCCCATTCCATTTGTAATTATATAATAAATCTAGGCCAAAAAAAAATCAAACTTTTTTATATCAAAGTTCATGTTGACATTGCATATTGACAGCAACTGTTGAATGATGCTGGTTTTGGCATACTTAAAAACCTGGGCTGGGCTTTTGAGCAACACTTGCCTCTGAAACACTTCAGGATGCTTTGAAAAAAGTATTTTTTATTGAAGCAATGGATATAGAAAAATGCACAGTTTGAGTTCAACTATACAACAATGAAATCATAAAGAACAAAAGGCTTGAGTACAAAGTATTTGACTGATAAACCATGCATTATTTTATTGCAACACAAGAAAGCTTGATATATGTTTCCATTGTTTGGTAATAGGTATAGAATCAATAAAAATATGTTGAAGAGAAGTAATTTTTATGATGTTGTTTTCTTTGTTGATGTTACATCTTACGTCATATGGGAGTGCTCATTGCTATGTTAAATGCAACTTGATATTAGTTGATGTCTACAGTGGCCCCCCCCCCCCAGCCATGCTGCTCATTATTATCAAGTCTCCAGCCCAGATTTTATGTTATGTCAGTTGTGTTTGACAGCAGACAGTGATTTATGTGATTTTTTATGAGGTGTGATGCTATAATAGAGGTCAACATGTTTCATAATAACTTTGTCTATTACATTTTAATACCAAAGCAAAATAACTCTCAGGCTAGCTATGCATGTCATTATTTACTGTGTGATTAAAATTTATGACTAATGTTCCATTGATTTTATGTACAAAATTTCAGTTCAAACATAAAAAAAACATAACAAATAGAACACATTTACACTACATTTTTTTTTTAAAAAGTATGATATTAAAGTTTATTTGTTGAAAAAATTGGCTTTAACACTCAAAGATAAAGACCTTGGTCCAGAGAGGGAAAAATGGTTACAAGTAGCCCATTAGATGTCTGTCACTTCATGTCACAGTCTGTGTGGTCCTACAGTCACTTGCATCTGACCTCACAGACTGAACAATAAGTCTTTGATGGATCACGAGGTATAGTCAAGTATGCACACAAGAATCCTAAAAATCTTTAGTAATTAACAGTCCAGAATTATCCTGCATACATCTCTGAACATGATAATATTAGCCCTAAGTTCCATGGATGAATTAGGCTTTAAACAATGAGTTAAGTCTGGAAATTTAGAACTTTTTTATGGATTTATTTTGTCTTGTCTTATCCATGAATGATAACAAGATTGGTGCTTCAAGGGATGGGGTCCCAACATGCATAAAGAATAATTATATTACAATTGAATGAAAAATATGATTTTTGCATAAATGGTTAGTTTTAATGATTAAAACTTTCATGAATAATCTAGTATTAAGGAAAAATGTCTTGGTATATATTAACTTATTGAACTTGAAATAGTCAATTTATAACAGTTCTAATTAATGTTGTAGGTAATAACATTTGGCCTATGTGGCCCATGTAATATAAGAGCAGGCAAGCCAGATGGATTGAGCAGGCTCTATGTTGCTGACTGCTCAATGTTATTGTTTTAATCCTAAAATCCCTTCAGCAACTAAATGGAATGTTCCTAATGTAAGAAAGGACAAGTCCATTAGACTTATTCAGTGGGATTAGCATTAGAAGCTTGAAAAGTTTTAGCGACTCCTAATCTGACTAATTATGTTAAGCATATTACATTTATTTTGGACCTGAGATATAACTCCCAAAGGAGAAAATTGAGCTGTGGTATATAAAGCTAGTCTAGAGAAATTTAACAGACAGGTACTGATAAGCCAAGCCTCAAACAATCTGTAGTAAGTTGTGTATTGATGTCCTTGTAACTGTGTACCAGGTATTGCAGGGAAAGTGAGACAGAGTTCCCATGGTAACTAATTTATCTCTCTGTTCCAAGAACATTTGTGATTTATACAAATCTAATGTATGACCCCCTTAAACCTATATCATAGGCCTGTTCTGAAAATAAATTTAATAATATTAAACTGTAATAGTCACGTGCATTTTTGAGTACACAGGAGAAATTGTTCTTTTATCTTGATTTATACATTTGATCATTGTTTCAACGCCTAGGAATTGTATTTCTTGATCTTCGGGCATTCATTTTATACTAAAGTTCGGGTATTAGCTAGTTTTGTAGGAAAAAAAAGAAATAGGTTTGAGTTATTTAAAAATCAGTTCATTGAGAATAAGTCATGAAGTGGGATAAACTTGTTGCATTAATAAGATAAAGGCAATGTCAGGATTAAATGGTTAAATGTGAACGTTATTAAAATAGTGAGATAAAGGCATTTTTTGGTTCAAATTGTAAAATGTGGTAAAGATTGTACTGAGGTTAGCCATTGCAAGGTTAATTGAAATGTGTATCATATAACTTAAATATCATAACTAATTATTCATAAACAAGTGTGGAAAAATACTTCATCTATATTTTTATTATAATTTAGTAATAGGTTACTTTATAATTTTTGTAATGGACTTGTCCAGCTTCCTCTTTTGTAACTGTCCATTATCAGTTTTTGGGATATCAAGATGGAAATTAATTGGTCATGCATTCCTTGATTACTTCGTAAACTACTTGGTGTGAACAATTTGTACATAGACAGTCCTGGCTCTATACTGGTGGCAAAGGCTAATTAGTTTTGGTTTTCAGCTAAGCTAATGAAGAGATAATGTACATGGTTTATTTATAGCTATCCAAATTAGATAGCTTATCAAGGTGTCTTCTTACAGAGGAAAGTGTGATACTCTGTATTTTACTTTGTTGATAAAGCTTATGGATGTGCTAGACTGGAAATTCTCAACCTTTCTCACACAAATACATAAATTATTATCTTTTCTTGCCGCTTTATATGTCAACTTATATGATATGAAGATGTTTCATAAGACCCAGATCTGTTCAATTTTACATGTTGTGGAAAAGAGATAAAAAGTATAATACAAAAATGGGGTCTTCTTCTAGTTTCCAGTCCATTAACATCATTTCTTGATGAATTTTGAAATTATGTTATAGAAATGTTGATGATTATGTGTCACCATTATATTCATAACTGTATGCAAGCTCCAAAGGTCTGAATTGCATTTAAAGGTTAATAGTAAAAAAAGGGTTAGTTAATTTGTCATATTCAATATCCATCACAAAAAGAAATTTCAAGAAATATCTGCTAAAATTTGACATTTACAGGCGATTTTGCATTTCAGTGAATATGATCGAAAAATAAAGTGCTTATTATAAAAATTTTAATGTGATTGTGACATTGTGCTTTAAAATTAAGATTTTACCATTATTACATGATACGGAAATTCAAAATAATTTTATTTCTTGATAATGAATCTAAGCAGGGGAGATAAATGTGCTAAAGTAAGTTGACATATGTCTGAAGTGTTGAATGTCACATGTTTTCTGTAAACAGACTTAATTTCTTATGAATTCATTTAAAGTAATGTTAGTTGATAATAGTTTATCTACACATACAATATCTTTGTTTCTTTTTTTGGATATTGTTTGTACTTTCAGGTGAATCAAAGCCATTCCAGAAATGTATGCCTCAAGGAAAATTATCATTATCATTGATGCCTCAACTATCATTGATGCCTCAACAGACAGTTATCTATATTATTGATGCCTTAACAGACAATTATCTATATTATTGATGCCTCAACAGACAATTATCTATATTACTGTTGCCTCAACACACAATTCTCTATATTATTGTTGTCTAAACACAGTTATTTTTGCTAACAGAGCTATCTTTAAAAGTATTATCATTATTGCATTGACAGAGTTTTCTTTGCTTTCATTGCAATTCCTCAAAAGATAATGTAGATAATAAGGTATTTTAAACTTTATTTTGTCATATATGAATTTTTTATACTCATTTTTCAAAATCACTAGCTTGTCGTACATACAACAATATGATTACTCAATGCTCATGTTAATTCCTGAAATTGTCAACATAAATATTTTCATGTTATTTATTCCATGACACATTGGTCTGTTTGATCTCATTTTGTTAAATTGAAGTTTAGTATAGGATTTATGTGAGGTTTTCAAGTTGTAATGATTGTTTTAAATGGTTAATTATAACAAGAGATTGCCTTGTCAGATGTTGTTAGTGTTAACTGAGTTAATATTATAGCTGGAATACAATAGTGCAGTAAAATTCCTAGTCAAATATTTATGAAAAGTTACATAGATAGCACAAGGCTCCTCCCAGTTTTGTATTCCTTTAGATTTTTAAAGGATTGCAGGGCAAATCCATTATAATTTCTATTACATGTAGATGATTTGGTAAATTGGAGGGTAAAGGGGTGAGGTTGGATGTTATTTGGAGACTTACATTCAATACAAATTGTCAGTGAGCTCAGTTATAGCTCTATAGTAATATGCATTTCATTATTGAATAATGTTTACCTTATTATAATACACATGTATTGACTTTAAATCTGGCTAATCACAGACGTTTTGTTTGATGTGCAAAATAAAATTCAGTGAACAATGTGCAATTATTGTTATGCCAACATTTTATTGTTTGTTATTGAAACTTATATACATGTATGACGAATATTTTGCCAATTTATTTGCATCAGTATTAAAATAAGATTTTGAAATAATATATGTTGCTGATATCAAAACATACTTGTACAATTTGTTTTCATCATTCTTATGTAATACATGTTTTGCTAAATGAAAATGTTTTGTTTAAATGCAAGAGTATAATAGTTATACATCAAATGTATAATAATATATATATCAAATATTGATTATTATATAATTCATGTTAAATTTCACAATGTGCCAAACAGTTATGCAGTGTTGAAATATCATATTGAAAGTCTTCCATTTTGTAGTCAACTTTTAAGCACTTATAAAAGCTTATCATCATCTTAGTGCAATAACAGATAAACTACTGTTTCAAAATAGTAGTTAATCCATTACTGCACAAAGGTAACATAATGTCCTACATATTTTCACATTTTAGCTGTTGACCAATTCCAGGCTACATTTTCGTTTCATCATCTTGCTGGGGTCAGCATATTTCTCTTGACAAAATACAGTTTCAAAATTGAAGATTCATTATTTAAGTTTAAATAAAATAGATCACATGGTCATATTTGTGATAATTTGGTCCAAACAAAACTTGATACTGATGCATACTTTTATGAAAAGGCAGGTCAGCTTCAAAGCTGGCTCATCAAGGGTACAATATAAATATAGACTGTGGAATAATAGAAAAGTTTTGTAAAATTTAAAAAGACAATATTTGCTTTGAAAATTGGATTTTTTTTCCTGGTATACTATTTTGGCTAATGATTTGTGTTGAATTTTCAAGGATTTATGATAGGAAATTATGCATGTATAAACAATAATTGGCTTGAAGTTATACTTGGTTAGAACGTAAGTTTGATAGTAATTTTTAAGATATGTCATTTATTTTGGCAATGACATGGTCATCGATGCCATTGTGTTTAGCGTACATTATGCACAGAATTAGTCACAAAAAATATTTGTCCGTCCATCAGAAATCAAAATTTGTCACGACAATTTTTCATCAACCACTAGTTATACCCTGCACAACAAAGTTGTAAGGGGGGTATACTGGAATCAGCTTGTCCGGCCGTCCGGCCGTCCGTCGGTTTTTTCTTGTCCGCCCAATAACTTAAGATTCCTTTGACCCTTAGTCTTCATATTTGGCATGGAGGTTAGTCATGATTAGTAGATGACCCCTATTGATTTTGAGGTTATCAAAGGTCAAGGTCACAGGGGCCTTGACTTCAAAAAGCTTGTCCGCCCAATAACTTAAGATTCCTTTGACCCATAGTCTTCATATTTGGCATGGAGGTTAGTCATGATTAGTAGATGACCCCTATTGATTTTGAGGTCAAAGGTCAAGGTCACAGGGGCCTTGACTTCAAAAAGCTTGTCCCACCAATAACTTAAGATTCCTTTGACCCATAGTCTTCATATTTGGCATGGAGGTTAGTCATGATTAGTAGATGTCCCCTACTGACTTTGAGGTCACCAGGTCAAAGTCACAGGGGCCTTGACTTCAAAAAGCTTGTCCGCCCTATAACTTAAGATTCCTTTGACCCACAGTCTTCATATTTGGCATGGAGGTTAGTCATGATTAGTAGATGACCCCTATTGATTTTGAGGTCACTGGATCAAAGGTCAAGGTCACAGGGACTTTGACTTCAAAAAGTTTGTCCACCCATTAACTTAAGATTCCTTTGACCCACAGTCTTCATATTTGGCATGGATGTTGATCATGACTATAAGGTGACCCCTATTGATTTTGAGGTCACTGGGTCAAAGGTCAAGGTCACAGGGACCTTGACAAAAAAAAGAAGCTTTTCTTTTCAATTGCTAAAGAATGTCCTGTCCGCAATGTATTGATTTTGACATTTTCACATTTGAAGCATGTAGAATACATAACTTAGCAATGCACTGGCTTAGTAACCTCAGATTTGGCAGGGAGGTTGTCCTTGAGCTCTAAATGGCCACTGTTGATTCTGTCAAAGTGGTATGCGGGGGTATTCACGCCATGATAGTGGCAGTTCTAGTTTAAAATTGAATATGAGGTAATGAAGAGGTGATGTGCATAAAATGTTTTGTTTACTGTGGGAGTCTTTACTTTTGAGAGTTATGGCCTTTTACTTTTTGTATGTTTCTCTGAATTTTCCTCATTAATTCTACAAAATTTGCTTCACATGAAATGATGTAGTGTTGCACATATATGTATTCTTGATTTTACTATGTCTATCTTATAGTAAATTTATATTTGAATATTTTCTACAGTATCTTATTACCTTAAAGGACTCTGCTTTCAGTATTATTACTTTAATATGTTACATAGTTATACAATCTATTTTAAGACTTCTTGTACACAATTTAGCATTATTATTGTATTTTTATATAAAAATAACAACGAAAATGTTACAGTGCTCTGCTTGATATACGGTATATTTTTTCACATTTTTTGCATTTTTTTAAACATATGTAGTTTCCAGTACTGTTAACTTCTAATATTTTTAAATCTCTAGTATCAATAATTTCATTAATCTTCTGAGGATGTTTTTTTGTGAGATGAAATATTTTAGGGTGTATGTATGAGCAATATATGTAATGTTATCATTATACAGAACTCAAGTAAATGTTTTTTGAAGAAAAAAAATTGTTAGTTTATTATTTTGTAAAAGTTTTATTACAGCTTTGCATGCAACATCAACTTTCAGAACTTCTGAAGATGTTATTTTTTAAAACTTGTTTCTTTTCTTAGATCGTAATAGGTTACTATCCAGGACCCGTAACTCTAGTGCAGATTTTTAACTGACTTTTATGAAACTCTGAATTTCTGAACTTACTGTAAGGGATTCACACTTGAAACTTAACATACATGTTGTGGAACTAATTGTAAGTTAATATCCAAAGCCCAAAATTTTGACAGGGTATTTGATGAATTTTGGCTCTTTTTAAACTGATTAAGTAATTTGCATGTAATAGCAATCTTCAAAACTACTGAAGGTATTCCCTTGAATCTTTATACACATTAAGGATCATAATCGAGGGTCACTGTGCAAGGCCCATAACTGGCATGGATTTTGACATGAGTTGTGGCCCTTAATGAACTTCAAAATATCTGGTTTAAACTTCAGACTTATTGACCTTATTCTCCTCAAACTTAAAACTCGTATTAGAGTTATTAATAGGGGAGTCTATTCAAGGCCCATAAATTTGACATGGATTTTGTCAGACTGAACTATAACCCTTTGTATGTTATATCAATCTTCAAAACTATTAAAGGTATTCACATTCTAAACTGCTGAAACTTTATGCACATGTTTGAGATCATAATTGGAATGGATGTCCATGGCCCATAACGGTCTCCGTAGTCGAGTTGATGACTTCTAATCCAGTTACCTCTCTGGCGTGGGTTCAATCCACAGGAGATACTTTGGTAGTTTAGCGCAGAGGAAGGTAGTCTAGTACTGGTGTAACTCTCCAGGAACTATGGTTAGGAAACTACCCGCCTTAGTATATAACTGAAATACTGTTGGGAAAAGGCGTAAAATGAAACAAACAAACTATGGCCCATAACTCTGGCATGGATTTTCAACAATACTTGACACAAATGTTCACAGTCTTAATGACCACCTTATGTCATGTGTCTTGTTACATACAATATACATGTTTATTTATATATTACTATGAAAATGACCTAAAAATATTCTTCATTAATGGGATAAAAATACAATCACAATTACTAGTCAATAATTGTTAAATAATTTATTTGTAATATATCAAGATACATTTTATAGAACAGTATTACAATTAACATAAATCCCTGAAACCATTCCATTTAAATATAGATCACTCAGTCCTAGTTCTATACTCTCATATTGATCAGCCTTCACACCTGTAGATTATTTTAATTTTAATTTAAACGAAAGCCGAAAACTGTTACAAATGAACTATCATAGTTGAAGAGAGTTAACCGGCTAAGAGAGTAATTTTTATACTGAGTTTTACATTTACTGCAGTGTTTGATGGCATTTGTTCAATGATAGGTACCCGATTCCAAGACTGGATTTTTTTGCTAAATTGCATTATTCATACAGGAATCCTATGAGATATTTCAATACTAAAGTTTACTATATAATATAGTTGTTTCACAGAAGTTTTGTTTGATAATCCCAGGTGTGTTTTCAGCTTTTCCATACAACTTTCGGAACTTACATATAAATATTAATTGTACTGTCATAATTATAAAATGTACATTTTATATTTCTCAAGAAAGGAAAAAAAAAATGAGCCATGTCACGACAAAATCAACATAATGGGTTTGCGACCAGCATGGATCCAGACCAGCTTGCGCATCCGCGCAGTCTGATCAGGATCCATGCTGTTCGCTTACAGACCGTATAACAAGTAAAGAAACTGATAGCGAACAGCATGGATCCTGATCAGACTGCGGGGATGCGCAGGCTGGTCTGGATCCATGCTGGTCGCAAACGCACTATGTTGGTTTTGTCATGACGCGGCTCAAATGCAAAAAAAAAAAAAATCACAATGACTCTGGCATTAAGAAAGGAGGCAGTCATCACAAAGTTAGCGAATACTGGCAACACAAAAGGTTTACATCAACATACATTGCTACATATACAGGCGTGGTACATCACTCGATATTATATTACAAGGAATATGTATTACATACAACAGAACTTCAGTCTAGAGTATTTTTAGAGATGCATAAAAATGTTTTCTTATGAAAGACATTTTAATACTGACCTATGATTTTGATATTGACCCATGATTTTGTTATTGACTTCCTCCAGGATTATGATATTTACCCTGAGAATTTTGATAATAACTTCAAGATTTTGATGTTGACAGAGGATTTTAATATTGATTTCGTCTTGGATTTTGATACTGACTTCCCTATGAATGTGATTATTGACTTTCATTAGGATTTTTGATATTAACCGAAGATTTTGATATTGACCTAAGTATTTGATATTGACTTCCTTTAGGATATTGATATCAACATAGATAATGACCATGATTTTGATATTGACCTCCCTATAGATGTGGATATTGACTTCCATATTGATTTTGCTACTAACCTAGGATTTGAATATGGTCTCCCTATGAATATAAACTTCTATTAGGATTTTGTTATTACCTAGGGCTTGACTTCCTTTAAGATTTGGTATAAACTTCTATTAGGATTTTGATATTGACTTCCCATAACCTTGGAAGTTCTTGAATCAAAATGTGACAAGTCTATGAAACAAATTATGAAACAAATTCATTAAGGTGACACTGACTGTGCACCTAAATTCAACCTCACATTTGAATTCTATTTCAAAAACTACATCAATATAATTTCTGCTATTTTTTTTTTTTAAACAAAACAAAAATTTGTTTTTGCTAGAAATTCATGGCAATAAATCAAAGTGAGTCAGATATCAAACATTCAAAACAAGGTGGTTTGGAAATCCAGATATTGCAATATAAAAGTTTTTTTCTCTAGAAATTATTTCCAGGAACATATTTATTCTCTCTATCTCCAAAGACTGAAGTTTAATTTGGCAACCATGTTTATTAACACTGTTTATATTTCCCTCTACAATAAAATAACTGTCAAAAAAAAGATAAAAATATATAAATTAAGGTATATTTAAATAAACATTAACTAATATGCTACATCCTGACCAGCTATACAGTAAACATAATAGAAAAAAAACATGCAACTAAATAAAATTTAGTCAAAACAGAGGTGAAAAAAAAGAAAATCAACATATTTATATCCATGAATGCTATTGCTACCAGGAAAATGATTTGGTTATTAAATCAGTAGAGTTAGTTTGGCCAGTCTGTATGACGACCCTTTCTGTTGGCCGCTCAAATTTAACTACATTTTTACTTTAGAAAATTAACTTTGTATACTGGTCATAGGCTAAACACAACTCAACTTTTATTGCTCAACTTAGGCATATTATAAAAAAAATTCCATTTCAAAAATTAAAAACATAAATGCTAAACTTGTGGTTAATAGTCTCACATCACCTCCAAAATGTTAATCTCCATCAACTGTCAAATATTTTAAATAACACCAAAACGGTAATGTGTAAAAGGTCAAAAAAGCAAAATATGAACGTTTGTGACTAGTCTTCTAGTCTGGTTTTTATATAAAACAATAAAATGGCATAAACACTGTATGAAATGTAAAACTATTAAAGTGAAAAATTATCAAAAAATCACATCAAATATATAAGCATGCACTTTTTATAGACACTACTATATATACATATATACACATATCTTCTCGATAAAAAAAGTTCCATCATATTAAAGATCAAATATAAAAAATTTGGAAATGTTTCTTATATAGTTTCCATCTTATATTGATATAGCCTTATATATACATTTCAAGATTGTATTACTAGGTAAAAAAATACTAGCCGATATTGCTTCCCATATTTTATAATATAACATTTATACCTTGCCACTCTCGAATGTGAAAAGTATCTTTGTTGTACAGTTGTAAAACTACAGATATAAATAAACACCACTGTACTTGTAAAAACTAGAAAAACAAAATCCATATGCTTGGATGCAGATCAAAAAACAATGTATACACATATAGTTTTGCGAGTTTCTTTCTAAGAAATACGAATAATTCTATGGACGGACTACAAACTAAGGTCCAATCTTACGGCCTTCAGCCTTACATAATCACTTGTTTAACAAGTTATGTATAAAGTTTATATACCCTTTTTTTTTTTGAATTTTTAACGTGAATTTTAACAAATTCAATTATTTTACCAGGAAAAAATTCACATGCCAAAGGAAGAAGGAATATCGTTGATAATCTGGTCCTCTTAACAAGTTTGTTACCGTGACAACGTATCTATATATAATGCTTTACTTTTCTAAAAATGAACAATTCCTCCATATATGATGTTATGCATCAATTAACTCTTCTGTGATGATTAAAATGATATTTCTTGCAGTGAAAAATGAACAAGTCACATTCTGATTATAAATCAAACTTCTATCAGATAGAAAATTGCTTTCCACTCCTCAGTTTTATATTACTGTCTTACTCTAAAAAAAAACACCTTGATGAAAAAAAAATTAAAAAAAATCGAAACTCCCTTGAATTTTTTTAATATGAATTAATATTTACTCTAAAGTCCCGATTACCCATCCCCAGCCTCACTGATAACACAAGACATAAAATAAGTCAACTTAATTCTGAATTACACATTTTAAGAAGTTATGTCAATAGTTCTTTTACACATGTTATTTTTTGTTGTTTATAAATAACCTTACACAGGAAGTATCAACTTGAACAACAGGAAATTAAGCAACTCTGTCACATGACCAAAGTTACAACGAAAATAGTTCAAAATAAAAACAATGAGTACTTAAATACTAAAGTACTAACATATTTAACTGATGAGAAACTGGCTTTAGTTTAAGTTCCCTCTATTTCATTAATGATAACAGCCTTGAGTTATAAATAGTTCCCCCTATTAAATTCATTGATGATAAACAGGGTCAAATTATTACAGTTCCCCTTTTTAATTACTGATATTTTAAATTCCCCCTATTTTATTGATGATAAACAGCCATTGAGTTATTTAAAGTTCTTCCTTATTCATTGGTGAATGACAGCCTCGAGTTATTTAACATCCCCCTTATTCATTGGTGATCAACAGCCTCGAGTTATTTAAAGTACCCTCAATTTTATTGATGACAAACAGCCCCGAGTTATTTAAAGTTCCCCCTATTTTATTGATGATAAACTGCCTCCAGTTATTTCAGTACCCAATTTAATTGCTGATAATGATTTAATTGCCCTCCACCCCCCCCCTGCTGAGTTGCAGTTACAAAAGCCTACCCAACTTGGGTTATTAAAGTTTCCTTAATTTAATTTTCATCAAAATCTGACTAGTGGTAAACTCTACAATCATACAATCATAAAAAATACAATTTATAAATTTATAAACAGTTTTTGATAAGCAACACATGTAGCAAAATATATAGTCATGAATTTCAGATAGTTTTATCTAGAATAAATCAAAGATTAAAGAGATTTCTAAGACATATAGGATAGTGTAGGATTTCCCCACTTATCTTCTGCCTGCATCTATTGTTTATCTATTGTATGTAATTAATCCTGATGCATGAATCGGGGAAAATCCACAGGGTGCCAACAATTTGTATAAAGGAATCTCTCACAAAGAATCCACTGTGTAAATGCTAGAAATATCAGCTATATCTCATATGGTAGAATTCCCCTCTAAGAAAAGCATAATATTTTCTATATGGCAAAATATTCCATCTTGTTTTTCACATCGACAACAAACTTTTCATGATCTTTTAAGTTATATAAATAGATCTTTACTAAAAAAAAAAAATAACAGATTGTATAACCAATCATTTGCATTTTTCCATTTTTAACATAAACAAGATCTTGCTGGCAATACATTAAATATTATTAAAGAAAATTTTCAAGGCATAGTTGGTTGTCGCAGAATTTCAAATAAAAGCACCATTTTAGAGTAAGGCACAAAAACATAATATTTCTCTGGCACTAAGATCGAAATGTTACAAAAAGATGATATTTTGTCCAAAAAAAGCCTTATTTGCAAGCTTTTTCTTAAAAAAGAATGCTACCGATGTTATATGGTAAATCAATGAACATCGATGATGATAAAGTCTCAGTTTTGCGAAAGATGTCCATCCCCCCCATCGAAACATAACCTCTAATCCATACGACGGCAATAATAACCGAGCATTTTACACTTGCCACAGAGGTGCTGAGGATGAACCTTACTCTGGTCCGATACATCTAAACCATCCGGCTTCTCAAGAGGGCGCTGAAAAAAAATCATAATTATTAACTTCTAATTCTCGTAAATAATATAACAATTATTAAGGAATATAAAACTGTGTGTTTATTATTCATTGCTTATTTTCTATACTAATTAACACTTTCAATGCTTTTAGTGAAAATGGTAGACAAATGTAAACAGTTCAGAGTCTGGTTGGCTTGCACTTCCGTGCCACTTGATTCAAACTCTTTACTGTTTGCTACTTAGTTTTAAAATTTTGATATTGAAATCCCTTAAACTTTCCAAGTTTAGTTCTTTAATCAAAACAGGCTGGGCCCATTAATGAAATTTAAAGTCGGGTGACAGTTAAAAACAATAGCATTGTAGCAGAGACTGAGATCTTGTTAAAAATATGCTCTTTTCATACATATCCTGAACTAAAAAAACAGCAGCATACTGCTGAACATAATTAACATTCCCCTAACTTTAACATTTTAATCCTTTAAATGTAATGAACTTCTGCACAAAACTGTTTTCGGAAAATAGAAACAATATGAAGCGACACATTGAAAAGCAGACAGTAAAGACCATAATCATAAGGTACGAATAATAATCTTAATCTGCACTTATTGCATGGAAAGATTCTGTACGCCCATTCTCAATAAAATAAAGCATTTGAGGTTGAAAAATATTAAAAATTTGATGTTGTCATTGTGTCATTTTTTATCGCTGAAGTAAATGTTTAGGGTATTTTGCAAGTTTGCCTGAAATATTTTGAACAAGAAACTATGATATAACAGGATGGCATTTATTTCGGTAATGACACTGTATTTCTTCGGTAACGTAGATTTCAGATCTTATAATGTAACATATTGGCTGCATATTAATAACAAATGTCTGTAAAATATATCAAAATCTGTAAATTCTCTATCTAGAGGGACTTTCTAACCCAGGAAAATTCAAAGAAGTTGGGTACCTTGCTAATTTTCAGTCAATTTCTTCAAAGTTAAATATTCGTAGAAAGCAAAAATAGTCAATTTTGAAAATGATAATGTTATGTCTTCATTCAAAGGATATATATCATATATAATATATGAGAGGTCGAATGCATACACAATTTTTGTATTAGCAATTTTTTTTCTCAAAATATTCAACTTTCCACTTTCTTAATATTTGGAAAATTTAGTACTAAACAGTTTGATATTTATCCCCATATAGGATGTCACGTATGTTTCATTTTATTCAAATGCAAGTAAAGGTTGAGAAAACAATTTTATTTTTTGTAAAATAATTTATATTTATGGATATTATTTTAACATTATTATATATAGAATGAAATACGGCCAGTAAGCTCTTTGCAGAAACGAATTAGTTGTTGCTGAGAACATCAATATCTTGTAATATATTTTTAACATTTCTGCTGGTACATCAACATATTATTAACATATCTTTCCTTTGTAAAAACAATTTTGTGTCTTCTTACATCTAATACAAGGTAACCGTTACTAACAGGCATGCTAATCCCAACTTTATCTTTAATTTTCAAAAATTGTTGAATTGTAAGTTGGAGTAACGTATGTTTCACACTCGCTTATTTATGAACTTTATCACGGAATTTAAACTTACATGTAAAATCGACTTTTTTATTTAGGAATCAAATGCACATCATTCTATTGTCATAAAAATGCGATTTTATGTTTTTATATATGCATGTGTAAACAATATAAAGTCTGTTTGATAAAAGTAACGTTTGTTTCACTGTGGTTACTTAAACAAGTAAAAACACGACCAAAGTTAACAAAATTTACTTACTAATGTCAAATAGAAGTTAATGTTGATGTTATACGTGCTTTCTGACTTCAATTTCCCTTTTGATAAACTTACTTTAAAAAGTTGATAACGTATGTTTCTGTAACGTATGTTTCATTTTTACATTGAAAGTGGGTTAAAAATGACGCAAGACCGTTTAAGCCGCCATAATTTGTGGTTAATATATCAGAGTTACACACATGTTAATTTTCTTTCTTGTTTGGATTCTTCTTTGAATGGATTGGCTCTTAAATAATGGTAACGTATGTTTCTTTATAAAGTGCTGTTGAAAAGATTTGAATAAAAAATGAAAATTTCCGAAAATAGAATGATATTTGAGAGGCTGCAAGCTTATTTTTACTTATAATTATATATATGCTGTATTATTAAGCATGCATCGATTCAATTATGTAATTTGGGTTTCACTTCTTATTGTTTTAGGTTTGTCACTATTTATTTATATGCATTTGGCGACATTTGATCATTCATTATACCAATGAGATTTTAACAGTCAAATATAATTTTTACCAATAATCAAATTGAATATACACACAGCAATGACTAATTGCACATGTTTCGTTTATTCTGGAACTTATTTTTCTGAAACACAATTTCAAAGTTGAAAATTCTAGGTGGCGACAGTAACGTATGTTACATTTTAGGGCATTAATGGTACTTGTAAAAGAAAAATAACAGATAGAAATGTAAAACTGAGAGTGTCTCTATTAGACAAAGTTGCAGCCACCTTTCTAACGACATTTTGACCTCAAGAAAAACCTTCGTGTAAGAGCTACCCAGTGGAACATCAAATGCTGTGTTTTATTGAGAATGAGCGTGTAGTCTTAGTTTAATAGGCAAATTAACATTTTAAATCCAAGAGAAAAGAAAATTCCAGTTGAACTGTGCTCATTAGAAGTCAACCTTTGACCTATTTAAATGGCAATGACCTGACCTTGATATTGGGCAATGACCTACAATTTTTCAAACACTTGCCAGGAAACCTTTTTACTTGACAAAATGAGTAGATACTTCATCATTATCTTATGAAAACAGATTATATATATTAGAATTTGTTTCTACAAACACTTCAGCAATTTTGTCTTTACTATTAGAAATAATTGTCTAAGTACTTTAGATGTTAAATACTGAAGTTATGTCAGAGTTCAAAAAGGAGGGCTTTTGTGCTAACACAATCACTAAAGATGACAACAGAAGACTGTTATCAATTTTATATACAAGTTTACAACAGACTCGTGTGTTTTGTCAAATTGTCCGATGTATAAATGTATAACATTGTATGTATGTTCTTTGAAAATATTATATATTGTAGATCATCATTCTGTAAATTTCTTATAACACATAAGTTGCTTTGTTTTTTTTAATAGCGCATATAGTTTATCAAGTCATAGCTAAAGTTTTTTGTTTTTTTTTTTAAATGGTTTATCAAGTCATAGCCAATATAGTTATATACCAAGTAATATATACTATATCCTACTTTCATTATTTTTGCAACCATTTTATCTCATTGTGTATGATTTCCATCTATTCTAGTGGCAAAAGAATTCATTACAAATCGTATCATATTTTACCTGTTTATGAGGGAAAACATTAATGTGGCACTTAATGCATTCTTGTCCCATGTTGGCCCAGGAGTTTCCTGACATCCATTTTCTTTTACATTTAGGGCACTTATATTCTCCGAAACACCTTTTCTTGCCCTGGTAGGGTGTCAAACCCTCGCCTTTTGGACGAGCCTTAAATTGATAAAAAGGAAATAACAGAACTGAGAAATTGGAAGGATAGCTTAGAAAATCGGAAAATTATTAACTTAAAAGATTAGATAACATCAAAACTTGGATCTTTTAAGTTTGTCTTATTCATAACTACATGTATGTCAAAACTTGGATCTTATAAGTTTGTCTTATTCAAAACTATGTGTAACGTTGATCAACATTTCATGTCCCAGTTTGTTTTTTTGTTGTTGCTTCCTTGTTTGTTTTTTTTCTCTCTCATCACACTTCCTAAAGATGTATCATTTGACTTACATAAACAAATAAAAATTATAACCAAATATCAAAGGTAGTTGGTGTTTTGGTACCTTCAACAGACTAATACACTCAAGTTGAGTGTGATGGTGATGGAGTTAAGGTCAAGGTCACCAAAGCTAAAAATGGATTTTTCTCAGGGTAAAGCTTACCGGTAAATTCTACTAATTCATTCACTATATACAAATCTGACATAAAATAAATGGACTAATGTTGAATAAAAAATATTGTTGATAGAACTTCAAAAAAGACCAAATTAAAGACATATATGTATATTATATACCAGATAGGGCCCCAAATTACTATTTAAAATTTGAAATTTAAATTGTGTAGAGCTGAAACAAATATTATCTTCTTCTAAAGAACCATCATTTATATGTTTTTGTAATGCTGTACTGTACTGTGCTGTGTACAGTAGCACTGAACTGTTACACAAATTATAAGCTAAAAGAGTCTGTAAAAAGATTCACTCTACTGTTTATGCAATATCAATATAGTTCATACCTGTGGACAATCTTTTATAAAATGCCCCTTTGTAAAACAAAGATGGCATAGATAGGTTGATGGAGGGCGCTTGCTTGGCTTGGGTAATGTAAGACAAAGGTCACTAAATTGGTCCGCAAGGTCATTCACGCTGCCATATGGTGACACCTGGAATGGGTTCTGAAAATACAAAGAATATTTCTAAATAATTTCATAACAATAATATTGCAGCATATCCATGCATGTCAAATTATCATTATAGAGCTGTCAAATTACGATCCTAAAGCAGTCATTCCTCATTCTAGAGCAATTAAATCATTATCACAGAACAGTTAAATAATTATCCTAGAGCTGTCAATCATCATCAAAGAGGAGTCAAATTATCATCCCAGAAAAGTTAAATTAACATCATTAAGTAGTAAAATTAGTATCATAGAGCAGTTAAATTATCATCCCAGAGCAGTTAAATTAACATCATAAAGTAGTAAAATTAATATCATAGAGCAGTTAAATTATCATCATAAAGTAGTAAAATTATTATCATAGAGCAGTTAAATTATCATCATAGAGCCGTCGAAGCATCATTCTGGGGGTGTCAAATTATCATCATAAAATTATCATAGAGCAGTCAAATTATCATAGACCTATCAAATTATCATACAGCAGTCAAATTATCACTGAGCAAGCAAATTATCAATGCAGAGCAGTCAAATAATTAGTGAAATTATTATAGAAACAACATAATTAATTTCTTTCAACTCTTTAAGATTCTGCCCCGATTATTATTTCTAGCACTATGACATGGAGCTGTCCCTCTAGATCTGCCACAAATATTTTACTTGCAGTCTGTCTTTACTAAACCATCATATTAATTTTACTCTCTGCAACAAGTTATGAAAAATGATGCATTGAATTAATAAGTTCCCCCATTTTCTAAGAAATTAGCCACTCTTCATTTTTATTGAATATCTTTGAAAACCTTGAGAAGTATCTAATGCTAATGGCTTGAATTTCAACAGCAGTATAAGTTAGGTTAGCAGTATTAAAGTACCTAAAATAAATGTTGTAATAATTAATTGTCTGACTTAACGTTTTTAAAAGAAACACATTTATGCTGTAAAGAGGTACCACATATTTTGCAGGATGATAAGAAACAGTGAAATGCATGCTAAAAGCTGGATATGCAGGGAGAATTTATCTGATGAAAACCATATGGTAAACCTTACAACACATGTTGGAAACATACTTTTGTGTAACATAATCAGCTGACAGAGTGATTACATACTACATATATACAAGGGAACATCTCAAGTGTTATAAGACCAAGAATATTCTTTCAATCTAAGCTGCCACATTTTAATCATTTCTGCTGCTTTAAGTCACAGGTGCACTTGATTAGTCACACCCCACCCCCTCTCTACACCCCCTTACCTGACTCCCAAACAAAGAAAATTGAAATATTTTCAAGTAAAAGTTTAAAATGGTTTAAAAAAATGAATATACATCTATCATTATCATCAATTTCATTCATTTCTTAAAAAAATTAGATAAATGTATTCTTCAGTTTACTTTGGGGGGAAGGGGTGTAGAGGGGGTTTGGGCGGGGATTTGTGATTAATCAATGCAATGAACTCCTGTGCTTCAAAGAAGTTTTGTATAAGGTTTTTGTGTTAAGAACTTAGCAAATATGAAAATATGAGATTGTAATGAAAGTGGAAATAGAAACAAAATATTGTTTCAAAGATAAAAACATATTTGAAGAAATTAATTATTATAGTGACCCTTCCCTTCAAATCACATTACAAAGTTGGAAAAAATAAGTTAATTTGCTTTATTATCCATTAAGTCCTACAACTAAAAAGCTGCCATTTGATTTTTAAAAAAAACAGCAACAAAAAATATAAATAATAAAATTAATCAATCTTGATATTTAAAGTGATAAGACAATCTTAATTATCTTAAGCTCTATAATGATTTACATATTATCCACTTAAAAATGTATGCAAAAAATTTTCAATAAGGAAGTCTGCAATTTCCTAAATTGTGTACATGTATATTAATTATTTTTTTATCAAATCTCAATGAAATTTGAAAACTCTTATGGTATACATTATAAATCAAATATAAATATTTTAACTCAATATAACCAAGTACCTTCTATAAAACAAGTTTGTTTGAAAAAAATATGAACATAAATAAAGGCAATGTCATATGAAAGGAATTTCACTAGTTTCATGACCGACATACAGTCCTTGAATCAGATGTGTTTTTCATTATTATCATAATTAGTTTATCTAATTCATTCACAATGGTAAACACATGATGCCCCCTGTGGTTTATTTACGCTGTTTGCTTATCAGTAAATATGCGGCAAGAAAAAAATGTTTGCATCGGAAAATGCAATGCTGATGTGCCGATTTTATAGAGATATGTTTCCAGGTGTATGAGTTTAAAATAATACTGAAATAACTTAGAATTTCTTATTTATAAAAATTCAGCCTCCGTATCATTCCATTTTCATTTGACCCGAATTATAAATTTAGAAAATCGAAATCAAAATGGGTCAGCGTTCTTTGTACCATTAATGTCAGTTTATTCGAGTTACTCTGAAAAAATAATTGTTTAATGTAAATATACAGAAAAACATTGCAAAATTCGCAAGCGACATGCTGCGCAAATCCTATTAAGTGCAACGGAATTCATAACTTAACAATTGTACGACTTTCAAGTGATCTCTTAATTATCACTTAACATTTTATAAGTACGTTTTAATGATGAAATACATGGGCATGCCAATACATGTAAGGTGTAACAAAATGAATGGAATTTATTTAATTTTACTGGTAGAATTATGAAATATTATAAAAAAAATATTTATATTTACCGGAGCAACAGCACTGATTGTATTTACAGTGCTTGTTGACCAAGGATCTGGCTGCCGTTGATACTTGAACATCGACGAGACCGTCCCCACATTTGAGTTAATAGGCTGGTTATTCCATGGGTCATTTGTTGTGTAAAGAGACGCACCATTTTGTTGAGTCTGGTCGCCCATATAAACCCAGTTTAAAAGCTGTGCATTTTGGTACAAAGCAGGATTATCCAATGCTAACGAAGCCATTTTAATTCCAAACCTAACACCCTCCTGTATGTATAAAGCACCTCTGAGTAATCTACATGGGAGGCTGAGTGCTACAATTCTTTGGCAGTGCCAATCAAATTACGAAGCCCCGCCTCCTCGAAACTTCATAGACTTGCCGCTGCGTTTTATGTTCACCGACGAATATTTGGTTCTTTGATCCAGGTGAAATAATGAATATTTACCGGTAACTGCAAGAAAAGATGAAAGAACGCCGATTTTTTCTTTAATGCAGACCAATTTAAGTATAGCCAAAAAAAAAGAAGAAAGAACAATGAAATAAACATTCATAATTATGATGGATATTTATACAGTATATAAATTATGAAACATATTATTTTTTATATGTCCAAGTTGCGAATGACTGTATTTTTTTTTTATAAAAGTGTCTGACAAATCGGTTGAAATTTCTATACGATACCAATGTGCAAAGAAGTTTGTAAACTTTGTTGAGTTTTGTGTAATTTCTACAAATGAAATTTCGAATATTAAGATATAATTAACTAAAATTCCCACATGAAGTAACGTTGGTCGAAGATTCCCTTAGACAAAACATCTTCAAATTCCAAGTTAATCTTTTTTTTCTAAATATTACTTTTTCATACTATTTAAACTCATTAAAATTTCGACTTGTTGAATACATTTAAACCCTCGGTTGTCACTTACTGCAAATATCGCGTCTTCTTAAGCAGGACGGAAGAGACGTAGTGTAAGAGTTTCACGTGCATTCGTGTTGATTCAAAATACAGTCGGATGGTCAACAGTATGAGTCGCTTGCACAATGGCGGAATTGTTAAGTAATGCGACATACATGTATTTCCACAGCGGATGCATAGGCCATAACGCTTCAAGTGTTGGAAAACTTTGAGGAACGTCAACAAAATGACGACACAACTTTCAACATGTATATTCTGTAGCTTAGGAGAATTTTCGCGTCACTAAAGTTTATGCATGCCGTAAACTTATTGAATAGTAATAATGTATTAGATTTTTCCATAAAGCTGATATATTCAACTTTGTTTTGATATCTTATTTTATATATGTGAATCAACGATACGGGAATGTTTGTTTTAATTCCGGGATATTCTGGATCATTCCTTGTACAAAAATGTATTGATAATGACTTGTAGACACATTTTGGCCCTGAATACGGATTCCAGATAGGTTATACCAGGTTAGTCTTTAAGAGAACCTAGAAGCCAAAAGTGGGGAAAATCAACTTACGCAATTTTCTTAAAAGTAAAGGTTTTTAATTGAGTCATTGCACTGCGACCCAATTACAGTTTTAAAATTGCGGCGATCCTGTGGCAATATTGAACATCCGAGGTCAGAGTCCCTACAAGGGCACTCAGCGATCCTGAAGCAATATTGAACGTCTAAGGTCAGCGTCCCTACTAGGACAGTCAGCGATCCTGTAGCAATATTGAACGTCCGAGGTCAGAGTCCCTACTATATAGGCACTCAGCGATCCTGTAGCAATATTGAACGTCTAAGTTCAGCGCCCTTACTAGGACAGTCAGCGATCCTGTAGCAATAGTGAACGTCCGAGGTCAGAGTTCCTACCCAAGTTGCTTTTCGTGAGACAACAGTGTAGACTGCGTTCTGACAACTTTAGCGACGTGCACGTTCGTATTTCTTCTAAAAAAGAAACTTTTATAATGCAAGGGATGTCACTGCGTTTGACTGAAAAGATCATGATACATTGAATTACCCCCCTTAACATTATAACCCCTGCATTATCTTTCCTGAAAGTAAACAAGTGTTTCAAGTTTGAAGTAATTATCTGTGACGGTTGAAAATAAGGGAAATATTCCCATACAGTCAAAAGAGGGACAAGCATTTAGTTTCGAATGAAAATCTATAAAAGCTTTTGAGAAATGAACCTTAACAAGAAATTCTAAATCGAAGAAAGGCATAACTTATACACGGTTACCTGCATTCAAATTGTGATAGTTACCAAGTATTCTAAATTTGGATAGTTTTTGTCAGAAAAGAGTTGACCATGGCCAAAAAATGCCATAACTTGGCAAAAAATAATTTAAGGATTTTATCTAATATGTAATATGTCATCACATTTTGATATTGATAAAGTATACACAGTTTAAAGTGATTACCTTTGAAAGTTTCTAAGAAAATGAGCCTTGACGAAATTTGAATTTTTTACATAAATTAGCTGGGATACTATCTAAAAAGATCATTAAGAAGCATACTCAGAAATAAATTGTAAATCTTATTGTTTGTGCATATCAAGCCAAATAGGAGTGCAAAGCGTTTTAACGCTTTTAATTTTTGTGCCTTTTCCACATTTAGAATATTTTTTCTGGAAAAAGAGAGCGAATGATCTAAAAATTTTGCACATAATTTTGATAATTTATTTCCGATCAATTCCACAGAGAATGAATTTTGAGCTGCATTTAGGTCACTATTCAGCGGCCAATGTGCACCTAAACGTACAACAATCGGTCACAATAATAAAGGTGGTAAGCCCTGTTAAGTATTGTTGTTGCCACCCTAATACCATTCCTACTCTGTAGGGCAACCAGTTGGGCCACCCCTCGGCTTCAATAAGGACATCGGCAGCTGAATCGTAGCTTGCGATAGAAGTTTCACTTCTTCCCAGCGACGAAGGGGTAGTTTGGTCTACAGTACCTGAAAAGCTCACGCCCTATGCCTTCTCTAGGAAGTGCCATATCGAGGGGAAGAGTGAAAATGGACGAACTGGTTGTGTTCAATTCTCTTACACGGCTTCAAAATATACGGTTTGGCAAATACCCGATGGAAAAATGAACAGAGGTAAATTTTAACCACTTCGGCTTCTATAAATATGACTATTTGTATGCTAGTTAAGTGGCTCTTATTTAAAGTTCTTGCAAGGGTGGTTTCTTCCTTATTCAACAATGAAGCATTGTATTATATCTACTTCAAATGAATTTTCCATTTGAAGATCATCTTGAACAATGTTGTCAACCAATATATTGTCAAGGAACAAGGAATATTTGATATTTTTTCGCTAATAATGATTGTTGAATGACCCGTATTCTGCTGTCTTTCCGCAATTTGTAAAGGATCAGGGATGCAATATAGTAATGATAAACCGACCAAAAGCAGAACCTTGTAGCAAACATAAATCTAAGTTTGATCATTTAGTCGGGTACATTGTATGAATTACTGCAGAACATCTTTTTGAGTTGCGAGTGCATGGACGCGGAATGATAGCAAATCATTGGTCAATAAATACAAGCAAGGCAAATGTAAAAGCAGTTTCACTATTTATTGCTATTTATTGTATACAAAAGTATTTAATACAGTAATTTATTATCTCATGAAAAGTACAGTTCTGATCAAATATAAACTAGAACTATCACTAAATGTGATTAATACCCCCACAAGACTGCTTCAGAAATGAGGATGTTAATAGTAACAGAATATCTTGTAAAAGAATTGAAATATAGAGTTATGGTTGTGGGCAATTAAGGATAGTTGTGGTTCTTGTATATTGCATTTCCTTTCAATGTGGTTGGCCATTGAAGAAGTTTTATTGAATTACTCTGTAATAAGTCCAGAAAGACAAAGAAAAGGAACAAAGGGCAATAACTCTATAAATACTGAAGATGGAGTTATTGTTCTTGTGCACTGCACTTCCTCTTTTTGTGCTTGACCATTGTATAAAGTTGTTTTGAATTTCAACCAGTATGTTTTAAGTTATGCTCCAGACAAGGAAAAGTATCAAAGGGCAGTAACTCTGTATTTTGTCAAAATGGAGTTATGGCCCTTATGCACTGCACTTCCTTTTAATGTCCTTGACAACTGTATGAAGTTGTATTGAATTCCAAACAGTAGTTTTCAAGTTATGCTCTGGACAAGGAAAAGTAACAAAGGGCAATAACTCTGTAATTTGTCAAGATGGAGTTATGGTTCTTGTGCACTGCACTTCCTCTCAATGTGTGCTTGACCATTGTATGAAGTTATATTGAATTCCAACCATTAGTCTTCAAGTTATGCTCCGGACAAAAAAAAGCAATGTAAAAGTAACAAAGGGCAGTAACTCTGTAATTAGTCAAGATGGAGTTATGGTTCTTGTGCACTGCACTTCCTCTCAATGTACTTGACCATTGTATGAAGTTATAATGAATTCCAACAATTAGTCTTCAAGTTATACTCCGGACAAAAGAAAGCAATGGAAAAGTAACAAAGGGCAATAACTCTGTAATTACTTTAGATAGAGTTATGGTTCTTATGCACTGCACTTCCCCTTACTGTGTTTGACAATTGTATGAAGTTCTTTTGAATTCCAACCAGCAATTTTCAAGTTATGCCCGGGACAAGGAAAAGTAACAAAGGGCAATAACTCTGTAATTAGTCAAGATAGAGTTATGGTTCTTGTGCACTGCACTTCCTCTCAATATGCTTGACCATTGTATGTAGTAATATTGAATTCCACCATTAGTCTTCAAGTTATGGTCCGGACAAAAGAAAGCAATGGAAAAGTAATAAAGGGCAATAACTCTGTAATTACTTTAGATAGAGATATGATTCTTGTGCACTGCACTTCCCCTTATTGTGTTTGACAATTGTATGAAGTTGTTTTGAATTCCAACCAGTAGTGTTCAAGTTGTGCCCCGGACAAGGAAAAGTAACAAAGGGCAGTAACTCTGTAATTAGTCAAGATAGAGTTATGGTTCTTGTGCACTGCACTTCCTCTCAATGTGCTTGACCATTGTATGTAGTTATATTGAATTCCAACCATTAGTCTTCAAGTTATAGTCCGGACAAAAGAAAGCAATGGAAAAGTAACAAAGGGCAATAACTCTGTAATTACTTTAGATAGAGTTATGGTTCTTGTGCACTGCACTTCCCCTTATTGTGTTTGACAATTGTATGAAGTTGTTTTGAATTCCAACCAGTAGTTTTCAAGTTATGCCCCGGACAAGGAACAGTAACAAAGGGCAATAACTCTGTAATTAGTCAAGATAGAGTTATGGTTCTTGTGCACTGCACTTCCTCTCAATGTGCTTGACCATTGTATGTAGTTATATTGAATTCCAACCATTAGTCTTCAAGTTATGGTCCGGACAAGGAAAATGCAACGGACGTCTGGACCGACCGACCGACCGCCCGACCGACCGACCACCGGGTGACTCCTATATACCCCCCCAAACTTCGTTTTTGGGGGTATAATAATCAATCATTTATTTAAGTCACATAATAAACAAAACAAAAAATTATCACAGATAACGAAACTTTAGTAAGAAAGCATAAATAAGATATAGGTACTTGTTAAGTTAAATTATATGCAAGGGCATTCTAATACATGTTTTGTTTATCTGGGAAAAATATTTTTTTAAATATGCCGTTTCCCCAGGGATAATCAATGTTATTAAGCAAATGTACTCCAAATTGAAAAGTGTTGCAACGCTATTCACTCAAATTGACAAAATAAAAAAAATAAGGCTGGAGATTTAAAAGACACTGGTGAAAAGAGATGTGAGCCCATGAGAAAGAAAATGGACACATGTGTGACAAATTCACTGGATTCCTCTTTCACAACAAAAACTTAACTCCATATAGATATCTGATTAGACAGCGTCACAAGAGATCGAAAACCAACAAAAACAAGAGAATAACTTTAGGCCTTATTCTTAGAGAACAAATACTACAGAAATATGGCTTAAGCTTACTTGCTAAACTGGCATCTCTTATCGCACATGAAAAAGATGCTTGTTAAACGACCGAGATTTATCATTACTTTTTTATTCATTAGAAAGCATAAGAATCAAGTAGAATGTTTACAATTTTTAACAGAGGTGTTGTAATACATGTAATACAAAAGATGTTATTGACCTCCTAAAAGCTATAGTGCAATATTAAACTTCTACATATGTCTATACTAACCAATGAAAAAGACCCTTAAAAATCTAACTGAAAATCGGCATTTAAACCTTTACAGTGGCTGGTTGACTTAAAACCCAAAAAATAAAACATATCCATTAAATTACTTAGCCCCTATATATATGTAACTGAAGTTCAATCATTAATAACTAGTAAACAATTAAAGTAATGCTCAGACCAATAAGTCTTAATAAATAACAGATCAAAGTTTAAAATGATGACTGATCAAAGCTTTTTCAAATCAATCAATAAAATTTGATCTAAGTTAAAAAATGGAACTTCTACAAACAATTTACATGAGGACTCTATACCAACATTTGGCACTTGTAATCGTGTACACCTTTTTGCACTCTGTGCCAAAATGAACAAGACAGAAGATTATAAAATCTTATTGCTATGTCAAAATGGTTTGTATTTTTGTATTAAATAAGGAATTACTCTCTTCGTCTTCATAAGAGAACTGATATACTATCACATAGGGCAGCTATTCTGTCAGACTTGGATTTGAGGTTTTCAACATTGATGCCAAGAACACCTGCTAGACCTTTCACCTGTAAATATAGGACAAAAGGTATAGTAAAAGTTAAATCTGAGATTAAACTAATGAAAAGATAGGATATAGAAAATCCAACAATATTGAAAATGCTAATAAAAAGATCCTGTGTTTGTTTAAGGTCTTTTTCATGTAAATGTATACAGTAAGGGTGATGTTTTGTAAAATTTAAATATATATATATAGATCTATATCTTAATGACAAGTAATCAAACGAAACCAGAATCACACCATGTACATCTCCACTTAGTAGGATTTTTCAAATAAATCATGCCAAAATTATGAACAAGAACTGAATGGATAATAAACAACTTCTCCCAATAGGTATGAAACCATAAACATGTCTTCTTTGAAACTTAAGAACTTGTAAGAGTATGCATTAATACAATGGATTAATGAACAATTAATATACAGATATTTCTATGTGTTTTTCACAACCTGTTCCACTGGCTAATTTATCTAAGAACTATTTATTTTAGCTCCTTAATGATCAATCAAGAAAAGTTAGGAGCTAATTTGAAACAATCTCAAAGTTGTTCCCTGAACTGCCTGGAACTGATGTCATATAAGGAAACATGGTCTTCACCAAGTAGTGCTAGAACCCAGGATCCTTCATTTCAGAGGTACACACTAGGCCACCTATTCCCTCCCTCTACCCTTAAACAATGAGGAAAAAGTAAATTCAAATGCACAAACCTGTTCATTAGACTTCATCATTTTAAGAACAGCTGTCAGGAGATGAAATGCTGGAGATAGAAACAGAAGTGTTCTCAGTGAATTTGTGTAACAGAGAAATGCAATAAAGATAAATTGAATAAAAAAAAGAAAATAAAAAAACACCTTATTATGGACTATGAAAATAACATGTTATGTTTTGAAAAAAAATACCTTTGTTAGAATTTTTTTTATATTTGGTTGTAAATAATATATAAAATATTTGTCTTTCATGCACTTTAAGTTCTAGTTTAATTTATAGCTTGCTTATTCCACTAGAATAGAGCAACACCAGTCACACATGACATTGCAGTCTGGTCAGAACCTTATTTCAGAGTATCTTTGGAACACTGTCAATCAATTTATTTACTTTTAAATATTTAAACAGCTCCAAATACAAGCAAAGTAAGTTTATGATACATATTTAGTGGTAGATGCTACTGAGGGGATAGATCTGATTAGTGTAGAGAAGTGTTATAAATACCTGCTTGTTCATCAAGATCTTTCTCTATACAATTCAATAGGGCACTTCCTATCTCTAACTCTGAATCTTCAGATAGCTATAGTAAAATAAACACAAGAGTTAAAGTTTCATCATGCCCGTTTAAAGTATAGAAGCACAATTTTCATTGTGCAACCAACATGCCATGCTTTCCATGATCATGTATCAAAACAACAAATAAATCAAAGGCTATGAAGTTCATTTAGATATTAATCAATGTTATTTCAAACACGAGAGCCATGATGACACTTAATCACTAACCTGAGTAGATAATTCAACTTCAAAAATGAATAAAATTTAGATGTCATTTAAAGTTTTTAATTTTAGCTCTGACTGCAATCTTGATCATCAAACCCAAACCATTTTAGCAATTTTTATATAGGACCATCCAACTACCATTTATTGTAGTTTCATCAAAATTGACCTCTTAGTTAATAAGAAGATGTTGTTAAAAGGATTTTCTATTTTAAGCTCTGGTAGCTATTTTTGTTTAGCAGACCGGAACCATTTGAGCAATATTTATAGAAAACTATTGAAGGGTCATTCCTGTATAGTTTTATCAAAATCTACCTGATAGGTAATAAGGAGATGTGGTTGAAAGTTTTTTTTCTATTTTTTTAGCTCACAATATATCAGTAGGAAGTGTTGTTAACATAGCTTTGCGGAACATTTTGTGGTCTATGTATCAATTTACAGTTCCATAAATGTCCTTAACAATGTTTTGTGTATCTTGTTCTTTAAAACATATTTCTCTACTCAAATACAATTACTTCCTTAAAAAATAAATTTCACCGCAATAATCATGGTATTCTGCAGTTTAAAGATATGGGTAGATATCACTCATTTTTACAGCATTAAGTTTAAGTAAATAATGCGCTGGTAAACTTGTTCAGGTAACCTTGAAGCCCTGTTAAAACTTTCACTCAATTGTATTTTAAGCTACATAAGAAAGAGAATTCAAAGGAAAATTATGTGTTGACAAATCTAGTTTCATCTATTCAAACGACACTTACAGGGAACACTTTTAGGGCTTATTTCCTTAAAATAATTTAACAAAAATCACTTTTACTCTCTTGATTGTTACTTTATTTCTAGTGTCAAAGTATTTCTCTATATCTCATGTAACATGTCACGGTTTATATAATAAATTGGAATGAACACTTAAATGTAAATATAATAAGGAAGATATCACACCACTCCAATCTAAAGTACATGTAGTTGAAAGAAATGGGAAATGAATGAAAATCAGGTAAAATATCTGAGTAAAAATTAAGTGATTCTGACTAAATGGTCTAATTTCAGTAAGAGTAAAATTGCAGCTATGTGTTTAATGTCCCCATCAAATAAGATATTGAGAGAAAGAAAATCACGTTGTGTCTTAATTTCCTAAAAAAAACATCATTAAACATAAAACATGTATAATGATATTGTAAAACTAGAAATGTGTCATCATGCCACGGATGCCCCCGCACGCAGCCAAAATTTCAGATGGTGCATTAATTATTCTTTTCATTTTAAGTTCAAAGCCCTTAAAACTTTTTATTGTTAACACAAAACATTTTCATACAATGTTCAAGGCACTGAAATAATTCAGTCTTGAACTTTTAAAAATAGCATATTGCATATTTGTAGCCAAAATAATGGCTAAAAGTATGAGTGCTGAAACTGAAAGTTCAAAACCACGACCAAATTCAAACTTAAACTGCTTATTCCTAAGATGTATCTATATTATTTTCAAAGTGAAAGGGACATAACTCTGCCAAAAATCATCAAACCATGACCAAATTCCAACTTGATCTGCCCATTCCTTTGACATATCCATATGTCAAATTTAAGTTGAATATTTAACACTATTGGGTAGATAATGAACAGAAACTGTAAATTTCATATTATTTTCAAAGTGAAAGGGACATTACTCTGCCAAAAATCATTGAACCATGACCAAATTCGAACTTGGCCTGGGCATTTCAAAAACATATCCATATGTCAAATTTGAGTTGAATGTGTTGTACCATTGGGGAGATAATAAACGGAAACTGAAAATTTCATATTATTTTCAAAGTAAAAGGGGCATAACTCTGCCAAAAATCATCGAACCATGACCAAATTCGAACTTGCCCTGTATTTTTTCATGACATATCCATATGTCAAGTTTGAGTTGAATGTGTTGTACCATTGGGGAGATAATGAACGGAAACTGAAAATTTCATATTATTTTCAAAGTAAAAGGGGCATAACTCTGCCAAAAATCATCAAACCATAACCAAATTCGAACTTGACCTGTATTTTCTCATGACATATCCATATGTCAAGTTTGAGTTGAATGTGTTGTACCGTTGGGGAGATAATGAACGGAAACTGAAATTTCATATTATTTTCAAAGTAAAAGGGGCATAACTCTGCCAAAAATCATCGAACCATGACCAAATTCGAACTTGACCTGTATTTTCTCATAACATATCCATATGTCAAATTTGAGTTGAATGTGTGCAACCGTTCTTAAGATAATGAACGGAAACTGATGATGACGGAATGACAGAATGACGGAAGGATGGAAGGACGGAAGGACGGAATGACGGAACAGGGTAACACTATATGCCCCGGCCATTACATGGCGGGGGCATAAAAAGCTTGGCTCAACAACCATGCTTATTTACATAACAATAAGGAAAATATATTTAAAAAATGTACAAAGGAAGTAATTTACACATTGCAAACGGCACTTACAATCCAAGTAAATTACCAAAAGGAGGTCATAATATGCAAAAATAGCCCCAACTGCATGAGTCACAATTCCCTCACTTCTCAGGCATATTTGCACAATTTAAGTATCCTCAATTAACATGTTTGCACATTTTTTGCTTAAATGTAAGTGACTATCTATCTTAATAATAGCATTCAAGAATCTATTAGATGACTCTTGTATCAACACTTAACTTCAATGTGAAAACTTGGTATACTCAATGCAAGTGGCCCTAAAATCTTTCTTAAATATCTCCTATAATCATTGTGAGACTTTTACCTTTCTACGTGAAAGATTATAACTGAGTGCTATAGCTGATGATGTAATTTCTGCACTTTCTGACAACAAGCCTGATACACAGATTATGTCTGTCCTCTGTCTATACCTGTCATGCAACAAGGAGTGTCCGGAGGCAAGGCTACAGCAATTTGTCATCTGAAATACAGAATATGTGATAGAGATTAGAGAGTTCACTACAAAATGTTGCAGAATAGAAAATGTGGCCATAGGACACTCATGCCCCAAGTTCAGTTGCCTGTCACAAATGCATATCAAAGAGAGATTTTACATAAATAGTGACAAACTGTGACCTTGATCTACTGACCTCAAATTCAATAAGTCATCTACTGGCAATGAGAAATGTTCCTTTTAAATTTAACAAACTCGGGATTATTCCTTCTCCAGTCATTGATCAGATTTTAAATGAAATATCACTTTGACCTTGTCCTAATGAACTCATTATCAAAAGGGTACATTTTCTGGTCATGGACAATGTCCTTTCCAAGTGACACAAAAAGGCTTATTCCTTTCAAAGTTTTAAAAGGACATGGATTTTACACAGTCAATGTGACTTGAACCTTTGACCTTATGATCTTAAACACAATAGGGGTCATGTACTGGCCATGACTAATCTAGCTTTCGAAGTATGAAGACATCGAAGTGGCTAATGAATGGATGAATAGATAAACAGGAGAACAAGTGCCATATCAAAATATAGCCAAAGTAAAGGAGACCTTAAGTGCCCCTACATGCATTATTTCAGGCATGAACAGGCACCTGAATAGAAACACACTATTACATAAATTAGCTGTATAGCTTTCTCCAATAAAAGAATCCAAAGTACCTGGCAGCATTTGGACCCATAGAAACAAACGGCAGTTGGTTTGTTGTCAATAGCATTATCCACCGGGCATTAAATGCCCCTTTCATTCTTAATCAGATGGATTTCAATTCTGATATACAATAATTAAGAAGCCAACAGGAATGCAAGCTGGCCTAAATCAAAAACAGGTTGCATGTGCAATTCATTTATGCCATTACATTTATCAACTCAATATCAACTCAAAATCAACTCAAAAGTATCATATTTTCTTTATCTGATATTCGTTCAGTCTCCTAGCAAAATCTATCACAGTGGTCAGAAGGGTATAAAAACATTCATATCTGTACAACAAGCAACAACAACTTTAAAACTCACCATCTTTAATGCACAAATCTTCATTTCTTCTGTGAAATTTTCAAAATGGTCAAGAATATCTGGAAACTTTGATTTTTTATCATGTGATATTAACTGTACAATGTCTTCCTTCAAAACCAGTCTACACAGTAGCTGTAGAGCATGTAAATCATTGTCTAGTACCAGTCTACATAATGTGGTCACATGGTCATGACCTAGACTCCAGCTGGGGTCTGCCTGTGACAGGAAATCATATATGTCTTTGAAATAATCCTGTACATTAGAGGAAAGTCCTAACTCTGAAGAACACCAATATGATAGACTCCTTATCTCCTACAAAAGAAACACACAAAAAAAAACAAAAATTACTAATTTAAGTAGAAAGCAAGTTCCTTTCTAATGCACTCAAACAGAATAACAACAAGCAACAGGAATGTCAGGGGCCTCTGCACAAGAGTATTTTTAGCAAAATTTAAATCTGACTTTAAATGTCAAGGTGTTCAAGGTCCATAATGCGGAAATAAAACAAAGGACCATAATTGGATCATAGCGATCAAATCAATGAACTCCGATAATATGTACTAGGACCCTTTGTGACAATGCATCTATGAATGTTTGGTTGGCATTGGTAAAGAAATGTAGTTGTGCACACAAGAAATTGTTACCACCAATACTGCTAGCCAACCGGCGGATTTTTACCAATCTAATAACCAGTATTTTCTTTCAGAGAATTGTTATATAAAAATAATGTTATACCACTGAGTAAGTAAATGGTTTGTGTGCCTCTTTATCCTGTTTTGACCGTGGAGAATTCCGTGACTGTCTAGTTGTAGGCGGGACTTTACTGCTTGGCTGACTGGTTGTAGGCGTGGCTTTGTTTGAACGAGAAGGTGGCGTATCAGAAAATAAAGTATGACCTCCAGTAGGCTGAACTGACATGGCGTCAATAAATGGTCGGATCATTTGTCCAAATGGGCTAGTAAAACAGATTGTATGTCCAGAAATAACAAGCATGTAAATGATAATTTTACCAATACTGAAATGTTTAACACATCAGAGCTTACATAAACCATTTATCAAATTCAATGAAATTAAGGTACAATGAAAATACCAATTTAAATCATTTCATAAATAGTTTTTAAAGACAAAAATTCCTTGCAAAAGTCTTCATACTTGAATATAAAATCATTCTGACAAAAAAATAACCTTTTATATCTGATGTCCTTTAATAAAATCATATATTTTGACTTTGACGTTTTGTTTTGTGTATTTTTCTGGTTTTATGCCCAATTGAACACTTTTCTAGGCAGCTGTTCCATCTAATTAGCTTTCCTGGATAACTTTACAGTAATTGCCAATTTCTCCAAATGTGACAAACTACTAATCCCACATGATTTATGAAATCAGTGATGAGAGACAAATGACTACTAGATTCAATGTCAAAGATCAAATTTATTTGTCGAGAGGAAATTTCCCCTTTGCCTCAAATCTATTTGTCATGGGGAAATTTCCCCTTTGCCTCAAATTTATTTGTCAAGGGGAAATTTTTCCTTTGCCTCAAATTTATTTGTCAAGGGGAAATTTTCTCTCCACCTAAAATTAATTTGTCAAAGGGAAATTTCCCCTTTGCCTCAAATTTATTTGTCAAGAGGAAATTTCCCCTTTGTCTCCAATTTATTTGTCAAGGGTAAATTTCCCCTTTGCCTCAAATTTATTTGTCATAGGGAAATTTCCACTTTGCCTCAAATTAATTTGTTAAGGGGAAAATTCCCCGGAAATCTCCACTTTGCCCGAGGATCAAACAAGCAACTCCTGGTTTACAAATATGATGCTTTCCCTGTCATAGAGCTAAGGTGGTGAAGGGGAGACTAGATGAAGATGGAAAGAAGATCTGGTTACTTACGTGCTCATGACCTCGGCTGGAAGCCCAGTGATAGTGGCTGGTATATCTTTACCTGTTAGGAACTGAGCCACCTCTGAGCTGAATGTGTTACAGTTATGGTCCAGTAAATGATAGCGCTCTCCCCTGAAATATTGCAAACACTAACCCTTCAATAACCTAATGAATTTACCATGCTTTGTGTTTGGAATAATCAATTCTAAGTTTAAGGGGTTTCATTCTCAAAATACAAAAATTGAGCAATCAACAGCATTCTTATTCTTCATATATTAAAATGAGAGATGAAAAGAATAAAAAAAATTATTAAATACGGTAATGCATTACTATTTTTTTTTTACTGGTAAATATTAGCCTGAATGTGAGAAATATATTTAACACTTCAACATTTTTCCATGCTCAATGCTCTCATTGATATTAACAAAGATAAATTCTTTTGCTTATAAATAAGAATGATTTCATTTGAGCAGAATTGTAAAATAATCCTGTATATCGTTCAAAGGTAGGTTCTTTCAAAATGTCCTGGCCACTTTTCTTTTAACTTTGTAACGTTTTGTCAGGGTTAGGATGAATTTTTATTATTTCATAGATATTGTACATTATACCTGATATGGCCTTTCTCATAAATAGAATATAATTTTTTTTATTATTATTTTAAAATGTTTTCCACTGGTTTATCTATAAAATCCCATATACCCAGCATTCCCCAAGCTGCAGAAAACAAGAAGGCAATCACTGCCCTGCTGTATGTAATACAATGTAGTTGAAAATATAATTCAGCAGATTTTGTTTTACTTTTTGTTAACAGGGATGACTTACAATCTTGATGCATATACTCTGATATATAACTTCAAACATTTTTTTAATTTGTAATCTTATATTTCTAGTTATTATCAAGGTATCGTGGCTTTACCGTACCTGAAAGTTGACTGAGACAAATCATGTAAATATTCCATAAACATGTCATAGGGAATCTGTGATTTTCCTAGATCATATATTTGTGTAGGCTGTCCTAATATTGTTCCTCCCTAGAAAATAAAACTTACGTATATTAAATTAACTATTTACCTTAGATAATATCATGAGATTTCTATTAAAAAAAATATAACATACTTTTTCTATCATACTTAGATGCTTGCCTTTAAAATCAATCTATTTACTAACTTCAAAAAAGCATCAAAATCCTCTTTTTTTATATTTATATTAACAATGTTTAAAAAGTTACAGGACTTGTAAAGGCTTATCAAAAACAATATGGCAATTTCCTCTTTTTCTTCTAAAATTTATTTCGTGACATTTGTATCAAACTATGCCATTGATACCTTAAATATCTTCAAATAAATAATCAATAGAACTGAGACTTGAAAACCTTTTTTTTTTCAACATTTAATCTAATAAATATTAGTAGAAAATCAAGACTTACCGGTGAACAGCACGTAATACCTGTATCTCCACCAAAAAAATACTCCTTGCCAAATACCACAATACCTGTGTGCCATACACCATCTAGTTGCTTTCCTAAAATCATATCAGAATATAATTATAGTACCATACCATTTATCCCTATGAATGATAAAACAGTCATGAATGAATGCCTTAAAACTATCATATCTATAGGACAAAATGACCATACCCATAAATAGAAGGAACCATGATGACACTTTATTGCTCATATGAGAGCATCTCCTCTAGAAAAATCTTGTATAGTTGGCCATAATGATTTTCCTATGTTTTGTATCAAGAAAACTCAAGTTTCATCCAAATCTGTCGGAGGGAGTTAAGGTGGAGATGTTTTTTTAAAGAAAAAGTTGATGATGCATACAAAGGATTGATCGCAATAGAAATCTCAATAGACTACCTTTGAGCACTCAGATTATCTGAAATATTAACAAATGTATATCACAAATTGTGAGAGGCAAAAGTCAACTTGTACTCCTAATTAAACTAGAAATGTGTCATCATGCCACGGATGCCCCCGCATGCAGCCAAAATTTCAGATGGTGCATTAATTATTTTTTTCATTTTAAGTTTAAAGCCCTTAAAACTTTTCAATGTTAACACAAACCATTTTCATAAAATGTTCAAGGCATTGAAACTATTCAGTCTAAACCTTTTAAAAATAGCATATTGCATATTTGTAGCCAAAATAATGGCTAAAAGTAAGAGTGCTGAAACTGAAAGTTCAAAATTTTTCCAACATTTAGGAAAGATAAGTTTGTCTTAAATCATTGAACTACAACCAAATTCAAACTTAAACTGCTTATTCCTAAGATGTATCTATATTATTTTCAAAGTGAAAGGGACATAACTCTGCCAAAAAAAAATCATCAAACCATGACCATATTCCAACTTGACCTGCCCATTCCTTTGACATATCCATATGTCAAATTTTAAGTTGAATATGTAAACACTGTTGGGTAGATAATGAACAGAAACTGTAAAATTTCATATTATTTTCAAAGTGAAAGGGGCATTACTCTGCCAAAAATCATTGAACCATGACCAAACTCAAACTTGGCCTGGGCATTCCAAAAAACATATCCATATGTCAAATTTGAGTTGAATGTGTTGTACCATTAGGGAGATAATGAACGGAAACTGAAAATTTCATATTATTTTCAAAAAGTGAAAGGGGCATAACTCTGCCAAAATCATTGAACCATGACTAAATTCGAACTTAAACCTGCGCATTCCTTTGATGTATCCATATGTCAAGTTTGAGTTGAATGTGTTGTACCTTTGGGGAGATAATGAACGGAAACTGAAAATTTCATATTATTTTCAAAGTAAAAGGGGCATAACTCTGCCAAAAATCATCGAACCATGACCAAATTCGAACTTGACCTGTATTTTCTCATGACATATCCATATGTCAAGTTTGAGTTGAATGTGTTGTACCGTTGGGGAGATAATGAACGGACACTGAAAATTTTATATTATTTTCAAAGTAAAAAGGGGCATAACTCTGCCAAAAATCATCGAACCATGACCAAATTCGAACTTGACCTGTATTTTTCTCATGACATATCCATATGTCAAGTTTGAGTTGAATGTGTTGTACCGTTGGGGAGATAATGAACGGAAACTGAAATTTCATATTATTTTCAAAGTAAAAGGGGCATAACTCTGCCAAAAATCATCGAACCATGACCAAATTCGAACTTGACCTGTATTTTCTCATGACAAATCCATATGTCAAATTTGAGTTGAATGTGTGCAACCGTTCTTAAGATAATGAACGGAAACTGATGATGACGGAATGACAGAATGACGGAAGGATGGAAGGACGGAATGACGGAACAGGGTAACACTATATGCCCCGGCCATTACATGGCGGGGGCATAAAAATGAATAAAAAAATTAATCCATTTACATAAAACCATACACTTTACTTCTCAGGTCAGTGAACTTAAACTTCCAGTTGTCATGCTCACATGGGCGTAACATTTTTCAAAAAGATTTAATAAAGATAAAAAAGATTTTAAAAAAAAAATTCTCTCTCTTCAAATGATAAATATATTGCTTTACATATGAGATTTTCTCAATCGATTCCCACAAGCTACTGCTACCTATTTTGTACTTTTAATTGTATGAGTCGTCAATGTTTATAATAAAAAATATAAAATCATATTAATCCACAGTCCACCATTAGTCTTGTGCACATGATAAATCCATACATATACAACTAGATCAATGTTTAAATTTTTCAATATACCTAAATCTGTTCAATAATATTAAGACACTTTAATATATGACAGGTTTATGATGATACTGATATGAAAAAGATAAAAAAATTAATGAAATAGAAATATCAAAATTGAAATGAAAGCATGGTCTGCCTCATCTCAAGTCACATTCTGCCCTGTACATGTACAAACACATGGTCTGCCCTGGTACCGCCTGCCCTGTCCTATGACCATCAGCCCGGCCCAGTCATGACATGTGCGGAGTTGGTTTAGGGCCGACATGACCTTTACTGGCTTTAATCTTACACCAAGGCTTCCTTATTGAAAATAATTTTTCAAATTCTGGATGTAGTCATTCGTATCCTGGCTTTTTATGTTTGAAAGTCGTCCTATAAATATGACCTTGCTTTGAGATATTTTTGCTTCTTGGCATTAACTTAGCCCAAAAAATTGGGCGCTTTAGGGCTTTTTTATCTCGAGAAATATTGAGACTAGGCATAAACTATAACAAGCCCTTAACGTCTGATATATTAGACTAGTTTTCAATAAGTTACTCTGTATGGTTTCAATTACCCCTCTTCTGTATACCTAGAGCACAGGAAGGGATCATTCCTCCTCAGCACTTGTACTGGGGAACAGAAACAGTGATTTTTCCCCCTGTATTTAAGAGCCAAATAAAGCCAGGTCTGTTTACCCTAGCCCAAAATAGGTATATTTTCACTAAAAATGCTATTATTTTCCCCTAAAATGCCCTGTGTACATTCTTCACTTAACAGCAGCTGACTTATATCAGCTAAAAGACAGAAAGCTGTCCAAATAAACAGACTCTGCTATGTACCATGTTAAAATAGAATTGAAATTCTCAGTTGTTATAGCAAGCTCGAAGAGCAGGCCCTAAGGGCCTGCTAGCTAAGCGAGCTTTACGGTAACGCGAGTACCTGCTAAGTGATGGTTTTGGAAACTTTCGTCCGAAGTACTGAAATGACACACCGCAACTTTTCGAATTTAAAGATAACGATAAAAACTGAGGAATTCTGACTGAAAACAGATGATTGTGTAGACTGGTCACCCGCGCACTTCTATGGGAGCCATAATTGGACAGGGAACCAGAATAAACGGAAGCAGTGAATAAAATACCGAATGACAAATGTAAAATAACAAGAGCTGTCGGCAGGACAGCAACGCTCGACTATTCTTAGTGCTTGATAGTAAAAGAGCCTTGATAATGTAAAATTTTAAAAAAAGTTAATAACAAAAGGACAATTTTTTCTTTGTTTTTTCTTTTCATATGTCAATGGACTTTGAAAATATTTGAAGTATTACAAAAACTTTAACGTAAATTAAAGTCGAAAAAGGGGCATAATTCTGTTAAAATGCTTGATACAGTTACCTTCTCCTGTCTGCAGGTTGGGGTCATGACGCTGAACAAGTGTGCAAAGTTTCAAAGCCATATGTCAATGGACTTTGAAAATATTTGAAGTGTTACAAAAACTTAAACGTAAATTAAAGTCGAAAAAGAGGCATAATTCTGTCAAAATGCTTGATACAGTTACCTCCTCCTCACAGTCTGCAGGTTGGGGTCATGATGCTGAACAAGTGTGCAAAGTTTCAAAGCCATATGTCAATGGACTTTGAAAATATTTGAGGTATTACAAAAACTTTAACGTAAATTCATAGTTGAAAGGGGCATAATTCTGTTAAAATGCTTGATACAGTTACCTTCTCCTGTCTACATGGTGAACAAGTGTGCAAAGTTTCAAAGCCATATGTCAATGGACTATGGAAATATTTGAGGTTTTACAAAAACTTTACCATAAGTGGTTACGCCGAAGCGGACACTTGGGTGACTACAATAGCTCTACTTATTCTTATCATATAGTCGAGCTAAAAATGTAAAAATGAACGATTATTTTATACTATTTTATGGTAAAAGTAAATCGAGCTCGCTTTGAGGCTTTGCCTTTTTCATATTAATTTGATTTTCCTCTTTTCTGATTAAATGCGCTATATTTTCTCCTTCAGGAAGCCACAGGTTGTTATGAAAATTGAAAAAAAAATTACTGAGAAACTTAAAAGTTAAATGAACCTATTTTTCACATCACCAGGAAATTAATGTGAGACTAACACATTATTTCAGGTGTCTACCATAAACTGAACAATTTTGAGTCTTTGCCGTCATCAGAGTCAGAAATATGTGAAGCTTGAAATTTGGCAATTCAGCATTCCCGTGTCTTACCACAGGAGCCTGAAATTATATCAAAAACAAAAAAATAACGATTTAAAAAAAAATCCCATACATATACTATAAAAAACACAAGGAAGGCAACAACATTTCCCCATCCACCGCCACATTTACCAGGGATATTCGTAAAAACGCATTGAATTTACTTCCGAGCACACTAAATCAATAAAGCACATTGAAATCTACCAGAAACACAACTTTACTCTTATCAACTATCCAACTTTTACGCCAATTGAATGAATTTATCACTGCTCTTCTCTAATCGTCGGTTCCATTGCCAGTTCAAGCGATAAACTCTTCCGTCATACCGTTATTGACCGGTCTTTAAAGATCCCGAAATTCTACCCATAACAAAAAAAGAGAACGATTTAAATAAAAATCCCATATTAAATACTGCTTTTATATATATGGGATTTTTACTTAAATCGTTTTTTTATTTTTTTGGGTAGAATTTCGGTATCTTCAAAGACCGGTCAATAACGGTATGACGGAGTTTATCGCTTGAACTGGCAATGGAACCGACGATAAGAGAAGAGCAGTGATAAATTCATTCAATTGGCGAAAAAGTTGGATATGTGATAAGAGTAAGTTGTGTTTCTGGTAGATTTTAATGTGCTTTATTGATTTAGTGTGCTCGGAAGTAAATTCCATGCGTTTTTACGAATATCCCTGGTAAATGTGGCGGTGGGTGGGGAAATGTTGTTGCCTTCCTTGTGTTTTTTATAGTATATGTATGGGATTTTTTTTAAATCGTTATTTTTTTTGTTTTTGATATAATTTCAGGCTCCTGTGGTCTTACCAATATTTTTTTTAATTGTCAACTCATCACAGTGCATGTCGCGAAAAGTAATAACAAATGAGAAATTCAGGAATTTCACCTACCTAAGAAGGCTTGCGACATTGTTCTTGCTAACCCTCTTGAAATATCATATATATACACCTTCACGTCATGACTTTCAGATGCCATCTCCAATCCTTTTCAGTTTATCAATTTTTGGAAATTTGTTTACTTTGACACAACCATTCGGAACTGCCTCGGCTATTATCTATAATCCGAAGACTGACGGAAAGGGCCGAGTAGTTGCGATTGTGCGCAGGGGAGAAAGGTCAGACACTCACATTGATTTTCCCATAGAATGGTCACTAATCCTATCTTAAAATTGAGTTTTCATGCTAAAGAGGTAATTTTTCTTGCACAATGAAATACATGTACCTGACACATAAAAATGTTCCTGTTATATAGGGGTAGCCAAACAATTTTTTTGCAAAATGACTTATTTTAATAGGATTACCCCCATTTCATTGAATTTTCTGCTGCCACCGCCGGTTAAATAGCGCTAAGAACCTCTAAAAGGCCTAGCGCTGCGGGTTGTGTGAGCTTGACATTGTATTCTCTGAGGCTGCTACCGCCGGTATTATTGCGTCAAGGACCCTTTAAAGGCCTATTACCGCGGGTTTGGTGAGCTTAGCTGTATTCTCTGACGCTGTCACCGCCGGTTTTATTGCGTTGAGGACCCCCTAAAAGGCCTATCACCGCGGGTTGTGTGAGCCTGCCTGTACTCAGTGGGGCTGCCACCGCCAGTTTTATTGCGTTAAAAACCTTTTAAAACGCCTATCACCGCGGGTTTTGTGAGCTTGTCTGTATTCTCTGAGGCTGCTGTCGCCGGTTTTTTTGAGTTAAGGCCCACTTAAAGGCCTATCACCGCGGGCAGTGTGAGCTTGTCTGTTTTCGCTTAGGATGCCACCGCCGGTTTTAATGCGTTAATGTACCCCTAAAAGTCCTATAACCGCGGGTTGTGTGAGCCTAACTGTATTCTCTGAGGCTGCATACGCCGGTTCTATTGCCTTAAGGACCTTCTAAAAGGCCAATCACCGCGGTTGGGGTGAGCTTGACTATATTATCTGTGACTGCAACCGCCGGTTCTGTGGCCTTAAGGATCTTCTAAAAGGCCTTTCGCTGCGGGTTGTGTGAGCTTTAATGTATTCTATGAGGCTGACACTGCTTGTTTTATTTCCTAAAGGTCCACCTCAAAGGACTATCACAGCGGGTTGTGTGAACTCGACTTGATTCTCTGAGGCTGCCATCGACGGTTTTATTGTGTTAAGGACTCACTAAAAGGCCTATCGCCGCCGGTTGTGTGAGCTTTACTGTATTATCTGAGGCTGTAACCGCCGATTCTATTGCCTTTAGGACCTTAATCTTAAAGGCCAATCACCGCGGATTGTGTGAGCTTGATTCTATTCTCTGAGACAGCAGCCGCCGGGGTTTTTTGCCTAAGCAGTACCTCTAAAAGGGCCTTCGCCGCGGGTTGTGTTGAGTTTACGGTATTACTTGTCTAGGCTGCAACCGCCGGTTCTATTGCATTAATGACCCACTAACACGCCAATCACCGCGGGTTGTATGACCTTTTCTGTATTCTCTGAGGCTGGCATCGCAGGTTTAATTCCTTTAAGGACACACTTAAAGACCTATCACCGCGGGTTGCATGAGCTTGTTTGTATTCCTTGAGGCTGCCACCGCCGGTTTTATTGCGTGAACGTCCCCCTAAAAGGCCTTTCACCGCGGGTTGTGTGAGCTTTACTATATTATCTGAGGCTGCCACCGCCGGTTTCATTGTGTTAAAAAAAACCAAAAGGCCAATCACCGCGGGTTGTGTGAGCTTTTCTGTACTCTCTAAGACTGCCATCGCTGGTTTTATTGCTTTAAGGACCCACTAAAAGGCCTATCATCGTGGGTTGTGTGAGCTTGACTATATTATCTGAGGCTGCCACCGCCGGTTTCATTGCGTTAAGAAACCCCTAAAAAGCCTATAACCGCAAGTTATTTGAGCTTGGCAGTATTCTCCGAGTCCGCCAGCGGCAGTTTTATTGCGTTAATGTCCACCCCTTATACACCTATCACCGCGAGTTGCGTGACTTCTACTGTATTTTCTGAGGCTGCCACCGCCAGTTTTATTGCGTAAAGGACCGCAGGTTGTGTGAGTTTTACTGTATTCTATGAGGCTGCCACCGCCGGTTTTATTGCGTTGAGAACCCCCTAAAAGGCCTATCACCGAGGCTCAACCGCCGGTTTATTGTGTTAAAAAACCCAAAAAGGGCCCACACCCCCGGGGGTTTGTGGGGTTTTATACATGATATTTTGAGGCTACCACCGCCCTTTTTTATCGTTAAAAACCCTAAAAGCCTATCACCCCTGGGTTTTTGAGGGCGGCCACGCCCGGGATTTGCTTAAATGGCCTATTACCGCGGGTTGTGTGATCTAAACTGTATTCTCTGTGGCTGAAACTCTCGGTTTTATTACGTTAAGAATCCCCTAAAAAGCCTACCACCGCGGGTTATGTTAGCTTTACTGTATTCTCTGAGGCTGCCACTATCGGTTTCATTGCTTTAAGGATCCCCTAAAAGGCCTAACACCGCGGGTTATGAGGCTGCCACAGCCGGTGTTTTGCCTTCAGAATCCACTAAATGCGCTATCACCGCGGGTTGTGTGAGCTTTACTGTATTCTCTGAAGCTTTCACCGCAGGTTTTATTGTGTTTTGAACGCCCTAAATGACCTACCACCGTGGATTGTGTGAGCTTTACGTTCTTCTCTGAGGCTGCCAGAGCCGGTTTTATTGCGTTAATAACCCTCTAAAAGGCCTATCATCGCAGGTTGTATGATCTTTACTGTATTCTCTGATGTTGCTATAGCTGGTACCGGTTTTATTGCGTGAAGCCTATCATTGTGGGTACTGTGTGAGCTTTACTGTATTGTCTGAGGCTGCCACTGCCGGTTTTATTGCGTTAAGAAACCCTAAAAGGCCTATCACCCTGGGTTGTGTGAGCTTTATTGCGTAATAATTTAAATATAGCTCTGTGTAAACGACAACTGCATTATACATGTATACAATTAGGCCTACCTTTAACACTAAACTTGCATGGAATTTTCACGAAATTGCCAACATGACTGACCTGGCTTATTTATCTTTACCCGTTGGATTCGTTTCACTGCTGCGATTTCTTTTTACCGACAGATGACTTTATCTTGTCTGGATTTCCGTATGTGAATAATTGCCTCGCATTACTAATTAATTTTAGAGCAGATTCTCGAAAGAATGATATCTCGAATGAATATCGAAAAACGCGATTGTGAATTCCTCTTCACTATACCTAACGCTGTCGCTCATTTGCCAATGTCAAGCCTTATCAATTTCTAATATCGTGTCCTAAGCCCTTTCAAAGTTCGATTGTTGATTTCAGCCCCTAAACATAACTGTCACATTAATATAAGTTGCCGCTTTATATTTGATATCTCACTAGATACGTATCTTCTTTTTCCATTTTTACGGGAGTAGTTGACTGAAAAACAGAGCTTATAAATATATGCTCTTTCGATAAGAAGAATACAGAGAATAAGAAAATAAAAAATGGTGTTCGCAACCAGTATTTTTGTACATTTAATCGAATATATGATTAGTGACACTGACTTGGAAGAGCGATATTACTTTTCTCTTACAATTATTAACCTAGAGAGATCACAGCATCATAACTGTATCATACGTGGTTCAAATTTTAATCGAGTTATTCGTCAAGATTATCTTATGGTAAATATATAATAAAACGTCTTGCTCGTTGTAAATAGAGTTTACCGACTCAAGTCTGGTAGCATAGGGGAGCGAAGGATTGTTGCATTTTATATTTACGTCAATGTACAATTTTGTTGTTTTTATAGCTCTTTCAAGGGATACCCTTCCCAAGATGACTTTAAAGAAACTTAGAAACTTTATTTAGTGTGATCCAAACATGCCATGTAATGTATAAAGTCATTATGCCTAAGATACAGCTAACAATTTTATTTCTCATAAAACTTTTTGATTTTGTACAGTTTCAATACAATTATTTGTATTTCCTATAATTGCTAATAAGTTATTGCAGTAAATACAAATTATATCTATTAGAGTATCATCTTTGTCAACTGTTAGAGGCTTAGCTGTAGTGCGAATCATTCAGTACTACATCAAAGAATTATAGTATTTGGTTGAGAATTCACATTACTTACTATCATGTTATTATATTGCTTACCTTATCTTTATGATTCTATGACACGATGCATTAATTAAACTTTTACTACTTTGGGCGCAATTGTGTTCACCTCAAATTTTAAGGTATGTATGAGAGTCACTCTACGAACTATTATAACTAACAGAAGTGCTAATTATGCAAGAAAGTACGCCTTTATGAAGAAGCAGCGGTTCTTATGGACTGGGATGTGATTGGCTCTCACGCTTCGTTTATTGAATCGTTTTTTTTTGTCTTTGTGTTTTTCCATGAAAAGTGGCCATTTTGAAGATTTGCTGCAAGGGATTATAGGAATTCGGAGACTGATAACGTTTACAGAACAAAAGAATCTCATTTTTTATGCAATTACCAACTTACAACGATATTTTCGTTGGTACTTTTGTTGATTCAATAGAGTACCTTTAACTGTTTGGAGATTATGGTAGTTCATTAATAAAATTGTCAATTAATTAGTTTTCATAGATGTCTTGTTATTGGAGCTATAGACTGATGACATATTTAGCTTCGACCTTTGGCCTCAGACTTAATTATATTGATCAGGTCGTTGGCCAATAACAAGGCAACCATTATGGAAAACACTTTATTATTAACATTATATGTATATGCTCAATGCTCAGCTCTAGCTGTTCTCAGTTTGATGCATTAACATCTAACATGCCTAAATCCATTTCATTAAAGAGATCTCACAAACTACTATTATACACATACTTTCTAAATGCTTTAATAATGTTGCCTTCAACGAGCATTAAGCGTTCCATTGCTAGATTATTGTAGGGCAGACATGAACTCCGAACATTAACCGTGACAACAATGCTTCATCCAGCCTCATACGTAAGGTGCTTAAGCAATATAAATTATATTGCATCTTCATTAGTCATAAAGCCGTATTGGCCACATTTTATAGGCATTTTAATGTCCTTCCCCATTATACCGTTAACTCCGAACCACGATAGACTGTCTGCATTTCAGAAATTTCCATATG